CTCAACGATCTCAGTGTCCCAGATATGGTGCAAGTTAGTGTCGTCCCCGTCATACGTGACGTTGATTGTGTTGCCACCAACGTCGATGGCTTCATCATCTATACGCCCGTCAGAGCCCCGATTCTACCACCCAAGTTGATGGCACAGAGGACAAGGTCTACTTACGGAGAGGTTGGTGAAGATCCCCGATGAAGTGAATGATGAATCGCATAGCGTCCAGTTTCACCGAAGCTTTGGACTCGTCGTCCATCAGGATCGAGGTGTAGTTGACAATTGCCGACACAGAGCATCCCTCATCGCCGCAATCGCGATTATAGTCGACCGAGCATGACTCCGGAGGGTTGTCATTCGCGTCGATGTAGTGAAGTGGCGCAGACCAACCACCTCCGTCGGTGTACCGGTACGAGTCGGCCCAGGTCGACACATTCGCCATATAGTCAGACTGGGTAGAACCCAGGATCACTTGGACAGCTTCCTTTGTGGCGGCTGACACATATGACTGAGCAATCCAAGCAACGGTTTCGTGGCCCAGCGTACCCCAAGCGTCCGCCAGCCGGGCCAGACCAAAGATTGCTGCTACCACGAGCATGCCTGCGAGCCTTCTGCCGGTTCAACGTTTTCCGGGTCAGCGTACGAGTACAAGAGCCGTCTTTACCGCGTGCCTTGTCCACCGCATCGGTGGCTTATATACCATGATGTCCATGCTCAATCGGGCCATTGCCCCGTGCAGGACTCAGACGAGAGATAACCGGACTTTTCAGGGCCAATCTTCGTCTTCCCTGACGCGGCGATCGACGCTTCGAGTTCGAGAGACGGCTGCACGAGCGTGGTGGCGACGACCGACTGGACGAAGGTGATCGGCTTCAATTTCTGCTGTGGTTCCCCGGACGGCTAATCAGAAGCCGCGATGATGCCAAGCCGACAGCGGCAAAAGCGAGGCTCCGCAAGTCGCCTGCAGCATTCTGCCTTCCGTCCAGAGAAGCAAAAGGTGCGTTGCACTCAATTTGCTTGGCGCTTCGAAAGCAGGTTCAATGCGCTTCCAGCAAGGATGAACCCGCACTGGTCCTTGCTTAGGGTGTGCTTGACTGGAATGGTGAAGCTTGTTCCATCCTTCTTCGTGACCTTCAAGTTGATCTCGCCCTGGCCGTCGTTCTTCAACACATCCCAGAGACCCTCAGTGTCGACTTTATCGCAAGCATCGATTCGGTCGTAGTCTGCCTTGTCAACAAAGGTCAACGGCACGACTCCTTGTTTCTTGAGATTGGTCTCGTGGATTCGCGCAAAGCTCTTTGCCAGAATGATCTGACCTCCGAGATATCGAGGCTGGAGAGCGGCGTGTTCTCTAGCAGATCCCTCACCGTAATTGTCCTCGGCCACAACCAGCCAATGTTGTCCTTTCGCTTTCCACTTCTTCGCGAGTTCCGGTATGGACGATGCAGCGCCGTCGGTATCGTATGCAACGTTGGTCTCGCCAGTTGCCGCGTTTATCGCACCAATCAAAGTGTTCTCGGCAATATTGGGAAGGTGTCCTTTGTACTTTAGCCACGGTCCAGCTGCTGAAATGGTGTCTGTGGTGCATTGGCCCTTGACTTTGAACAGAACCTGCAGTCCTTTCAGCTCGCCTTCTGGAAACGGCTCAAAGGGCTCCAGAATAGCCAATCTGTCGGATTCAGGATCAACGAGTACTTCCACGCTTTGGTCAGGGTCGGCAGAAATAGGAAAGAAGGCAGGATTGCCAATGGCGAACCCAGAACCGGGCAGCTGTGCGCCTTTCGGAGCATCGAATTTGAACTTCTCCCCAGATGGCAATGGAATGGCATCGTGGATTGGGTTGAACGAAGTCGATCCAGAGTATGACATGGCCGTCACAATTTCGGGCGAAGCGAGAAAGCTCATTGTGCGAGGATTACCATCGTTTCGTCCGGGGAAATTGCGGTTATACGAGCAAAGGATGGCATTGTCCTCGCCTTTCTTGACGCCGTCAGTTCTCTTCCACTGGCCAATGCACGGCCCGCAGGCGTTGGCTAGAACAGTGCCTCCCGCACTCGTGAAGGTATCGAGAGTCTTGTTGTCCTCGAGAGTAGCGCGGACCTGCTCACTGCCAGGTGTAATGAAGAAATCGGATTTGGGCTTCAGGCCAGCAGCCTGTGCCTGCTTTACCAGGTCCTCTGCACGCGTCATGTCCTCATAGGAGCTGTTGGTACAGCTGCCAATCAAACCAGCGGAGAAGGTATCAGGCCATCTGTTGGCCTTCACTGCATCCTTGAACTTCGATAGCGGTGTGGACAGATCTGGGGTGAAGGGTCCATTGATGTGCGGCTCGAGAGCCGACAGATTGATTGTGATTTCTTGATCATACTCGGCGCCACTGTCGGCACGTAGGAAATTGTACTTCTCAGAGCCATACGCGATTCCCTTGATGGCATCGATGATGGCATCTCGTCCAGTGGCCTGCAAGTATGGTATATGGGTCTCAGAGAAGGGAAAAATCGAAGTCGTCGCACCGACCTCAGCTCCCATGTTGCAGATGGTAGCCATGCCTGTGCAGCTGAGAGTGTCGACACCGGGGCCATTGTATTCCACTATGGAACCTGTGCCACCACGGACAGTTAGCTGACCAGCGAGGTGGAGGATGACGTCTTTCGGCGAGGTCCAGCCACTGAGTTTGCCCTCGAGCCGCACTCCCAGGATTTTAGGGGCCTTGAGCTCCCACGGAGCGTCGACCAGAGCATCAACGGCATCTGCACCGCCAACGCCGATAGCAATCGCACCCAGTCCACCGGCATTGGGCGTGTGACTGTCGGTTCCCAACATCATAAGACCAGGCGCGGCGTAGTTCTCCAACACGTTCTGATGTATGATGCCTGCTCCCGGAGGCCAGAACTCAATCCCGTATCTCTTAGCCGCAGACTCGAGGAAGTCAAAGACCTCCTTGTTGCCAGCAATCGAGTTTGGCAGATCCGTGTCTGCGCCTTTCTCCCCCACGATCATGTGGTCGCAGTGGATGCTTGCGGGTACGGCCGTGCTGGGGAGGTTGCAAGTCATGAATTGCAGGATAGCCATCTGAGCAGAGGCGTCTTGCATTGCGACACGGTCGGGCTTGAGCTTGAGGTTGGCATTCCCCCGAATGTTGTTGCCGTTGTCGGTGTTGGTCAGCAGCGATTCGGCCGGGTTGTCCAGATGAGAGTAGAGGATCTTCTCGGCGAGAGTAAGCTTCCGCGATCCCAGAATGTCTCTGACATTTTCGAAATTCGTCAGGATTTTCTGGTAAGGAGGGACGGCAGCTCTTCTTCGAACGAGCGGCTGAGACTGGTGCACCGCATATCCGCGGTGAGCTACTGTTGCTCGTCGAGTACGTAGCCGTGAGCCCAAGTCAAGGGGGCATCTGACGCGAGCTGGAGGAGCTCGCTGCAACAGGGTCGACATTATTGCACTCGGACTTGTTGCTGAGTAGAAGGAAAGATGAAAGTGCTTGACCGACCTCGGAGGGAAAATTGAGATTCAATTCAGTATGCCGAGGTTAAGCCGCCAGGACCCACCAATCACTGTCTTTGTTTTCGTCAGATTGGCGATTCCTAAATTACTGTGTACAGAGCACTCCGTACTCGTACTCGTACCGAGTGGGGTTGGGAATGTCACGTGACTAACCAGGACAGTATCACGTGCTCAAAAATGGCTAAGGAGATCCGCCAGGCCCTCAGTTTTATGTGCACCCATACACACAGGGAATGATGAGGAGGGATGACAACTACAGTTGACCACTGTTAATATTTTTCATGTACCACTATTACAACCCATCTTCTCACCGCTCGCTATAGGGCAACAGATTTTGCCCACCCATCGTCTAGAATCTCAGAAAATAAAGGGTATCCAACGCCTGGGAATGGAGCGGCTGTGCAAGGTCATCGAAGTCCTGCTCCTACCCACCCACTACCCGTGCCATCGGATTTAGCCTGAACTTGTCGACTTCACACAGGCCGGAACCTAGTGCTCTGCCTACGCAGCCATGAGACCAACAGCCCCGGCGGCAGCAGAATGCACGAGAGATTGCTGTCAATCCCAACTAACAAGGCCCACGACCTATGGTGTAGACTATATTTCCGACAATGCCATGGTAGAGGCGTAACTCACTTCCGAGGACGGGCATATTGTGATTAGTACCTGGCTACAAACTGGAAGGCCGGACGCTGCAGTCCGCGATCGAGCTCTCCAAGAGATCTGTCGATGACAACCTGGCCGTGGCTGAGGTGAGGATGTCACAGGACATGTTTCCCTGGCCTGATCGTCTCATCTGGGTTTTCACAGCCGTCAAAGTCCCTACGATGCCTGACAACCATGTGCCATCTGATCCATTGTATCGCTGATTAGCAAAGCCACTTCGAATGGCCTGGAGGAAACTTGGAAAGATCCAGCTGGAACTCGCTATCGTCTTGTCGTGTTTGGCATCTGAGCTGTTATGGCCAGAGAGGCTCTTAAGAGTTGGGGCCACCGTGATGGCCGCAGTCGCACTAACAGGGCATTTGGCTTCGGCCAGCAAGTAGTCACGGTGATCTGGAGGATCTTCGAATCAACCATTCGCGGTTTCCCGCGACATCCAGAATAGCAAGCAGGGCGCGGAACCTTCTTCCCGGTATTGACAACTTCAGCTGTTTCGGGGCCCGCCCGGAAGAAAGTTACGACCAGCCACTGCACGTACGAGTTTCAGCTAGGAAATATATTTCCGGGCGCCAGAGGGCGAAGCCCATTGCTTGGGTGTCATCGGTCTGACATCCGAGGGACATAGGCGCAGGGAGCGGCAGCCGATAGGACTGAACGAGAGCGAGAGCGTCTGGCCTGGAACAATTTTCCGTAGAGATCAGCCAATGGGACAAGGTGAATCTGTCGCCCTGTCGCCCGACCATCTATTCAGACCCGCCCCCCGTAATTTCGCATGAGCCAACCCGGATTCTTCTTCCTAGCATATTAGTCTGTCTGGGAGTCGTAGGTGGTGAGCCAGTTGCTCAATTTTCGCTTCCGTCTTCTGCTGAGAGCGCTTCCCACTTTGTCAACAACTCGCCCATGGTCACCTCCCCGTCCTCCAATGCGTCCTTCTTCATGAGTGCGAGGTTCGGGTATACGCTCTTGATCCGCCGGTGTGCCTTCACCGTCCAAACGGTTTTGTCGAACTCGTCGAGCATTTTCACCAGCTTCTGGGGGAGCTGAACGCCTATTGACTGCGCCGTCGGGCGCACCATTCGGATGATCCCGGCATAAACGAGCCACCGCCGTGCGCCCATCATGAGATACGCCGTCAAATCGATGAGGGCTTCTTCATTTTCTTCGGATTGCCACGCAGGGGCGCGCAGAGCCTTGAGAAGAATGAAATACGCCACAGCCGCCGTCTGGCAACTGCCTGCCATGACACGAACGAGGCCGTACGCCTGTCGATACTGCCGATACATGGGCATCATTTCACGGATCAAGAGCAAGGAACTGCTGCGAACAGTCAAACCAATGGCCATTGCCGATGTTGGGGACGCTGGAGTGGGTGTCGTTTCCCGCGATGGCTCTCTGTCCGACACCTCACTCAAGGTAAGAGCACACCAGTAGTATAGCGCGCTGATCTGGTCAGCATCACATACTACCCGTCAGACACAACTCACTGCAGCTCGAATAGTGGCCCAGGGGCGTGCGGATACACTCGCAGATTCTCTGGCAACGCATCGTGCCAGGCCTGTAGCCGGCGCAGCAACTGCACTGGCGCATTCTTATCTTCGTTCTGTGTGAACGGCACACTCAATGCTACCTCGTATGCTATCTCAGCAAAGTCACAGTAAGCGTTGAAGAGAGCGTTGCCGTAAAGCGGCTCTACCTTTTCTAACCGAGGATATGGTCTCCACTGTACAGACGGGTTGAGCTCTTCTCCAGCATATGGTCGCCTGACCGTCGGCGGCTGCAGCGTAGGCTTTTTGAGGAGGAACATTGCAAACATCCTGTCATGTCAGTCGGGAAATACCAACCATCCAGGCAGAGGCGGAATACTCACGTGTTGCAGACGAAGACCGACCAAGATGCATTCAACATGGCCGCGCGCAACTTATCCACTGCTTCTGGCGGACAGTCTCGTGGGATCTTGGTCTGACGGGAGAGACCAAGGTCTTGATACATCTGAACCATGATCGAAAGCGTCGACCACCCCAGCTGATCTTTGCCATGCATATTGCAATAGAGCAAAAGTAAGTAGAGACCTTGGAGGTTGATCAGCGAAGCACGTCCCTCCTCGCGATCCCAGAGACGCTTTGCTTCATCATAAAAGTGCTCTCCCCAGGTCTCTGGGTCGTCAGGGTCAGCGAAGGCGCCAGCCAAATCCGAGTAGCCGCAAGCGAGAGCAAGCATGGCGTTGACCAGAAAAGGTGAGCAGAGTAGACTACTGGAATCGCCTTTCTCCATGGCTTCAATGAGGGCCGGTTCGTGCAGAGGGTGCATGAAGGTGTTCCACCAAGTGAAATAGAGGGAGGTCAGATGCGAGACAAGATAATCGTCGTCTGTGACTGTCGTCCACGGTTTTGCCGTCAACCGGAACAAGGGCTCGTCCGACATCTGCTCTACGCTCATCGTCTTCCCCCGGGCTCTCGCCAGCGGTGTCTGCTCCTGGAGATTTGCCGCCTCGGATCTCAGCTGGAGGAGCCCATCGATCGTGGCATCCGTTCCCGGGCTGTATCCGCGAAGCTTCCTCACTTCCGCATCAATGGAGGCATTAATTGCGGCCAGCGGAGCGTCGTCGCGGATGAGACGGAAGATTTGCTGAGCGTCGCTCTCTTCGCTCCATCGGATGGACCTGAGCAGTCCCCCCAAGAGGTCGCGATGGTGCTCGGCATCCTCCGCCTTCCGCTTGATGGCCTCCTTGCGTCTCCCATCGAGATCTTCCCGGAAAACGCAGTCCGTGTTCGCGGCGACACACGCGGTGCACGGCGGTGGGGCGCCACTACACTGAGGCTAGGTCAGTCAGGACCACTAGGCCGCCACGGTGCTTGGATTTGCCTTTCTCCTTTTGGCCTTGCATTGCATGCAGGCTGCGCTCGCGTTGTTTCTGGGGTTTCGAGTGATGCTCCTGCCTCGGCTTGGGAGATTTGACCCGCTGGACGAGCTGCTGGCCTCCTCGGCGGCCGGTTTTGCTGGTGCCAGAGGCCTAAGTGGTCGCTGGGACATGATGCGGACCCGACGTCCGGATTGTGTGAGATGCCGGAACTTTGTTCCATGAGCACGCTGGCGATGCTAAACGACCACTCGTGGCGTTTTCCAAGATAAGCGCCCAATACCGGACTCGCAGTAGAGGCGGCTGATTGTGCGGAAATTTCTGCCGGCCATGGGAGAAGTCAAGGAAGCGGCTAACGACTCACCGAAAGCCTTAGCCTCCTTGTCATTGGTGCTGAAAATGTGGATAAGTGCTGTTAGGCTAATATAGGACGTTTCCACTAGCCATTCATAGCTAGCAAATTTCTAGCTAGGCACTTGGCTCCATCGGTTTATAGCCGTGATTGGATGGAGCCAATCTCCGGACTCCTAAGTCAATATTTTAGTTCTTTTACACGGTATTAGGTACATGGCGTACGGGAGCAGACGACTCAAAAGTCCCTGGCGTCCCACTTTACTCTACTCGAACTCACTCATACCACAATCGCCCCGGAGAACGAACAGCTCTGATCTGTCTTGACCTACCTATGTAGGCTTATGAATGTCATACCCATTTCAACGCGTTCCATAAACTCGGAAATGAGATGTCATGGAATCGAGCTGTATCCACTGGCCAACACAACGGCAAAGCTCGCAAGACACCAATGTGCCGAAGATATGTGAGCGACGGCGAGAACAACACTTGATACTAACTGCACAACGCATCCACCATTGGTACTTGAATATCGTTGGCGCGTGTGACCCAATACAGCAATGCAGAGCTTCACTAAAGGTCCAAGAGAAGGAGGATGGGATCGCCAGCCCATGTGCGCAGGGTTAATGCAGCCTCTCATCATTTTGGGTGCAAGCTGAAGGCTTCTTACTCCTCCTCGTTTTCTTCCTCGGCCGCAGTCCTCAAGTCATAAGCAAGGTCATAACATTCGGCCAGCAGATCATTGACACTTCCTTGGCCTTCAGGTATATCGTTTCCAATTTGGAACTTGCCATCTACCCGCATGTTGTCGATAGAATTGAGTTTCATGCTATAGGGGTATAATTCTCGTGGGTTCGACACTCCTCCCGCCTTTTTTACTTCAATCAGGCACTTGCGTAGGGTAAGGAGTTGGTTGTATATGGGCAACAGAGCTTCGGACACCGGTTCGGATGCTATCAGCAACTGGTAAATGTAGGCATATCCTCGCCGAATGAGGTAAAGGAGTGTCTGTTCGCATTTTGTTAGCGGAAGCAACAGACTTCGATTGGAGCATACAGACCCTCTGTGCGTGAAGATCGGCGGGGTGACCCTCGGCATCGAAAAAGTTCCCGTCTCTCCTCGAGTCGTCGATACGATCTAGCTTTCTCTGCCACATGAATAAATCGGTCTCTCGAAGGGACCATGCCTGAGTCATGGTCAGCCGGTCGAGCTGGTTGCGGATTTCAATGAGTTGGTCGTAGACGTCTTTGAACCGCTCGTCGATCTTTCCTTGCCTAGTCCGAGGAGTTAGAGGGGTATTCTAGACCAAAAAAGAGGGACCAACTTTTGCTCAACAATCTCAGTGAACTTGAGACATCTCTCAAGAAGTGGGACAACCAGGTTTTGGCCGCCTTTGACCTCGCCCTGCTCGTCTGGCAGTCCGCCATCCTTCATGGTCGCCTTTATCTGAAGTAGTTGCTCGCGCAAGTCATTGAGATCTTTCTGACTGTACTGCACATCTGTCAACATAGGTTCGACCGCACTGGACCTCTCCAAATACCTTGCTTCTGGTGTTCAACGCCGCAATGGCACGTAGGATCGACACCAGCTTCTCCCATATCGGTGTCATTTCTGGCGACAGAGTGGCGAGGAAATTGTGCAGCTCCTGCAGCATCCCTTGGCACACCTGCAAGCGATACTGTATGCGGGTCAATAGGTGATGGGAATATTTGTCCTTGCTACTCTCCAGCGTAGCCTGCATCTTATTAAGTGTGTGTTCCAAGCTGGTCAAGTCTCTCTTGCTGTAAAACGCAGCCTCCAGGAGGTGGCGGCACAGACGAGTTATGGTGCCTGTCATGGCGTACAGCGCAGGTGCCTCGTTGTTTCGACCCACGGCCATAAAAAAGAGAGATACCAGTTGTAGAGAGTCATCTAGGACTGTGTCGACCCGGTTCTGCAGCAGATGCTCCGGACCTCGGACTTCATTGAGGATCGACACCTGCTCAATCACCTCCTCGTAAAGAGGGAGGACGTCCGAGGACTTGACATAGGTGCTTTTATCTTGCTTCAGGAGCAGTAGTTTGTCTCTGATGAGGAGCAGCTTCTCCAAGATCGGCTTCTCTTGAGGCCCAACGGGCGCAGTCGTGATGGGAGAATCAGACATGACTGGTTGTGGTCATCAGAGGGCGGTTCGCTGTGTGTCCGCAAGGAAGTTGTCGCAATGAGGACTGTAAAGCGGCTGCGTCTAGGAGGGGTCCGGAAGCCTGTGTACCTTGTCTCAGTGTTCGTCCTGAAGGCTTTGGGCAAGTGGAAGTATGTGATAGCCGGGCAGCAGGCGGAGTGCTCGGTTTTGTCAGGAACCGTAAACTGCTTTTGCCTCAACGCTATGCGGGCTGGACGCAAGCACAGGCGAAGCGGATAGGAGTGGATTAAGTGGTCGCGGTTGGGTGGACTTAGTTGGTGGGATGGATTCGCTTTGATAGAACAGCACTGGGCTTGCGATAATGCTTAAAGAGCCCTGCCCCGCCTCGGTCTTCGTCACAAGCACCCCTAGCGGCCCCGATAACCTGGCCCGTTTGAGCCTGGAGGCTTCCCCATGTAAGGAAGTGTTTCCGGGCTTGCCCCTCGTCTTGGCATTCCGTCACTCCGCCACGTGCCTGCGCTCTTCTTTTCGGCCTCGCTCTCGCTTCTGTCACTTGCCACCATAAACGGATTTGTAAACAAACGGCTCGAGGGACTTCCATTCCTCACTACACCCATTGTTTCAGTCGCCGCAGTGCTGTCTTCCAGGATGAGCCCTCTTTACAGGCTCGCCATGCGCTGTACATCAAAATCACCATGCTTTGTCCCTCACTGGTCTGACTAACCGGGCTCTTGCTTGGGACATGCCCAACATCCGCCACGGGACTAACTCTGCCGCCGGAGTGGACATGCCTCGCGACAGCTCGGCGATTCCGATCTGCCCATTTCATCGCGGTTGAACCACCATAGGCTTCAGGCAGAAGAACAGCCAGTCGATACACGGCAGAAGCCATAAGCGCAGTGCCCGCAGCATCACCATATGCCCAGGCGGCAGATCGATGTGATGGCCCATCAAGGTAGTTCTTCAGCAGTCCGGATCCTTCGTCTTCTGCCTGTGCCATTGTACACTGCAACATGGACTCGATCAAGTCGGCCAATACCACTTTGCTCCTGGTTCTGAACTTGTTATACTCGGTCTGCCCGACTGGACTGTTTCGAGGTGGCTGCCACCTCAAGATTGTTGCTAGTACACGTGTCATACCCGTGACAGCCCAAGCGTTACTGGTGAGCCACACGTCCGGGTCTGAACAGCATACTCCCGACTCCAAGTCTGGTGGGTCGGAGACGATATGGCGCCAAAGGCCACGACAGGTCTCTCCGTTTTCCAATTCGATGACCGTTCTCAAGACGTGGTCGTAGAGTTGGCATTGAAGAACAGCCATTTCCAGAAATCTCAGGTCTTGAGTGGCAACACCGTGATAAGCAAGGAACGGAGGGACCATGTAGATGAAATCGCCCCAGAGTTCAGGGACGTCTTCTCTGTGAGATATGGCTGAGTGAGTACCATTGACACGAAATTTCGTTGCCTTCGATACGAGGTACTCAGCCTGCCGTTTTGCGGCCTCGAGATATCTCGGATCATGCTGGGACAGAAGTAACGCGGCGGTACCTAAGGAGGCAGGATCGGCTGCCGAGCCTGCGCTGTCGTGAGTCGGGAAGATGTGCCCAGAGGAGTACATGTATCTGTGCCCTCGCCAGAGCAATGTACTGCTTACCTTCGCCGTCGACAAGGAAATCGGTACCATTAATCCATATGACGGACTCCGCGTACGCGAGGGCCTCAACTTTCGAAGGGTCGTCGATTTGTGGGATTAGCCCACCCGGGAAGGGATTTGACCCAAAGACCGTCAATTCGTGGTTATAAAACTCCAGGAAAGCTTCCACAAGCGTCCCAAACTCCCACGACCGTGATGTTATCGAGCGGCCTGTGGCCAGGACCTCGTGCGGATCGAATCCAGCATCTGAAGCGGACAAGATGAGCCAAATCACAGCGGAGAAGGCAGCCACGCACAGCGAAGCAACATAACCTCTCATCTTCTCAGCTCTGAGATGAAAGGCACATCGCCTCAACGTTCGATTCAACAATTGCACAAGTTGTTCAGGGAGAAGTCTCAATCTGGCCAAATTAGGCTAAATGTGACGGAAAAGGCCTATCCTCGCTTGACGATATGCGAGCCTTGTCCAGTACGTGGTTCAAGGTCATCTCCCTCAGATACCCGAATGCCTAAGACAGGTTGATTTGTGAGAACAAGTGTAATATACCATTCCGGACGTCGCCCGTAAATACGGGCTCACAATACGGTCCTTCTTCATATTCCATGGAAATGCCACCGAGGTTGAAAGATGATCCATCGATTTGTCCGAAAAGGCTTCATGGATGGCATTGGTGCTTGAAGGCATAACAAGTCGGGCTCCGAGGGAGGGTTGAACTGACCGAAGTATAGCGTCTAGCGCGTCAAAGCCTTTTGATGGCGCATCAGTAATCTCAGACGAAGGGACCTAGAGGGCAAGCTCTGGGCCGGACGGCTGGGCAACACATCAGGGACACTTATGGTGCTTACGCTGTTGATGCCGACTGATTTGACTTGCAATGAGCTCTGCCGGGCACCTACGAGTACTGTCTACTAGCTCAGTCGGATTCGGCAACAAAGCCTTATCGTCATCGTGTCCACATGTTGGACGCAAGGTCCTGAACTCGGCAAATGCGACAAGATCGCACGGTGACAGGCCCACGCATCATGCCGCCCAAAGACTATGCACCTGCCTTTACTCATCGGACCGTTTGGCATCGAAAACCCTCACTCCTTCAAACCACGTGCCTAGGACCTGGGCTCCCTCGAAGTCACCTTTACCCAAGTCACGATCGACAAGAATGAAGTTGGCCTTTTTGCCGACAGCGATGGTTCCAGTGGTGCTTTCTCGCCCAACAGCTGCCGCTCCAGCTGCAGTGAGGATCCTGCAGATCACTTCAGCGGCCTTGCTTTTTGCATCAGATGCATCGGACAGAGCGGAAGCAACACTGTCAAGGATGAGGGCGCAAGCGGGAAGAATGGCTGGATCTTGGAAAGCCCAGTCACTTCCAATGGTGAGGTGAGCTCCATGTTGGAGCATCTTGCCGAAATTCCAGTCCATCAGTCCGTTACCCATACTGGTGATGGGATGGACGAAGAACATCGATGGAGACATCTCGGCGGTTACGTTTAGCTGCTTGAAGCGAGGGTAATCATCTGTCGATCAGCTGTGTTCATGGCAGCATAACAAAGAGGGACTCACCATCGTGGACTCCACTACAGTGTGCAACCTCGTGCCTTGGCCCAGCGCGGTTACTCTTTCTGACAGCCTCGTACACGTCCAGCGCCCGCCGTGTACTTCCTTGTCCGGTGCAATGGATCTTGCAGGTCATCCCTCTTGCGTCAAATTTGGCGACAGCTTCCGCCAGATCATCAATCTGGATCTTGCTCTCGTCGATCTCTCCAGAGTCTGTGAGGCCAGCATGTGTATAGTAAGGGTGCAGGGGGACGCCATCCAACATGAACTTTACAAAATTCGTCTGCACATGTGCTGACTGAAAACTGGCTGCGTCATCGAGCGTCTTGTGCAGCGTCTTGAAGCTCTCCTCTGCAAGCTGTTCTGGCTTGTAGACAATATGCGTGTGCACGTCCATCTTCAATTCCCCAGCCGCATCAAGTTCGCGCAGCGCATTCAGTATCGTCGTGTTGGAAGCTGCTTCCTGAAAACTGGTCACTCCCACTGAGTGTAGCCGGCCTATCCCCTCCAGAATGCTTCGTTTTCTGCAGTGGCCAGTCAGTACTTAAGCCCTCGTCGACCATGGACACACGTGTCGAAAGAATCAGATCTCTAGAACCAGGGGCCTTACACGTGAGACGCTGCGGGCTTGGGCAATGCTAACGCAGCCTTCGTCATTGCCAACTCCGTCACTTCACCTGTCAGGGACCCGTCTGGTCGTCGAAAGTACTGTTCGTGCGGTGCATCTGGCTCTGTCAAGCTGTACCCTGACCGCTTGAGGGCAGCAGTGTTCATGAACATTGCGTGCCCTGCGCCTCCACGAAGAAGCACCGGCGTGTCGGGATAGTCTCTGTCTAGAGCTTCTCGGTCGAAGTCGTCGATGTGGTAGAGGGATCCCACGACCCAGTCGCCAAACACATGCGCATGCTCGCAGGCACATTCGGGTGACTTGAGCCTTGCAGCAATATTCGACATGTTCGCGTCCATGCCCGGCTGCAGGTATGATGAAGAGGAGAGACTCCCCAGAAGGATATGGACATGAGCGTCGTGGATCCCCGGCATGACGAATTGACTTTTCAGGTCAAAGGTAGGGAGCTGCTCGCGTCGAGCGATATCGAGGATCTCGCTGTTGCTCCCTACTGCCGCGAAGATCCCATCCTCTGAGACGATGAACGCCTCAGCTCGGCTTGCATCTCTTTCAGCCGTAAAGACATTGCCTGAGTGATACGCCACGGACCCTCGATGGCCTTGCTGTGTCGACATCGCGGTTCTTGAAGGCTGCTACAGGGCTTGTCAAGAGAAGTGGTTTGAATCGCGTTCAGAAGTAGTTGCTAGCTAAACGGAAGTAAGCAGACTGAGAAAGCAATGCGACGAGAACCACGAATGTTGATTAATGCTTTCTCGGGATGCTTAGTCCTCGGTGCTTCACAGGTACCGAGCGCCAGGAAGCGTATCCTTTGTCGCAGCAATGGTAGATATTGGGTATCAGGGTTCCAAAACGAGCTTAACACATGCCTAGTCGTGCTAGGCAAGATACCGCTTGCCTCTTCGCAAGATGAGTCCTAGGGCAGACGTTGGCGCCAAGTAGGCAAAGCACCACCAAGAAGGAATTTTGATCAAGTGGGCCACGAGTACCGCGATACAACTTCAACTAAGTACGGGGCCCTGGGTAAGCCCTCATATGTTTTGGCGGCAAGGAGCGGGCGGCCTGATACCACGGTGTCCGGGGCGGAGGTGAATTTCAGGCCGCCGGACCGTCGTGCAAATAGGTCAAGGAATGATGGTCAAGTAAGCAGAGGACGGCGTCCCCAGCATATGTGCTTTGCCCCGAGACGATCAATCTCTCGACACTCACATGTGGCAGCACGACGTGGGTGCGAGATAGCAGTTACCGCTCGTAGGAAGGCCTTCGAAGGCCCAACGGTGAGGGGCAAGGCTGCCTTTACGGTCGGACGAGGCTCTACAATGGCGGGTCATTGCGTCAGATGCTTCCAGAAGCCTGTGCCAAGTCTTACACTGGTCGACGAAGTCTCCCCCAGTAGATAAAACTGGTCCAACATTGAATTGTTCTGGAGAGCACACAGGAATAACGACAATGATCAGCTAAGGTGCACCTCACTTTGACCGCAGTGACCCTGAACCGTCATCATCAAAGTCTTGCCACTCAGCAGTCTAGCATCGCCGTTCTCTCGCTGCTACTACTTCTGGCTACATTCAAGACATTCTTTTCCAGACAAAATGGCGCAAAAATGTGTCCATAAGGGGTGCGGGAAGGTGTTTACAAACCCTGATGAGGAGTGTACATATCACCCTGGGCCTCCGGAATTCCACGAGGGGCAAAAAGGTTCGTCGACCACCATCGATGGCTGTAGTGCTTCAGGACCATGGTGCTTCTCGAGGTTTAATTTCGTGACACTACTAACATGATGCTACGTTGACAGGTTGGATGTGCTGCAAACCCCGTGTCCTGACCTTTGACGAGTTCCTCAACATCCCTCCCTGCACCAAAGGCAAACACTCCACCATCGACGACACCCCAGTAAGCGCTCCGAAACCCGAAGCAGTCGAAGCCTCGAACATTGTTGCCGCCGCACCCATACCGTCTTCCGTCCCTATCACCCGACCACTGGCACCTAGTCTTGCAGCGCCGCAAAGACCGTCGCCTTCCGTAACACCCAAACCTGAACCCCCCGAAGACGAGTCAGACGACCCCGGTACAGAGATCCCTTCGAGCGCCACATGCAAGCGGAGAGGGTGCGGAAAGTCAAGAGATGACAAAATCCCAAGAGACGAAGAGGAGTGTATATACCACCCAGGGGTACCTCTTTTCCATGAGGGAAGCAAAGGATGGACATGTTGCAAGAGACGCGTCCTTGAATTCGACGAATTCATGAAGATCGAGGGCTGTAAAACCAGGAAGAGGCACTGCTATGTAGGCAGGCCTAGAAAGAAAGCAGACGGTGGACTCGACGGCGAGACCACCGAACAATCAGAACAACAGCTCGAGACCGTGCGGAACGATTTCTATCAGACCGCCTCGACCGTCATTGCCAGCTTTTACCTCAAGAAGATCGACAAGGACAAGGCAAAAGTGGAATTCGGCGACGATGGTCTCACGGTTGGTTTGGATCTACCAACTCAAGATGGCAAGAGATTCACGACAGTAATGCCACTGTTCGCCCAAATCGATGCGGACAAGAGTCAATACAAGATCATGGGCACCAAGCTAGAGCTGAGCCTTGTGAAGAGCGACGGTTCCGTCAGTTGGGCCACTCTACGAAGTGATGAGCGAGGCACAGGAGCGAGGATCCAGCTGGGCAGAGCGGGAAGGATGGCTGTCTCCTGAGCGGTGCCTGTGTGAATTTGCGGGAGGCCAACGAAAACGATCCAAGTTACAAATAGACTGATGAGTGAAACGGCTGGACAAAAATTCAACTTGATCAAATACATAGCGAGGCGCCGAGGCATGACCGTGAAAGGGCTAGGGCTCTTCGCGAGACTGGGAAGGATAAAATGCATCCAGGCTCGACATTTCAAGAGTCGTCTTGAAATATGTTCCTCTTGATGCCGCTGGTCTCGCAGTTCAACCGGCTCAGGGCGAAGCTGCTTTTGCCCTTCTGTGCGGACCACCGGTTCCTAGCTTTCTTCACAAAGCAGATTGTCTGATTGTATTGATTGTAGCATCTCCTCCACAGTTACACGCCACGGACTGGCATGCAACCATATGTGTTTGGGAAAAAGGACGGTGCAACTTCGTCTGCGAAGCCGGGAACGGAAGGAGATCCATCGATCATGAGAATAACCCTCAGCAAGCCACCGTAGTGGAGCTCCGGTGGATGTATAACATAAGGTAATGTTAACACCTCTACTGATGATGGGAGAAGAAAAAGAAGGGCAAGGTCGAGGCGAGCGCAGCAAAGAAATTTTGTAGGCGAACGGGAGTGGAGACGACGTGGCTTGGCAACGCTTGGCGGGCCGACAAGGCTGAGATTCAGAATTCAGCCTTGATCGATCAGCGGCGATTTTCTTCGACGCTTATTTGACCTTGAGCTATGTCCTCTGCAACTTTCCCTTCGCGACATTCCAAACATAATAAGTGCGCTATCCATGCCAGCTGCTGCTTCTATACGCGGCACAATGGGGGTCTTCAAGCGCTCGAGAAGAGAAGATATTCTAGAGCGTGAACGACTCAGTCGGTGATAACCACCAGATCCAGGTAATCTCGATTACCACATCCAGCGATGCCTATCCCGAGATCGTATCCAAAAGGCGGAGACGACTTGCATCCGAGAATCCTGCTTACTCGCGCGAGATACAGACGTCGTTTGATCCAGTGTCAGCTTTTGCGTTTCGATCCCGGGAGTGTACGGAAATCCTTCAGCCACTAGCAGAAAGCACCCCAACTTGTCTCTTCGCTTGAACCGCAAGTACGCATGAGATGCATCGGCAGCTGGTCCGAGTAAAGTCTTGACCCTTTTTATGGTCGATTTCGTCTTGACCGCCCACCCGTGGCATGCCCTGGCTGACAGGGCTTCCTTACCACGACGCATGTTCAGTGCACTCTCGAGCTCTACTAGACCAGAGTCATGGAGATCTCCGTCAGTCCGTCTTCGAGCCTCAGATTATCTCTAGGGAGATTAACGGGCTAGATCGTATCGTGAGACGCCTGTGAAGTCTTTCAGATGCGGCCGCTGACTTCCTGATCTGGCATCCATTCAGAAAATCTAGGTCATTAGTGGGATGCAAGATCGGCCGTCCTCTCCGAGGGCACCAGTCAACTTGTGAAGGTCACTCTTCCCTTGGACCGTCTAATCAGGTGAGCAAAGTGAGAAGCCGTTTATGCACAAGTATCGGGGCCGAGTATCTCGAAAGCAGGTGGACGAGGGGGGATGTGGACCGATGCTTTGACAAAATGTCCGGCCAAACATGATAGCCTGGCTGCCTGGAAGGAGAAGCACAGCTGCGCTTTACCTGAATGGGCCCAAGTGACTTGTGTTTACTCGGACAGAGGTATCAGCTGCGCCTCAGAGCACTTGGGCTACCATGTCAAAGAACACTCCCATGCAAACCCCGAGTCTGACACTGCATGCACATGTTTTGGCTGGCGATTGAACAACTCCGCATCACGTGGCTTGCCCTCCTTTTTCAGCTGCCAAGTCAAGCGACAAGAAGCGAGACATCAAATGGGCATAGTGGACGCGAGAGCTCTTGTCACAGTTATTCTCGTGCATAACCACGGAGTACCACGTTCCTGGATCGCAAGCTCAAAGTGTACCATTCCACCTGCCCCAATTTCTCCGAACACAACCGATCTTACTGTACTATGGCAGCTTCGGCAGGCGATGCTGCTTCAATCCCCAGAAAATGCAGAGTAATGCAAGGCACCAACGCAGCACATATTACTCAGACGAGATCCTATCAGCACGCATCCTGCGCGCTTCGTGTTGAGGCAGGCCGGCTTCTCATCAGACAACACTCCAACGCCACATGCCAGAAAATCAGATGTCGCCGTGGCGTGGATCTGTCCGGGAGTTTCCATAACTTTTCAGCTTACACACAAGTGCGCCCACCATTCTTCGGCCGCGACAGGAATCAGCCCCAGCCCATGCCAGCAGTAAAGTGACTAGTCACTGTGTTTCTCGAATGTCAAACTGGGTACCCCAAGACATAAAGCGAGCTGCATCTATGCACCTGAAATGCAAGATGGTGCTCCTCGGGTACCTATCCGACGAAACACCAATCACTGGCCACAGCCGACATACCTCGCGAAAACCATATCGCCCTCGAACCCAGTGCTCGAGGAGGGGGAATTTCTTGAGGATTTAGTAGATACGCAGAATGGAAGGGCTGAAACACTCCAGATTTCGACCAGGGTTGACCTGTGGCAATGGCAAGACTAACATCGCGCAGCCTATGGGACCTTTTTTTACAGAAACGCGGCCAAGGCTGTCTAAGGGGTCATTTCAATGTTTCGCAGATTCTCTATGTCTGGATGAGGATCGAGTGCGAAAAGATCCACACAAGATTTCTCTCCTCAGCGTCGCTGCGCAAATCGAGTACCTTTCGTCTCGCACTACTGGAAAGGCGCTCCCATTGTGCGTGCAAGGCATGCCTACGATCTACCATTCCTGACAAGGCTCAAGCCCACTTTACAACGATTCCGGCTCTCTCGGCGGCTGGCTGATCCGCTTCTCTACTTTTGTGCACTGAGCACTGAAGCACCAGACGAAGCACCACAGGTGTGACAGCAGCTGCTTGTCACCTCACTTGTGGTGGCGCATAATAGCCAGCAAAATCAGCCTCAACGCCTGGCAACATTCTGAGCATACAGAAGCCGCTACTTAAGAACGATCGAAACACCCATCTCTCCTCGGGAACCTCCACCGACATCAACCATGACTTCGTCAACATCCAACCTGCTCACCCCAGATCTCACTCCATCCCACTCCATCACCTCATCCCCTTCGCTTCCGCCGACACCGGACAGCCGCCATCTCGACATCGTCATCGCCCACTACAATGAGTCCCTGGATTGGCTGTCATCCTATGGTAACGTCGCCTCGGTGTACAGCAAAGGCCAATCCCCGCCCAATCCGTCTCTCTACCGAGAAACTCAGGCACTCCCAAACTGGGGTCGTGAATCCCACACCTACCTCCATCACATCGTCCACAACTATGACTCCCTCGCAGACGTGACGCTCTTCCTGCAGGGCAACATCCACGGCACTAACGATGGTACACCCGCGCACACTGACCTCACACTGGATGAGATTGTAGGCATGGCAAAGCGCCTGACAGATCTCCCAAATTTGACGGCGTGCGAAGACTTCCAAGCGCAGAATGAACCTCAAGGCTGCGTTCTGCCTCTCGGAAAGATCAACACCTTCTCCGACTGGGCCGGTGTCAAGTACCTACCGTCCTGGGTCGAACGACGCGGGAATGGTCTCCACCTCAGCAAGTACACACCCGAGCAATTCTTCAACTACTTGATCAACAGCACGACCGACAAGACGGATGCCCGATGGACAACCCCACCAAGCGAGATCCGATGGACGCAGGGGGCGTTATTCGCCGCCACACGCCACGCCGTCCAGCGACGGTCACGGGAAGTGTATGTACGGGCGTATGAATACTTCCACGGCTTGGAGGACGTCAATCCAGAAGAGGGACACTACATGGAACGTTTCTGGCTCTGTCTTCTCGGCGCACATAACTCGGTCCAACAAGTTTCGCGGGGGTCTCATATTGGGAAGGTCAAGGGATCCGTTGGGGACGGTTCTGATAATGATCGTGAGGTGGAGGAGGAGGGGATATTCGTGCTTGAGGCGTGAGGCGTGACGCCTGACGGTGGCGACGACCTCGATCTTCAGAGTTACAAGCAAATAAAGAAATACTGGGGTACAGAAGTGGGCGTGTTCAGACCAGACCGCACGGGGCGAGAGATATCGTTCTCAGACTAGGGGTCAGAGGCTGTGGATTCCAAGATCCCGTGCTTCGATACGCAGACACATTGTGGATGTGTGGATGTGCCGACAACGGTTTCGTCATACACTATTGCTTTCCACCTGCAAAATACAGAGGACGTACATATTCACGTTGTTTTGCCGCTAGACGCGATGCGACCGGTTCGACCAGATCTGGATACTGGGGTTGGAAGTCAGGCCGGATCTCTGCCAAAGTATTCCTTCCTTGCTTGCTTCCTTGGAGGAAGGTAGACTGTTCAATGCTATTCTGTGCTGTGCTGTGCTGTACTGTACTGTACTGTTTGAGCGTTGTTGTACATGTATACTGTAGTAGTGTACAGCGTAGAGAACGAGTCGTGGATGAACGGGTGAATGAGACAAACTAGTGAAGCAAACACGGCAACGTGTTAAACAAATCTGAACCTGAACCTGAATCTGAATCTGAATCTGAACCTGAATCTTATGTTCTGATCCTATTTCCTCCCCGTTGACCCAAGGCGCCAGAGAAGACAAAACCTAGGAGAGTCCAACACGTAGGTATTTACTAATGGCACTGGTGCCGGTCCTGGCCTTGGTACCAGGTATTGTCTGGCAATGACTGGCTGGCTGATTATTGCTACGAGGACAATGTACCAAGACATCTCGCGCTCCATCGCCCATGCATGGTACGAGATGAAGGTTAAAATGAGACGAGACGAGAATGAAGGGATGTGTTGTGCTGTGACGTGCTGTGATGTGAGGGGACGACACGAGATGAGATGAGAGGAGACATCCAGCGACTGAACGACTGAACGACTGAACAACTATGCCTCCGATCGTCGTGCTACTGTATGCGTGTGTATGAACGAGCTTCCAACGCTGTGTCAGTGGAGTGCAGTGTAGTGCAGTGTTTTCGACAACCCATGCCACCCAGCAATAGCGATCTCTAGGTATGTTAAATAGAGAACCACATCATGTTGTCCGCGATATGGAACCGTACTGCGACGTGTCCGCGCTTGGCCGCTCACGATTCTGCTCGTCCGCTCCGCTCCACTTCATCTGAATCTCCACCTCGATCTAATCCACTCTGCTCTACAGAATACTCAGGTTTAGTATGCTCTTTTGAAGTCATATCGAGATTAAGATCAAGGTTATTCTCGTTCTCACTCTCATTCTTAAGCTCATTCTGAAGCTCGTTCTTAAGCTCATTCTTAAGCTCGTTCTCATGTTCATTCTCATGCTCATGCTCATGCTCATGCTCATGCTCATGTTCATGCTCATGCTCATGCTCTGCTTAACTTCAGCTCGTTCCGTCGATCATCTGCCCTACTCTGCCTTTGTCGGGTGTGCTCTATTCCAATATCCGTGCCTATGCCAACGCCTCTGCTATGCTAATGCCAATGTCGACACCAATACCTGTGCTATGCCAATGCCTGATTCCGAGGACCGGATCTGCTCGTCCTGCCTGTTGTCTGTATCTAGCTCTGTGCATTTCCATGAGGTGACGCGGTAGTCGAGCGGAAAAGAAAATCATCCACATGATGAATGACCGTCTAACGATCCGACCTGACATTCCCCTCATTCTTGGACGCCATCGCTATCGCCTTCACAATCACTTTCGCATTTGACATTCTTGCTTTCTTCCCCGGGAGTCATATCTGGAGCGGCGGGAGCACACTTCTTAAACCCCTTACGAGTATCCTTGGTCTTTCCCTTCTTGGCTGTTGGAGCGCCGTCGTCAGCGTCGTCTTCCATGGCTCCCTTTACGCTGCTGTCGGCATTCGCGGTCGCGTCAGACTTGGCAGCACGCTTTCGTGGGTTTGCTGGCTTGCCGGACACGGGGGCTGCAGGAGTTGCTGAGGCGGGAGTCGCGGTGCTGCTACCGTTGGATAATATTCCGGCTTTCTTCTTGATGGTCGTGATGCGGTGAGTCAGGGCTTTTGGCGTGCATTCTGATGCCGCCGTGTTAGCTGATAGATTTCGAAGCAAGCGAGTGAGAAAGGAAGGTGGTTGGTAGAAGATTCAGGGATTGAGCTCAGCTCAAACAATGCGAAAGAGGCGGGAAAGAAGCATGTTCGGTCGTCTGGCCGTTCGAATCCACATCCACAGTCACATTCACATCCACCCGAGAAGCGTAGCAGAATGGCATGCCCGTTGCAGTCATGACGTGGAGTGCCGGGTTTGACACATGAAGGCGAGGCCGAGACAAGGAAAAGACAAGGGCACAGGCACGCCCACGTAGAACCACAACATCCCATCTCATCCCGGTATGCCATGTCTCTGATGTGGCGACTGACGACAGTATTGTGATGCGCTTCGACTGGTGGCATGGTAGAAATCTCCGAGGCAGACTTACCAGGACCCATAAGCGCAGCAACTGCCTTCCAATCGATTTTCACGTCTGTCGTAGCGAGCACAGCGGTAAAGAGCTATGTGCCGAGAAATCAAGTCAGTCTTCTGGTTTCCAAGCGCGCGTTCAAATAAGAGCTGAGCTTCATTCGTGCTATACGGGAATGGCTCGGGTACGGAGTGGAAGTAATGTCCACCCCCAGAGGCGCAAGCTGAAAGTCTAGACTCACCCGTGCGTCGGCCTCGTCATTCCATACCATCGGCATTTTGAGGCTTGTCGATTTGAGATTCTGTGTTTCTTAGGGTCAAAGTCGTCTTGTGGATCTGAGGCGACGGCGTCGATGTAGTGCGATCTGCTTGAACTCAGTCAGTCTTCTCGTACAAGCATAGAGAGGATGGCCGCAAGGTGCTTCCTGAAATACATACTAGATAGATCTTTGAAAAGGGGTGGTAGCAGGGTAGATAAGCAGAGAGGAAGTCCCGTCGGTCGGGTGAAATGTCGGGTGATGGTCGGAGTGAAAGAAAGTCGGGCAAGGAGGGTGGTGAGGCAGGAAGGTAAAACACGGGGAGGGTTCGATAAGTGGGCTGGTGAGAGAAGTACTTCGTTGCTGTCCTGGACAGGCAGGGGAGGGTGACGGAAAAGTGAATATCCCGGCGGGGAGAGTCATAAGAGGCAAAGGTCAAGGATAAGTGAGCGATACTTAAGTCTGGAGGGTGATGAGTTTGATGCCGGGCGGTGAGAATAGAAACACAGGACAAGACGAGATGGCCGAGTAGCCGGGTAGAATTGACTTCTCATCCATAGATCCCCGTGTTACTTTTCATTCTACGGCTCTCACGGGCTTCTCTTCTCGTTGTGTTGCCCGCGTTCCTGCTTCGATTGTCACTTGGTCTCCCAATGTTGCTGGCCTTTGCCGTACAGTATCACTCCCAGCACCATGCTGACTTTCGTGGATTATGCCTCGGACTTCTTCAATGGTGATCGCTGCTTGCGCGCCTGGCCAGCCAGGCGTTACCCAAACAACTTCCAGACCTGCATTCAGTGCGTGGCTTCTCGTCGTGCTCAAACGACGTGCGGATGTATTTCCTGCGGCCTCCTCGCTTCTCTGCACGCTCCCAGGTTTCACCAGAAGTGTGGCTCGCACGAGAACTCAATCAGAGCAAACCGAAAACGATGAAGGCCACAGGGGGGACTCTGACTCAGCAAGGGTTGCCGCGCATCGGATGTGGACCGTTAACCTGGATGTCGCAGACTACGGGCAGCGACGGTACGCTCTCGATCTCCGTGGACGGTGACAGCCATCCCTCGCTAGTGGCGTTTCATCCCAGACTCGCAAGATCAAGGGGAACAGTACTCCCCCTTCCTGCCCTGTATCTCTTCTGGACGCCTGTAAACTGCCGTGGCGGAGGCAACTGGCTCTCATCCTGGAACTTCCATCTGTTATCTTCGATGCGGATCGGACCTCCTGACCCGCTGGAGAGGCCAAATGAGCCTCCGTTGGTTAGTGTGTATGAGCTGGGGTCTAGTCCTGGACGCGATGGGATCTGAGAGACGCGTCGAGATGCGGGTGGCGAAATGGGAGACGAGGGAGAGGGCGGCGCATCAGGGGGTTGGTAGGAGGGTTGTCTGCCAAATGCAGTGGCAGCAGCTCTCTGTGCTAATGACGACCCTGCTCCGTTTGTCGTTGGTGGATGACTGGGTGGCGGAGGTGGGCCTGGAGGTGGAGGAGGAGGTGGTGTTGATCGCGAGGGTGGTCCCGTTGGGGCAGATGGCGGTAGAGATGGCGGAGGGGGAGGCGGCGGCGGTGGTGCCAGTGAGGGTGCTGAACTTGTCGGCGGTGGTGGCGGAGGAGGAGGAGCAGGAGGAGCTGGGCTAGCTGATGGGGGAGGCGGAGGTGGTGGTGCGAATGACGGGCTCGCTGCTGGAGGTGGGGGTGGAGGCGGCGCTGGGGGAGCCGGACTTATCGAGGGAGGCGGTGGAGGCGGCGGCGGTGCCGGAGGAACAGAACTAAACGACGACGGCGGAGGAGGTGGTGCCGACGGCGGAGGAGCAGCAGCGCTTACTTTGCGCGAAGCTGGCGGAGGCGGTGGTGGTTTTCCGGCCGCGAGGCTGGCCACGGATGAGGGCTTGGACAGTGGCTTTGGAGGAGGCTTTTTCAGGTTGGCGAGTGGACTCGGGACTGCTGGCGCGGAATCGACTGATCCAGGTAGAGGAGGTCTGAACCCAGGTATGGGAGGAGCAGGCATTGATGGTAGACGAGGCGGTGCTGCAACAGGAGGGCGGGGAGGACCCGGTGTCGATGTTTCCGAGTCCGAATGAGCACCATCCACACCCGCTCCAGTCTCGACTCCTCCTCGGGTCTTCCTTAACTTGGGGATACCTCCAGCAAGTAATCCCGCCAATTGTGGAGGTCCGTCGAGGCTGGCTGTTGAGTCTCGTCCGGCGTCGCTGTGGCTGCGGGCCCGATTCGCTCCACCTGGAACAGGCGGCGCGAGGCCACTGGGTGCTTTTAGCCCTCCAGGTACCGGTGGTGCTCCTGCAACAGGCCCTCCTCCTCCGCCTGAGACTTTGCCGACCATAGGCGCCGAACGATCATTTGTGGTGGCTTTCTTGAGCCTGGCGCCTTTTGTAATATCCGACAGTAAAGCGTCCTGCATATGAAGTCAGCAACTTGGCTCGCGCATGTTCAATCTATTCTTCTCCATTCCGCCGACCAGCCCGGGGCGTTGTAACGTACCCGACCTTTTGCAACTGCCTTCGGCGGAGCGGCAGGGAGAGAGTTCCCAGGTAAAGGTGGTGGAGGAGGAGGGCCACCCATACCCGGAGGAGGGGGAGGCGGCGGCGGCGGAGGTGGTGGAGGAGCAGGCATGATACTATCGACTGTCGAGATATTGTTGTTCTGTGGCTCTTGTCACTCTCTCTTCAGGTATTGTTCCAAACAGTAGCGGTGTTTGGGCAGCGACCGACTGAGAGTCAGGCTCGTGTGAGGTGGAAATAACTCGAGCGTACGCGGACGCCGTGAGGACCGCAGGATGAACGGGCTGTCACTCTGCAGATATTCATATATCAATACGGGCTTATTGTGATATGCCTTTCCGTGGCACACTCTGAGGTGTGTACCTGTAGGTAGTAAGTGGTTGGTGCCCGAGTTGACAGTTGGGGAAACTCGTCATTCCACGCGGCGGACTTGGGCTTTGCCTTCACCTTACGGGGCCGACCTGTGGAGCAGCACGAGCAGCACGAGGTGACGGCGGTGCGACTCGCTTGACAGGCAGCGCCATTATTCGGAAGAGCAGGACGTTCAAGGAACCCAATTCTATTCATTGCTTGCAACCTTGTCTTCGTGTTTCTGCAATACTTGGAGTTACAGGTCCCGGATCCTGCCGCCGAAACCAAGGTATGCCAGCAATTCGCACAAAAGGTCAGAACTATCACTACCTAAGAGACTCAACTCCCCCCGGGAAAACCATGTGAGACGTGGGACACACCAGCCACAAAGCAGATCGTGAGTATGCATCGAATGATGGGAGCTTTTGTCATCCTATTCACCCTATCACCTTGCAAGCTGGCTGCAGCCACGTTTCGATTTTTCGGACATACAAGGACTGACTGCAGGTCCTGCGGAGACAATTTTGAAAGATAAGCTGTGTGTAGAGCAATGTTGTGTTCAAGGCGACTGATCTGGCCCGTGGCTCGCGCGTACAGAACGGAGTTGTTTAGGAGTGACCGGCCTTGCGGAGAGAGTTGCTCAGCCATTCGAGTCCTTCATAGAGACCATCACCGGAGGTGGCGCAGGTAGACTGGATGTACTGTATGATAGATCAGCAAACTTGTGCAGTCGGACCACGTCTTGAGACCTTACCCAGGCTCGTTGTCGCAGACTGTGCAGACCCAGCTTGTCGGTAATCTCAGCGGCGTTCATGGCATTCTGGGACATGTCAGCAAGAGGACAAGGGCTGCGATGCCTGCGAAGCTTACTGGAAGATCCTGCTTGTTGGCAAAGACGAGAAGCAAGGCGTCGCGCAACTCGTCCTCGTTGAGCATGCGCTGAAGTTCCTCACGTGCCTCAACAATACGATCTCTGTCGTTGGAGTCGACCACGAAGATGATGCCCTGAGTGTTCTGGAAGTAATGCCTCCACAGAGGCCGGATCTTATCTTGCCCACCGACGTCCCACACTGTGAACTGGATGTTCTTGTACTCGACAGTCTCGACGTTGAAGCCTGCGAACAAGGGTTAGGTGGGGAATGGTCACAAAAAGGGCACTTGTCGTACCGATGGTGGGAATCGTGGTGCTGTCAGACGTCAGTACAGGGTATTAAAAGCGTGCGCGAAGGCTTCTGGGTGGAAGCTGATAACACATACACAATCTCACCAAGCTTGAGCTTGTACAGGATCGTGGTCTTTCCGGCCGCGTCGAGACCAACCATCAGAATTCGCATCTCTTTCTTTCCCCATAGTCGGTCAAACAGCTTCGAGAACGTCAGACCCATCTTTGTTATTTACGCTGGAAGTCGAGAGGTGAAGTAGATTTTGAATGAGGCGGTCTGGCACAAAGGGTCAGCTAAAGTTTTGTTGGAAGATGCGCAGGGGATGGTGTGGTGATCTGGTAGAATGAAGAGGATAGTAGACAAGGAGCACGACGATGTCGTGAAATATAAAGCTGCACCCAAGGACATCTCTGTCACCAGCGCGCAGGCCGAAAGCACATATTGTGTGGCCACTTTGTCCTCGAGCGCGGGCGATGGATTTTCGGGACAGGCAGCTGCAATAATCTGGCTTACCGAAAGGGCGGAGCGACACTAATGCTGTCGAAGGAGCAGGCAGTACAGTGTCGAGATCAGAATGGACGTTGTCGTGACAATTCGAGACGGTCGATGGACAATGTCAGTCTGGAAGGGGACAAGTTCTCAAGATGGAGTGCCCGAGCGGATAGTTGAATGGCCTGCGACAAGGACTCGCATTCACGGCGTGCCAAGCCCTCCTGCCGCAGAAACCTTCAATTTTGTTGGCTCAGCCGCTACTGAGGACTGAGGCTGGCTTGACACAATTACCATCGCTATTGATCACTGCCTGAAGCTATCCAACCTCTGTTACTGCCAACATGTCCTTTGCTTACAGTGGTGATGGAGCATGACACGCGAAGCGATACTTATGTAGGGCACGGCATCGAGCACAGATAACCGTGACGGCCTCATGACCATCACCCGCATCGAATTAGTTCTCCCGCTGGATATCAATCCTCAACTTTGTCGTGAGATACTCTTTTCCGTCTTTCTCCGTGTGCTCATTTGGGTCGACGATACGGAATCCAAGCCTCTGGTAAAGGTCTAATGCGTTGTCATTGCCGTGACGGACACTCGTGACACAGGATGCAGGTTTGTTATCTTCCGTCGAGGCATCGCCTCTGATATAGTCGATGGTCGCTTGAATGAGACGCTTTCCCAGTCCTTGACCACGCACTTCGGGTTCGATATAAAGGGCCGCCATGTTCCATTCGGCTGACCACAAGCTGTCTGGGGCTTTCTCGTTGGCGGCAGCAGAGATGACCACGAACCCAACCCACGCTTTCTGCAGTAAGGTCTCGTTCGGTTTTGCTCCGTCCTCACGAGCCAGAATCAGATGGACGACACGATCCGCCTTCAGCCTGTTCAACCAGAAATCCTGTTGCTGGTCGGCTTCATGCTCGTACTTGGAAATGAAACTTTTCGCGTCTTCTTTCAGGGCCCTTAGGCGAAGCCTTCTCAATCTTGCCGAATATTCAGGCAGTGTATCATCGTCAGGGGCGGGTTTAGGAAGTAGGTCAATGGAGAAGGAACCCATAGTCGCGGCCGGCCTTGGTGTCAGACTTAGGACGCTGATGGCAGGCAACTCCCTTGCGAGTGCGTTTCGGGCGGGAATCAATGATCTTAGGCAAATTCCGTTGCCAGCCATGACTCACAGCCGTCACATAAGATGGGCATTTTCATAGCGCCAATTCCAAACGCCATACGAACTCGTGGCTTAAATACTGCATACCCACCAATATCGCACTCTACCATTCAAGAAGATTTGTGCAAAGCAGGAAGCAAAGTAATATCATAGATTCTGATGCTGCTCTCTGGAAGCCCTCTACGATGCTACTGTATCTGCCGTGCCTTTAGAAACCTCCTAACTACGCCTGTCTCGGCTCGCTGTGGAGACAGCTTCTTCGTCTTGTGCCTCCCAAAGCCCATGATCATTCCTATGATCTCCCATATTGGTCAAAATACCGAGGGTATTTTTGGTCGGGGCCGTGAGACACATATCGCATCTGACTTTTGAGCGGCCAGGCAGGTCCTTGGTTGTGGACCTTCGACAGGCTATCTTCCGTCGACTCGCTGAGCATCTGCAGCTTGCAGCTGTTGTATGATCTGCTGGCGAGAGCTTCGCACTGGCTTTGCGCGTTTTGTCGTACCGGGATCTCGCGGGCGTCGATTGTTCGGGTTCCGTCGTCGTCGATGCCCCGATTCATAGTTGTTCATTGCCAAGAGATTTATATCTAAATATCCCGTCAAGTCGGCCTGATAACAGAGCGTTCAGATCAGATGTCAGAGGCTCAGAAGCAGGCTCAACACACCAACAGAGTGGAACTGCCACAATTTGCTGACTTAATGCACGCTTGTGACTGTCTGCCACTTTGCTATTTGCTTTCGGCGCTTTCACAGTGCTCATGACATCTGCCGCCGTGGAAGGTCTTCCGCCAGGTCAGGAGGGTTCACGCAGACGACTGCAATCGACTGAGCGCTGGGGACTCTAGTCGGGACGGGATTTGTCGTTAATGGTAGCCCTGCCTGAAGTGGCCTGCTCATCCTTTGATGGTTCGGACGCTGAGCCACTCCAGCCCGACAGCAACACCTGCAGCAAGGTTGGAATTGAATCACGGGCGAAGGAGGCTGTGGCTACGGATCAGGGATGCCGCGTAGCTGCGCTCGAGGCACTTCGGGATCCGAGTCATCAGTGGAACTCACGCCGGCTTGCTCCAGCCACGGTGAGAGTTCTTCACTCGTGAGAAAGCCTCATTCTCACTTTGGTTCTCTGCATTGCCCAAGCCGGGCCTTCGTCCGATTCATAGGAGATCATCAGCCTCCAAGATTGGTTTATCGGCTTGTGGAGGGCTGCAATTGTGACTCCACCTCGTCCCAGCAGTCAAGCAGCGGCGGTCAAGGGGGTGGACGAGTCAATGAGGCTGATCAAACAGGAATTCACCACATCGTAACAGTAACATACGTCTGTCAGAGAGTGTGTCAGTGTCCTGGTGAATCCTTGGTCGGGTGGTGCGGGGTCTTGGGTACAGGCATGAGAAGGTAAAACAGCCGAATATTTACCGCAACGCTATCCCGTAAGCAGTTAGCTCCATCCGATCCATTTTTCCCACACCATGAATTTTGATCTCTCCGCCTCTGTATCTCTATCTCTCACCTTCTCCTTGCCTTCACACCCTGCGCGATCGCCTACACCAAAAGAAACGTCATAAATTCTTCTGGGAGACATCATTCACCATGTCGAAGGTCTCAGTTGCAGGTGTGCGCACAAACGTACAACAACTTCTCGATTACTCCTTGAATGAGAAGAAGAGGAACTTCCTGGAGACTGTCGAACTGCAAATCGGCTTGAAGGCGTATGACCCGCAGCGTGACAAGCGATTCTCTGGCAGCATCAAGCTGCCCACGGTGCCGCGCCCGAACATGGCAATCTGGTATGTCTAGAAACCCGGCCCCAAGGGAACGTCACACTCCGCGGAGACAAGGGAGGGGTGGAGGGGAAGCAGATTATGCAAGAGAGCACAGAGTACTGACAAGAGACCAGCGTTCTCGGTGACCAGCATGACATTGACCGCGCCAAACACGCCGGCGTCGACGCCATGTCCGCGGACGATCTCAAGAAACTCAACAAGAACAAGAAGCTGATCAAGAAGCTCGCGCGCAAGTACGACGCCTTCCTGTCCTCGGACTCCCTGATCAAACAGATCCCGCGTCTCTTGGGCCCCGGTCTCTCCAAGGCCGGCAAGTTCCCCACACCCATCTCCCACAACGAGGATCTCAACAGCAAGATCGTCGAGGTCAAGAGCACGATCAAGTTCCAGCTGAAGAAGGTGCTGTGCATGGGCGTCGCGGTCGGGAACGTCGGCATGACCGAGGACGAGCTGATCAGCAACATCATGTTGGCCATCAATTACTTGGTTTCGCTATTGAAGAAGGGATGGCAGAACGTGGGCAGCTTGACCATCAAGGCCAGCATGAGCCCGCCCAAGAGATTGTACTAAGGTCGACATGTCTATCCTCTCTATCTGCGGTGGTCTCTATCTGCGGTGGTTGCGCCATGTTCCAACCAAAGTAGCATGGTCATATCAGCCATGGGGGGCGGGTCAACAAGAGAAACGACGAACATGAGAAAATCGAGATCGCAATCAAGGACATGACATGTGGCGCAGACAAAGTCAAGGGTAGAACGACATTCGAAGAATCCACATGCTGGGAGAAGACTGATTGCATGCTGGAAGAAAGCCGATCGAAAAGTCGAGGGTAGATACGTACTCGACAATGCCATTCCGACAGAAAAGAGTCATGAAATGAAAAAAGTGTCCTCCCTCTCCGCCTTGTAGCCTCATGCGTGTGGGATCAATCGAAAAGGCAAGAGTAGGTACATTACATACTCGACAAAGCCATTCTAATAGAAAAGTCTTGAAATGAAAAAGGGTATCCTCCCGTCCCGCCTTGTAGCTTTCTGCGTGTGGTCACGTTCATGCTCCTGCTCAGAGCAACCGTCTCCTTCATTCCTATCCTCTTATATCAGGTAGTTTCTATACGACTATATCTCACACATCCCCGCTTTATTAAATCCCCCATCTACTGCATCCCCTCCATCAAGTCGGTCTTATCAAGAATCATATCCCTCAGACCGACCTCATCCCTCAACCTTTTCCACTCGACGCCGTGCTCCTCCCCCCAGCGCGCCTTGTCCTGAAACCCCCAAGCTAAAGCCAAGCGATCAAAGAACCGCCTCTCGTCCTCGCGGAGCCATCGGCTGCTCAGGTGCGTCCCCGGCCGCCACACGACGCGCACCATCTGATCGTTGTACGTCGTGACGGCGACGAACCCGATCGTGCTCAACGTGCCGATGTACGCCGCCGCGCCCGCCACGGCCGTCCACTTGGCCATTTCCACGTCCATGGTGTTCTGCCACTGCGCGACCCAGTCGGCGCCCGCGTACGCCACCAACGGCGTGGCTGCCACAATCGCGCCGGGCACGCCGGCCTTGCGGAGCATCCTGTTTGTGCGAAACGCCGGCGCCGCGACCGTGGTGTCGATGATCGCCACGGCCAGGGGCAGGTTCTTCTGCAGGATCGCGCTCTCCAGCGCGGCCTCGGCCAAGTCGATGGGGATGGCGTATTTGGGCAGCTTGGGCCACGGGGACGAGAACTTGACGGGCCCGGCCGAGCCGGCGCGCGGGATCGGTTTCGTCGCGTACAGGTGGAAGATCTCGGGGAGGTACTCGGGTCTGCCGAGCTGGCAGAGCAGCCGCACGTACATCTGCAGCATGTCTTCGGTGATGTAGACTTTCGGGTCGCGGAGGAGGGTGTACGAGAGGTGGGAGAGCGTGGCGGCGGCGTTGGTGCGGAAGGACGCCGTCATTTGGGGGAGGGCTTGACTCTGGGTCTGGCTTTGGCTGTGTGATGACATTGAGACCGAGTCATCGGTTCGCGAGACCGGTGCGGCTGTTGACTTTTCTTCCACCAAGTCGTCGAGCAGTGCGTCTTCGATGTCCTTGCCTTGGGAAGAGGAGGTTGAGGGGGAGGAGGGTGTGCTGCTCGAGCCCAGGCCGTTCTCGTCCGATATGGTTCTCGTGCCGTGGACCAGCACGTTCGATAGCTCGTACATGTCCATGAGGGTTTCGAGGACGTCATCGTGGTCTGCTGCCGCGTCGGTGGACTGCACATGTGCGACGAATTTCTCAAAGTCTTTCAATTTTTGAGCCGGGTCATCAACCGTGCTGGCCGCGGCTTTCGCAGGAGGAATCCGCGTATTCACCGGCTTGGATGCCTTTGCTGGCGCCAATCTGTTCTGTGCAGGTGGAAAATCCCGGCTCTGCGCCGGCCGTTTTCTCAGCGGTACGGCTATGGTGCGCCTGGAATTTGAGGAGGCTTCTTGCTTCGGAGGATGGGCGGCTTGGGAGATGAACTGCCGCCGAAACGGTTGTGCCGCAGAGAGCTTTTGGCATGAGCGGCAGACGTAGCTACCTCGCCTGGGTAGTACTGTAGCCATGATAGGGAAACTGGCTCTTTCGAGGCCAGCTGCGGTGCAGTCAGTGCAGTCAGTGCAGTGAGTGCAGTGAGCTGAAGTTGCCTTGTTTGACGGGCGCACACGGTGCCGCTTCGACAGTCCACGGCAAGCCGAAAAAGCTCCCATTAGAGTTAAGGTTTCGGGACTTGCCTGGTTTAGACCGCGCCCGGACGGAGCTAAACAACACTAAATGATAAGCGGGGATAAAACAAAGCCTCGCACGACGTTCATGTCACGGATTGAAACACTTGTTTACGACTATTCTGGAGATGTGCAATACTATTTCATCGTCGGACAGGTCGCTTTCTAAACATACTAAACGTACTTGACTAGCAGTGCATTGACCCCACACCATTTGCGCGCCCATTTCAGGCATGCGGTGGCCGGCCGGCATCAATCATATCCCATTCTCCCGTCGTATCGGCCCTTTCCGAGTGACTCCGGCTGTGCAAGTTGGATACAGGTATTCAGATTCAACGTGCAACCCCGTTGGTGCCTTGCGGGGCGGCCGCCGACTCGCGCTGCCATTACGTGCGCCTCCGGTCTCGTCTTTCACAACTCGGCAGGTGTTTAGGATGTTTTCCATTTCCTGGGGGCTTTTGTCCCGGGTGAGTTCCCCATGTTTCTCATCAAAATGCCGTCTCATGCTGCGTCTGTTCTTCAAATAAGGCCCAGGATGGCAGTTCTCGTCGGCGCAGCACCGGTAGGTGACGTCCATCGCGTAAGTCTCCCACCGCTCCGTCCGCGCGCGTTGTCGCCTGAGCAAGACCAGCTCCCGGGCGCATTCCTCCAGCATTCCTCGAGTCTCAGCCTGGGCTAAATATGTATTGGTCAGATTCTCCAACCTCTCCAAGGTCGTCCATCCTCCATCTTTAGGCCGCCAATCATCTAGCGGAATTTCTCCCAGGCAATGGCCGCCCGGACGGATGTCATTCGGAACGGAGAGTCGCGTGAACTTGAACTTGAACATATTCGCCATGAAGCCCATGTCGTCGACAACTCCATCCACGTCTGTTAACCAGTTCTTGGAATGCTTGAAAAGGAGCTCGACCAATTTCTTGAGCCGCTGGCGGCGGTCGTCGGACGATCCCATGATGTCGCCCAATTGGTTCCTTCGCGACATCACTGGCCGGCTCGCTTTCTCACCCGTCCCGATGCTGATGACGATCTTTGGTGGGAGATCATGCCTGTCACTGACGTCTTTGTAAGCAATCTTTGCAGGATTGTTGAAACCCAGGCCACCGTCGATATACGCATCGTTGCCATCGTGTTGGCGCTCGAAGAAGACTGGCGCGGCCGTCGTCGCCATTGCCGCTTGCCAAATTGGCATCTTTGAGGCAGACCTCTGTTGTACGGCGAGGATTCGTTTAAAAGGCTTCGATGCACAAATGGTCCTTCCGTGCCGCCACCGACCCTTCTGGATACGACCATGCTGCGACTATGTCAACAGGTTTCTAACTCGGACTAAGTCAGGGTACTCATACCATTGACAGGCTTCTTCAAACCGCGGATCCATGGCAAGCGTCTCGCGTTGCACTTCGTAATCTACGACGTTGGGGTCTCTAAGACCAAGGCGGACGACTTCAAGGATCGTTTGTCGCACCTTGATCGCCGCATACTTTGGTCTGGGATACCAAAGTACGGACCGCATGTGGAACCAGCGACTTTGGCCAAAGACGTTGTCGCCAAAGCGAGTATACTGTTCTTTGGCTTCCTGAATAGTCAGGCAGAGCCTGCCTAACATTATTGCGCTGAGCCTGCGGTGCGTCAGCTTGTGGTTCAGAGCAGTTCAGCAAGTCGGAAGGAGCCCACCCGCCAGTGCTTGTCCCTGCCATATAGTCAAAGGAATGAGCAGGGTAGAAGCGCTCGTCACGGACTGTGATGTTTTGGCCATTCCAAGGGTAGTCGGCGCTGCACCGCACATTCTTGACATCTTCGTCATACAACTGGTACGTCGCTTTGATGTTTTTATCTATCCAAGAGGTGTCTTGTTCGAGGGCGGCAATTTTCGACATCAGGTCTTCCACAATGAGGAGGCTCGAATAACCCGGATCCCTCCGCCATCTGCGAGGCGTCAGTCCGTCTGACTTTGAGCGGCGTTGGCCAGAAGCGAGCATTGCAGAAGGTGGCCTACCAAGTGACAGGATGATTTTGCCGGCCCACGGGCGGTCCTTTTCTTCATCGTTGTGCAAGTAACCAGTCAAAGGGTACACTCTTTGCCCGTGTGACGGAGTGCGTGAGGTGGGTCCTGCTAATGTAGGCGCATTCGAATTTCCTTCTGAACTGGGCGAGGCTTGTCCGATTTGTTCCATCTTTCGTCACTCCGCCGGTGGTTGTGACAGGTATATAATCGAAACAGGTGGTCAGGTCCACCGTCTCCTCCTCGATGTCCAGGTCCACGCTGGCACTATGTGTCTGTAACGGCTGAAAGACAAACATCATGGAGGGAGCCCGCCTTTAAGGCTGATGAGGAACACGACTTGGGCAGCGCGATGCCCCTTCAAGCCGCCAAAGCAGATCCTCATCGCTGTTGGGAGACATCACTGTCCCGCGCACGGGGATGTCGTGCATGCGGTCGATGCAACAGGCGATCAGGCTGTGGTAGTAATTTGCTACAGCGCAGTCAGGGGTGCGCAATCCTTGCTGATACTCCGAACGTTGTGGCGCTCAGCCGCAGAAGAGGGCCGGAACAACGATCATCCCCACAAGCACTTCTCTCGAGTCAGTGACCACGGCTGGCCACACCTCGCAAAGTTCTGCAGAATCATTGCCTGATACCCCAGTCGCGGCGCCTCGCGCCATCTGCAGGCAAAGGGCCCCTCTGAGGCAAATTCCAGCCAGCCGGGAGGCAACAAGGATTTGGGAGGTCTCCTTAGCCGGTTCAGCCAGCTCACCGGCCGCAGGATCTCCTCTCGCTCAAAAGCTGGGACTTGAACGAGAACACCGCGTCGTTGTCAGCGGTCTTGTTCGCTTTATCTTGGGTGATTTGGGGGTTGACGTTGGCTGTGAACGTCATGCCGGTCTTCCATGTGTTTGCATGACCTTCATCTCTGTGACAGATATCCTTTTCTGATCATTCGGCAATAAGGCTGAGAGTGAAAAATGCCTGACAGCCTGCATCGCCTCGGACGTGGCCATGCACGCGGCCAAATTAGGCGCTTAATAGTGTCAGAAGTCCGAGCCGAGTCATTTGACCAAGGGGGTCCACGGTACGATGCTTGCTGCAATTCGTGAATGTCGAGGGATGGCGCATCGGAGAATGTGTCAACAATGCCACCAAATGGCGCCACATCAATCACAGACCTGCCAGGCGCCCAAAGATTCATGCACTGCCCACAAACAAGAGGCCATGGGGTGTAAATATGACGCCCTGACTCCGCACTCGACTGGCATCGTACCAGGCCATACCCCCCCATTCTTCCCCGTTGTCAAGCTCCGACTTCCCAGCCTTACAAAACATCAGCAGTAGCAGTACGTTCCACCTTTCCTTCTCCCTCCTCATAGGCATGAGACAGCCATTCGTAATATAAGAATCATAATCTGCTGGTCAGAGCAAAGCCGCTTCTAACGCGCTGTAATATCCAGTCACGCCATGGGGTTCAGGTCCACGGAGACAGTCGCCTTGCTGGACACACGAAGCAATAATCTCAGAACCATGGACAAGCGCGAAGCCGAAAACATACCGCACACCATCGTTGTCCACCTCCCCAGGTTTGCCAGCAAGACCGACATCCGCGAAGGGTCCAAGGACCCTTCAGATGATCAATTTCTTGCGACGGTGCGTCTCTGGAGACTCGGACTCAACTACAACGTCAAAAGATGGATGAAGCCAAGTTCGGAGATGTATGTTGTCAAGAAGACGACGAATTCCAGCCCAAGGGATTCCTTTTCTGTCTCAGGAAGTTGAGGGGACGATCGTCCAGTTTCGGGCCGGACAAATGAGTGATTCTTCAAGCGAGGATAGCGAGGTTCGATTTTCAGCAGTATCGCCTATATTTCGGGTTTGTAGCAGTAGGGATTTGTCCGTGCCGTCGAACACGGCAAAGGAAAGCGGAAGGTCACGCCCACAGCAGTGTAACCTGCCAGGCTGTCGCCTAACGGACCTACGCGGCACATGTCGGGCGGCGAAGCTGCCTCAAAGCTGGTATCGTGGGCTCGAGGCGGCTTGAGCAGCATGAAGAGGGCGTCGTCAGGCATGGCATGATGTTGTCTTGTTTCGAAAATACTCAATAAGAGTTGCGCAATCGACTGTAGTTGGTGGAGTCGCACTGACCTTGTCTTCGTCGGAAGCTATAAATTATTTTGAGGGTGGAAAGGGAAGGAACGAGCGGGCCGTGGTTTCAGAGTTTTGGCTTTCGCGCTTAAATCTTGATGGCCTCAGACTCGTCTCACCCGCCTCTGACCTGCCTCTCACCCACCTCTGATTTACCACCAAGATGCGAGGTATGGAGTACAGGGATTGAATGCAGATTCTCGGTCGAGGAGCATGCTAGTGATGCTATAGGATCTTGTACCTTTCAACCCCGCTCATTAATGGTGCCGAATGCTAGAATACACCGGTTGTATGCTTACAACAAGACCCAATATCCCGCTTGTTCTCTCCTTTGCCACGGGTCAACGTACCAGTATACACGGGATTTCAAGGCCTCAAGCCTTGCGTTATTATACAGTCGCTCTACCACATCAGTCACATAATGTCGTAACAATCATAGCACATTGGCTTCCTTGGCCAGTGCTCGATCGTCCTTGTCATCCTCGTCGAACCTGACTACGACGAGTCTGGCCTCGCCGTGCGTCATTTCCACGTCGCCATCGGCTTCCGCGCCACCGATGATCCTCCATATCCTTTTCTGTGCATTGTAACCAAACCCCAGAAGGACGACATGGCCAATGTACGCCAACACAATGATCCATCCCACGACGATCCTGGCGATGCTGACTTCATGTATCCCGTACATGAAGTGCCCTCGGACTTGGATAGGACAGACAGCCTGGCCAGCCTTGTTCTGGTTGAAAGTGGGTAGTTCGCAGTGCATCCAGAAGGCTAGGGTGGTGATCCAGCCACAGATGAGGAGGGAAGAGGTCGCGAGGAAGGTGATGTAGATGCTGCGTCGTGCCATATGTCGTGGCGTGTGGTGATGCATGATGAGTTCAAAGATATTGTGGAATATCGAGAGCCCAGGGGCAGTGAGCGTGTAGAAAAGCAGAGCGACCTCAGATTCGCCGTAGGAAGAAGAAATGCTCTTTGTACCTGCCGTGGTTTCGGTGGCAGTGGCGGCTGTTTCTCGTTTGCCGAAGATGGAGGAGTCGGCTTCCGCATTGCTGTCCACGGCCAAAATGTCCCCAATATCTGTGTGAGGTTTCGCCACACAGTATGCGTAGATGGCGCCCAGGAGCAACGTGGTGAATGTGGACATGAGGAGAACGGGTAGGATGATGGCACGGAACTTGTGTAGGCGATGCAAAGCAGGGTATCGTGACCGTGAAGGGAGTGCTTGCTCGGTTTTTATTGCTGGTCGAGGGTGAGTGTTTGAGATGAGGAAAGCGCCGTTGCCGGAACTCGCTCGACGAGGGTTGAAATGCATCTTGGTGGCGGTGGTATTGACGACTAGGTATTATGATCGCTTGATCAGAAGATGGTATGGGCGTCCAGGCAGCGTCCAGCGCAGACAACGATTTGATTACGGATAAGAGTCGGTACCGTGACCTAACGCCTCCAAGGTAAAACGGACGTTGAACAACAAAGGAAATGGAAGGTGGTGTGAGCAATATAGAGGCTACGAGAGACACCACCATATGTATGCGCATTTGCACTCACTGCCTTGATTTCTTATTTCTGACGCAAGTGTCCTCCAGTCTGGTCAGCGGTAGATGCCACAGACATCATGGCTTGACCAGCCCGTGAGCATCGATCATTGAGCAGAACCAGAGGTGCCTTGGGAGGCGCAAGGTGCAATGTCAGCCAGTCCATGGCTAATGAAACGTGGTTGTTGACGATCAGGTCTGAAGCATTGCGGTCGAGGGCGAGGTCGGTTGAGGCCACCGCAGAGCTATTCTTGTCATCGCGGCTAACAATGCCTGAACATGAACGTGCAACGATGGCCAATGAATCTACGAGGAGGTGCGCAAGGCTGAACGGGGCCTGTCGTCATGGGCCAGTCGTCGGCATTCGGCGTCTAATTGAGGCAGCGAAAGATGGCGTTTGAGGAGGTGTTTCAATGCAGCAAATGTTTCATGACAGGGAACAACGCGTTCGCGGTTACCGCCGCGATGATTAAGCGATGCCAAGATGTTGCCAAGAGTTCGCGTTCCATCACCGTCCACAAAAATACACCATCTCACCATGTCTTCACTCCGTGACAGAGTTCGTAGTGGCACTCTCATGTGGCGTCGAGCATAACTTCGTCCATACAACCTGCGAACTTGGAAGCGAGCTTGAGTGACTCGTGCGGACATTGTAGAGGAGTTCGGCAGGTCTGAACCACATGAGAAGCGCCTGAATGATTTGAGCGAAGATGGTCAGCTCCCAGGAGGATCATGTAGAAAGTGCCGATATCTTCAGCATGTTGCATGGGTGTAGGCTCGACCCTAAGTGTTTCTACAAATAACTGTCGAGATATTGCTGGTAGCAGTGGCACCCAGCATAGCCTGGGTTCCTGTACACCGTACGTGAGAGAGGAATATACCAGACCGAAGGCTTCCAATGACTGGCATCCTGAACACCGTACTGGTATCCTCTGAGGTTGTCAGGGAGACAGCCTCAGAACGGAGTAAAGCTCAGACCAGCTCGCGAACTCAGATTGATTCAAGAGCTGGGATAAAGGTCAGATACACATGCACATGCGCGACCTAGACTGTACTGTGACGCTGACAGAGGAGACAAATGGCAAGATCCAGGATTGGCCACCATGCCTCGTTCTGCTGACAACGTGAGACGAATTATAACTTTGTCTAAACGACAATCCCCAAACCGTACGCCGTATAAAGGGCCGCTGCTTTCCTCGCAGCTTCATCTGACTTCCTCTCAGTCTCAACTCCAAGTCACGTCGACAGCGGCCAGGCTGAGCGGAAAGAAGATTGGCTCCCAAAGCAGGAGTTTGTCCTCGCGATGCAATCACGCAGTTATGTATTGTACACACGGAGTACTGTAGCATCTCTTCTCGGCCTCGGACTCTATTTTCTGCCTCCCACCGACAGCGACGAGGCCCAGGAGCCACGGTGCAGCAGCTGACACCAACATGACTCACACACGTGCTGCCAGTAGCAGAAGCGCGGATAGAGCACGGCTGCTCGGCACCGCAATCTCCATCTCGCCATGCTCGATGGGGCATTCTCCCCAGCTTGAAGCGTTGCCATCGGCCCAATTATTATCAATCAACGCCATTCATCTACCAACTACGGAGCCCTGGACTTCCATCCATCCACACAATCCTCGTACCTGAAGTCGTACGGGTGCAGACCGCCATGATGCTGTATGCGATGAATCACCCACGATCTGTCCCCGCTTTCTCCGGCACAACAGTGACCTCGTAGACTGTTGCTCGCCCTTGTTTAGAAAGCCGGCTATGTTCTCGTACAATATGCCCTCCGTCCTCCGTACAGTATGCGGGTGTTCCACTTTTCCCATTGCCGCAAAAGCACAGAATTGGATTTTTTGCCATCGGTTCGTTTCTCTACATAGCCTGCAGTTTCTGCATTCGGCCATTCCTTCTTTTCAAGCACGGATATTTGCCACGTCCTGCTCTTGTCGAAAGAAACATGTCGCCTTGTCCCTGGAGAAATCTGAGTCGTGGTTGAGTTGTGCCTCTCCTCCCTGTTCTGCCTTGACCTCGGCTACCACACCCTTCCAATCATGAGTTCCTCCACCATCCTCGAAGATGAGCTCGACGAAAAACATCTCTCAGCCCCCAGGCCAGATTTGGCGCGGACGCAGTCGAACGTGGAGAAAGCCATCGACGCAGAAGCGAATATCAATATCTCCCTTGCTGCTGAAGACGCGACGGTCTTGGACGCCGACAATGACGACCCGGGTCCTCCCCCGAACGGCGGCTTCCGTGCATGGCTCCAAGTCGTGGGCTCTTTCTTCCTATTCTTCAACTGCTGGTAAGGGGCTGCGTCGTTCAGTAATGCGAGTAATGAACTCACGTTAACCAATCTACAGGGGCACTATCAACGCGTTTGGTGTTTTTCAAACCTACTACGAGACCAACCCGTTGTGGCACGAAACACCGAGCAACATCTCCTGGATCGGCTCCATCCAAGCCTTCCTCTTGCTACTTGTCGGACTCATCTCAGGCCCGGCCTACGACAACGGCTACTTCCGCTCGTTGATTGTCGTCGGCGCGATCCTCATCCCCTTCGGATTCATGATGACGTCCTTAGCAACGGCATACTGGCAGACCATGCTCGCGCAGGCATTCTGCATCGGCATAGGCAACGGCTGTATTTTCGTGCCCTCGGTGGCCATCCTGCCACAGTACTTCTCGACGAGAAAAGCGCTGGCCAACGGGCTCGCAGCTTCGGGCTCCAGCTTCGGCGGCCTCATCTACCCGATCGTGTTCCGCCGCATGCAGCAGGAAGTCGGGTTCGCGTGGGCGACCCGGACGCTGGGCTTCCTCTCGTTCGCGACCGTCTGGTTCTCCGTCTTCGTCATGAAGCCACGGATCATGCCCAAACAGCGCCGGCCACTGACTGATCTCGCGGCGTTCAAGGAGCTCCCGTACACGCTGTTCTGTCTCTCGATGGTGTTCGGATTCATCGGTCTCTACGGCCCACTCTACTACATCGGCCCGTACGCGATCCAGGAAGGCATCACCGGCGAGGACCTCGGCTTCTACTTACTCCCGATCATCAATGCGGCTAGCATCTTCGGACGCATCATCCCCAACACCATCGCCGACATGATTGGCCCGCTGAACGTGCTGTTCCCCTGTGCCACCATTGCGGCCATTCTCGCCCTCGCGTGGATCGGCATCAAAAGCCTAGGCGGCATCATCGCGTTTGCCCTGATATACGGCTTTTTCTCCGGGGGCTTTGTCTCGTTGCCACCTGTCGCCATCGTCACCTTGACCAGTGACATGAGCAAGATCGGCACTCGTATGGGACAGTGCTTCTTCCTCAGCGCGTTCGGACTACTGGTGGGCACTCCCGTTTCTGGCGCCATCCTCAAAAATACAGGCAGCTGGGTGGGTGTGCAGCTGTGGAGTGGAGCGGCCATCATGGTCACGGGCTTGCTCTTACTCTGGGCTCGCGTCGCTGTCGTGGGTTGGAATCCGATGAGAAGGGCGTAGGTGACTCTCAGACAGCAAGTATGCAGCAATTGTCAGCCAGAAATACATCGGAACTCCCACAAGCCTTTCGTGCGGCGTGCGGAATGCGGATTGCAGTGTACTGTAAAGTCGGCTCCAGTCAGGCAAGGCGAGGCGAGGCGAGACCATCGTAGGAGGTACTCACGCTACCGGGGACGTCACCAGAAAACATCATCTGGACCATGGTGTGGTGTGGATACAGTCACTAGGGTATCGTCAAGCAAGCCATGCAGAACTCCACGCGCAAGGCGTAGCACCAGCACCAGCACCAGCACCAGTGCAAGCACTCTCGGACCAATGGCTAATGGCTAACTGCTAACTGCTAACGGCTGATGTATCTGAGCGCTGGGAGCTAATATCGCGCCTTTCATACAAGTCCTCACGCAACACCACTCAGTACAGAGCCAGAGCCAGAGCCAGAGCCAGAGCCAGAGCCAGAGAGAGAGCGAGAGCAAGGACTAGAGTAAAAGCCAGGACCGGGACCAGGGAGCCTAATTAGCATCACTGTAATTCAGCCCAGTAACAGTGAATGGAATACACAGGGCGGATCAACTCAATCAAATCAAATCAGCCGAACCAATCAGCTCAGCTCAGCTCAGATCAGAACAGAACAGACCAGCAGATCATCCAATCAACGCCGCCAGGGCAAGACGAGAAAAGGAAAGACAAGACAAGACATATGCAATGCGAAGTAAGAAAACCTTGAAAGGCAACAAGGCAAGACAAGACAGGACAGGACGGGTCAGGACAGGATGTACAGGACCACACCACGTTGAAAGTACCGGTGAATCACAAGATTGACAAGGCCAGTAAGACGACACCTCACGCAAGACACTTGGAAGGAATGACGACGTCGTACACGGCCAGCAAAGATGCCAAACCGTGATCAACCAGACGGATGTATGGTTGACTGTACGCATGGGTGAGCGAGTGAACCGACAGATGAAAGGGACGAGCGCTATATATATATATATATATATACTAAATATTGTATATATACCCCATCAGCATGTAAGCATGTTGTACGATTTCATGATACCCACCTACCTAGGTACACGCGGGAGGCCGTTCAAGGGGGTATATCCGTACTAATGTACCTATACAGCACACAGGGTGAATGAGACAGGCGGTCAAAGGACTATACAGGTATACCTGAGGTACCTACCTGAGGTACCTAGGTACAGTAAGGACACTGGGTACGGGTGCGTCATATGGGCTTAAGTCTGAGTCGTCTTCTCATCTGCCTACGCTTCATTTGCATTTCAATTCATTTCAGGTACATCTCATTCGTTCTTTGCTTACCTGACTTGTATTTCAGGCATCTCGTGCCACCTTTGCTTGACACGCGTGTCAGGGTGCAGCTCATTCATTCTTGCTTGCTTGCTTCACTTGCTTCACTTGCATCACACTGACTTCACCTCACTAACCTGACTGACTGACCGACTGACTGACTTGAGCTCGCCCACTACAACACCAAGCACGTCATAGCTGTCGGTGACCTCCAAACAAAGCGTCACACTGCGTCACAACAATTCGACTATCCGCAGAGTCAAGTGAGACACGAAGGCACCTCACCAAGAATCAACGTCCACCAGGTTCAACCAGTTCACCACCCCCATCGCTTTGATCAAATTCCCCTTCAAGTCCAAGTGCACGCCATCATACTTGCTCGCCTGGACGCTCATGTTCCAGGTGCCCATGGTTTCCACGCCCCTCCTAGCGGCTTCGACGCCAACACTCTCCTCAAACGTCATGAGAGCTTTATCACCCTGGCTGACGAGCCATTGGTCGGGCTTCAAGATCCCCGCGGCGTTGGGTGGGATGAACAAGCGCGGCCAGATCGAGTGGGCGTCACGCAGATACGGCGCCCGCAGCACACTGTGCTCGAGCACGCCGTCCAGCCAGTGTAACGTCGCTTGGATGTCGAGGTCGTTCCAGAGGCCGTGGCCGAAGACGAAAGCGTACGGCCGCTTTGGCTTCGTAGGCGCCAGAAGGTCCATATAGCGTGCCAGTTCCTCGGTGTCGAGCGGGAAGCGGAGCATCATCTCGATGACTAGGTCGACGGGAGTGTCAGGTCCGCAGGCCAGGCTGGTGGGGTCGTTTTCTAGGACCGAGGAGGTGGAGAAGATGCCTTGCACGGAACAGGATTTGACGTCCATTTGGTGGTTGCAGAAGCAGGCGCGCCTGAAAATGAATGAATGAATGTTAGCAAACACACACAGAAGAAATGAGAACGCGAATGAGACTTATGACGACAAACTCACAATTCTTCCTCGTCAAAGTTCCAATTCGTCACTGCGCCGTACCCCAGATCCTTCCTCAAGAGCACGTTGAGAGCACCCACCACATGCCTCATCATACTGTCCCCCACGACAACGATCTTCTCGAACCGCGAAAAGATCTCACACACCTCCTCGGTCGTGAACCATCGCATATCACACCCCCGCGGCATGAAAGGCTTGTCGAACCCAATGCGTCCACCGCCCGAGAAAGCCGTCAGAAAATCATGGCGCGTCTGACAGAGAGGGGAGAACGCAGAGTGCAGGTCCAGAGAGGAGATCTGACAGGCCGTGTGATTTCGCCACGCATAGTTTTGGAACGTGTCAAGCGTGTCCGGGGCGCGGTATGTAGCGTTTTCAGGTGGAGGGAAAGCCGGGATCGAGGCTGTGGAAGGATTGTAGCCAAATTCAAGCTGCATGCAGGCGTTGAGGCTGACGGAGCGACCAGACTGTAGCAGTCCCGTTGACGTCAGCTGCCGCTCATTTCGCGTGCTGTAGATCAGAGGCATGGTGGCACGTACCGAGAAACCGTGTGTGATCCATTCCCAGAGGAGAATCGCAAGCACGAGGGCGAGGAGGAAGGTCTGTAGAAATCGGCGCTTCAGGATCGCGCGCAGAGGGACTCGTCGCACGTCCATGGTGACATCGCCCGCCTCGAGGTCGTCGGTGTTGCGAGGAGGTCGGAGCGGGAAAAGGGGAGAGGGGAGAAGGAAGGGAGAGGGAGAGAGAAGAGGCGATGAATCTCGACGGACTCGCCGTCGGTGGCTGCTTGATGCAACGGAAGAACTATTGGCCAGTTAGCAGCGGCGATGGTGTTGGCGTTGTGGTGATCGTTGTGAGAAGCGGTCGACAGCGAGGTATCGGTGTGGTACTGAGAAACATACCTCATTGTGTTTGTGAAGACTGTTCGGAACGGAATTACGTCACACCGAACGGTGAGATAGAGGTGAGGCGGCGGTGACAGCAGCGTAAGATTGTGCCAGGGTAGTGCTCATCCCCTCCCCTGGCCATGCTAGCTGCCGTTGTCGTCAAAGGACTCCTTGTTGAAACCAACAATGGATATGGTGGTTGCTGAGTACAACAGATATATCCGGTTGTCCGGATGTCCTCTGCTCACAACAATAGACCTAGAGGATGCTCAGCACAGTCAAAGTGTCTTGCTCGTTCCGCGGCTCGTCTCTGTTCACAACAATCTCGTCGAATTTGGCGTCGGTCGGGAGTCATCAGAAAGAACGAAGACCTCGTTGTTCACAACCAGCTCCGGACGGGAAACGATGGCAACAATGCCACTGTGCAGGACGTTCATCATCCATTCATTCTCATATATCAGACACGGGTCGACAACCACCCTCCTGCGATGGGGTGTAGAGGCTCCTGTAGCAAGGGCAAGGTCTTCTGCCGTCTCAACTCAATCTGGATGTTTTCCTCCTCCCACCTCCTCTTCTCGACTCGCGCCTTCTCGAGCTGCTGTGCTGTGCCCAGTCCGAGCCCAAATAGACCTTTCCCAGTCTGAATCTCCTCCTCTTTCTTCGCTGCCAGGCGAGCCATCTGCTGGGACATGGCCTTCCAATTGTGGAGACCCGTCTCCAGACACTCGCGACATCGATCTCTGCCATCCCGTTCCCTTTGCTCGTCCATAACCCACATAATTGCTTCGGCAGCTTCAACGCTGTCTCTGGTCCAGCTGAGACCTTTCTCTCGCTCGCTGTCGCTTGTCGCGAAGAGGATCTCACCAATATAAGTCATCAGTCCCACCTCCTCGCACGCCTCCTTCAACGTGTGGAATGGTCTTTCATTTCCAGATGGTGGTGGCGGAGGATAAGGTCGTTCAATGACCAAGTCCTTCAGGGCAGAGACATAAGCCCACGGTCCTTCGCGCTCCTCCACCGTAGGCTTCGACATTGTGGCAATAGGAGCAACAGGAGAAGCTGGTAGATTCTTCCTAGCGCGCAGCACGCTCAGAAAAACGGGCAACGCCTTCTTCACATCTCCATTCCTGGCGTGATGCACTCCAAATGCCGTACAGACTCGTAGTATGTTATCGGTGACAGCGTCTTCTCGCCCCTTCAGAATCATTCCTGTGCCGACATTTACGACTCTGCCAGAGCCGGCAGGGAGGCCGCGTTGAGCAATCTCGGCGGCAAGAACGTATGTGTTCTCTGCCACATCCTTATTTCCCCGGAAATCATTCCAGTCGGCATACGCCAGAGCTGCATCTAGGCGTTGGCGAGTATCAAACCCCGTTGTGTTCAAGATCTTTTGATAGAAGAGGTCGGGGCTTGGGAACGCATCTTCGACTTGGTCAGAATTCGGCGGTGTAACGTGGCCGTGTCTCTTGTCGAAAGGGAGTGGTTTGGGCCGTGGGTTATCGGGTCCCGGTATGCTCTCCCGGGGATACACCTTCTGTCCCCGCTCGTCGCCCTTCAGCTTACACATGCCCACCAGATTCTCCGCGACGCGCGCAGCACCCATTAATGCTTCGTGGTATCCCCGTCGCCATTGCTCGCTTTTGGCGCTGACGTCGAAGGCCTCCTCGTGAAATCCATCCGCTGGTACCCGGATGCCGTCCTCGGCGATCAGATTCGTTCCGTCGTACTTTTCGCTCTCCAATCTCTCCAGGACGCTCAAGTATAACCGACCAGCTTTTGCCCAGTCCGTGAGAATGGAGTTTATTTTGGCATTCTCCGCGAGTTCCGTAAACTTTGCTTCCCGCATCGCCCACCGGCTCCAGAAGGACCATTCACGTGGTGTTGGGTAATCTCGTTCGAGCTTGGTATGAATCATGCCCATCGACAAGAGAGTGAGCAGTAGAGCCGCGGGCCACAAGTATGCGTTGATGCGGACATAGCGCCAGAATTGTTCCTTCCATCGTTGTTTGCGTTCGGTGGAGATGTATCGTCCGAGATATGCATAGCGCGCGCTTCCTGGGTATAAGAAAGGTAGCTGTGGCCGGAGGATGGGCCGTGCCACGACCTGGAGGGAATGCTTGTGGGTGAAGAATCTGGGTTGGGGGGGTTGTGCGTAGAAGAAGTCGGTGCACTGAGCAGGACGGCGTACTCTCAAGCTGCGCCTAGGCAGAGTGGTAGCGAACTTTGAAAAGGAGGCCATGCTGGAGTGATGACCAGCGCGGTCAACAAGGGAGAAGGTGTCTAAGACATATGCCGTAGTGAGGGTCGATGAAGAAGGTGTCTCAAGACATGTGCTGCAGTGACGGTCGACGGGGAAGGTGTCTCAAGACATGTGCTGTAGTGACGGTCAACCAAGGAGTGTGCTGCAGTGACGCAGCGATGCAGCTGTTTCCGCTCAGAGGGGGAGCGAGCGGAGGATGGTGGAGGATCACAGGATGTCGAGTCCGGCGGAGCATTACTGAGCACGAGCAGGCTACGGTGGTGTAAGTGGTAGATCTTGGTCTTATCCAGCACACTCACCCAGCTCGCCAGCCCTGCCGGCTTTACCAGAGCTCAGCTATTTTGTTTTGTGTTGGAGCGGATCATCCCCGGGACGAATATGGGGAAATGGACTGATCTGACCTGAGCCCAGCTGACCAGAATTAAGCATTGCCCTTTCCTCCAGATAATCAGAATGCCTTCAACCACAAAGCTTAGTACTGCAGACCACAATCCCCGACTCAACTCCCCGTGGAAATCAATGATAGATTAACCAGTCAGCTCTCGGCTGTAAATTTCGAGGTTTATTTCGCTCCGGTTGGTTTCTCGTACTGTGAGTGGAGTGAATGAACGATAGCATGAGAGATTCGCAGCTCCATCACAAACCCGCGTGCCAGTAAGCGTACACGTATAGGTGTAGGTGTATGTATATGTATCGGTATAGACACTAGACCATCCTGTGCGGAGTACTCCGTACTGCTACGTACATTATCCTGTATATACTATTCTGTCCTATGCTCGACCATGCATGAGATGCGGTATCGTATAATTACCATTGTCTCCCGTATGGTGTGAGAAGTCAAGGCTCGAGCCTCGCTCGCGGCCACAAAGAACTAACCAAAGTAGGCCCGCCCCTATTTCCTACTCGATGTCCAGAACATGAAGAGGTTGTTCGCCATAGAATGTATGGTGTTCCTGGTAGTGCCTAGTGCCCAGCGCCTGGTGCCCAGGACACTGACGCCAAGATACTGTAGTTTGACTTGGTCGAGGCTTGACTCGATGCATGGACACCGCTTTCCTTGACCTTTGGCTTACGCCAGCTCGTTCGTCTTGACGAGATGTTTTTCAGATGCAGTAAACGCTGATGTAAGGACGCAAGGACGCAACGAGGTGTGAGGTGGCGAGGGTTCTTTTCTGTCTGTCCGGCTCTGGTTGCCATCTCTTGTCGTACTGCGAGCCGATGGGCATGTGGAACTCCGCGATGTGAGCGAGCGAGGGTGATCAATTGATAAATGATCGGGGACAACGGACTCCTTCTCTCAGGGGTATAACGATGTGGTCCCATCGTCGCCGTGTCGACAATATCTGGCCATCGATTTCAGGTCCTGCTGGCCAAGGAGCTGAAAGCCAAGGACGCTGGAGACTAGACTGATCACAGATGCCCAGGTGCAGCCTATTCAGAAATCGACCGTGATCAGACCCAACCCGATGCCAATAGACCGACAACGAAGGACACTGCTATCGCCATAACTGTCTTTGACCTGTTTGGGTCGAGAAATCCAGCACCGTTGGTTTGCAAGTCCGACTGCACAAGGTTCGAATCCTCCACAACTTTCAGACACGAGAGGTGTCCCTCTGGCGGGGAGTTGGACGTCGAGCCCGAGGGTCTGTAGAAGACAGTCAAGACGGGCGTGATGCTGTAAAAGAAGGGTGCAATGTCGCTGGACACCTCTTCGGACGTGACGGTTTGGGTCTCGACGAGCGCAATGTTGTAGTTGGAGCCGTCGGGGACGCTGGAAGCAGGATGGCATGTCGTTTGGGAGATATGGTTCGCAGCCGCAGATTGGGCGCCTGTAATGGCTGTCATGTAGGTTAGCATCTTGTCGAGCGTGCGACGGTGGGAGACATGGGAGCTTACCTTTCGCCACCACGGAGCCCCACGTCACAGTGGCTATTGATTGACACGACTGTGGAGGATTTGCTTCCAGCGTCGATTGTAAAGCGCTGCACACGGCGGCCGTACCGCCACTGACTGAGCTCCGGAGCGTCTGCACCTGCTTTGTGGCCTGGGCCAGCAAGTCATCGACACAGGCATCCTGGAGTGTCTGACTGCATGTCACGGAGCCATACTCGGCCACTCCATCAAGGGGTAGACTCCGCGCAATGCCCTCGAAGAACAACGCGCAGCCGGCAAAGTCATCCGTGGCGGCGAGGTTCAGCGACGGCGGTGTGCCCAGATAAAACTGCTTCGTGAAGGTGACGTCCGTCAAGTTCGACGATCCGCTTGAGTCTGCTGAGAAGGCTCCGACCGTCCAGGTCACGGGCGCCCCACCGGGGGATATGCTGGTGGTGAGGTTCGTCGTCCCGATGAAGGAACTCGTCGTGTTTCCGAGCGTACATTCGTTGTTGGCCCCACCATTGCAGCTCAGGACATCACATCCGACCACCTGCGAATGGGCCCGTCGCGTGAGCATGGCCAAGCATATTGCCAGGGCCTTTCTCGTGAGCGCTCTTCGTCGATCTGAAGGCCGAGACATCTTCACGAGCAACAATGACAGACGGATCGGAGGGTAGATGGTGAGGTCGAGCAGAAGGCCATATCTCTCTGAAGCCGCTCAGGCAAGAGGCCGGCCAGCCATGCATTAATGTATCAGAGATGGACATTGTCAGTTTCGCCATAAGGCAACCCGTTCGCGCATAGACCTACCTTGCCACCCGCGGATGCATGTCATCTGCACGCCGCAAAGATGAAACACCTTCTCATGCGAGCGGTTGGAGCACATCTTTCGAGTCCAGAAGCCGTCCACGATTCGAAAGGGCCATAAATAGCCATGGTTCATTTTCCGCAAGGCGGATAAGCGCTGACCCTCCAAGAAATGCTTGTGCGCGTGGACACTCTCATTGGCCGACTAAAATACCCGGTGGAGAAGCAACGGCGCGCTCTGACTGGCTCTGATGATTTGCTGGGCGCTTAGGTGCTAAATTCGGCGAGGGTGGAGCGCACGTCATTGGTCCAGCGCTTCGAGAACGTTTACCCAGTTTCGTAAGAGACGCTTCTCTGCCGTGTCCACAGCGGGAGCAGTACATTACATTGACCTCGTACCATTCGTCTGGGGAGATTCTGACAATCGTCCCGCGAGCATGTCGACTGGGCACCACAGTCCTTCAAAGATCTTGACAGGCATCTACTGAGTAAGTGATAGCTGTTGTGCAGGGCCGAGGACATTGCTTCTTGACGAACATCCCATGAGAACGCCGACTGGGCACCAGACCCATTTCCAGATCTCGACTAGAGTCAGGCTCCCCATGTCTCCTGTACCTCGGCCAAAGCGACCAGTGGTCTGATCAGATCTTGACGTCGACAGAGGCCGGAGACATGCTCCGTAGTATGATCGTGTTTCGCCTTGTCACCCCCCGAGACTGAACCTTTCAAGGATACGACGATAGTTACAGTAAGTAGTCCGCTATCTCACGATATTATTGTGGGACCTTCAGCGAGCATAGAAAATACTTGACCCCTCCCCCCTTCCATCCAGCGCACTGTTCCACAATGACTGCTTGACGACGCTATCTTGATGGCGGCAAAGCCAGATTTACGCCATCGATAATGCTTCCTCAATTACACTTGTAAACCAATCCCTCACCTTCATCATCTGTCCGCCAGGACTGAACTTCCGAAATGCTGGTGTAGATGGACGAGGCAGGCTTTTTGGGAGCCGACTCGAAGCGCAACGGCGGCAACTGCCACTCCGCAGGTGTTGGGTGGTACATGGCCGGGGCGTGCGGAGCTCGTGTAAAGGCGTCGGTGGATAGTTCCTCGAGTGAGGGCCCGGCGCTGCTATACCTCGCCGTCTCAAAATCCGACCGTCGTCTTTGCAACTTTTCCTGCATCGACGACGCCACAGACATGATGCGGGATGTCCTCGACCGCTTGAGTGGCTTCAGGCTGTCTTGCGTATCCGACGCACTGAGGAGGCTGGCATCTCGATCTCGACCACTGGTGGCTTGGATGACCTTCAGCATCCAATCCAATTTTGAATAGGGCGTCTCTTCGAACATTTTCCTATTCCGCATGTAGGTGACCGTGTAAATGACCAGGGCGGCGGTGATGAGCAAAAACACGAATATGACGACCGCCAGGAAAGCCACGGAAACCTGCACGACGGGGACCCGGACACTGATGTTGCGAGAAGCAACGGTTTCATACCGAGTATCCTTGGTCGCAATCCACATCTGAAGGAACCGGGTTAGGTCCCTCGGTGGGATTGCAGTAATATTCCCCGTTCTGATTGACTCGCTGCAGAACCGGGCCTGGTAGAACTGGACTACAGCTCTTGAGACGACCTGTGGATCAGGACTGTCTGGAAAGGCGATATCCGTGAGCTCGGGATCTGGATCATGGCGGGTGGCGGTACAGGCAATCTTCGTGTAACTGGCTGACTCGACGGGCCCTTTACCAAACTGACAGAAACTGTCAAAGTCTTCTTGTATGCCAAGATTGTGCAGATAAATGGCAGCCAAGTCAATGTCGAGCTCCTGAGGCACACCACTGGTACCGTCGGATCTGGTGACTTTGGCGGCCCCAAGAGTGAGTAGCGTATCTGTATTGAGGTTCTGGTCGTAATTCTGCTCTCCTCCCCACCAGGCACTAATATTCTCTGGACTGTACTTCAGCGGGGAGATGACGTCGCGCAGCCCTGGGAGTTCGTCCAGGATCGTGTCGCAGTTTCCAGAGTCTTCAAGCTTGATTGGGGTCTTCTCCGTGTTGTTGCAGCGCAACGACCAAGTCGAGTTCCACTGCTTGGGGTCATAGACCCAGTGGACATGCGAATCAGGGAGGTAGTCCAGGAGCTGGTCCAGAGGAAATCCGGCTTGCTCAAGGCTAGTCAGAGTCTGATTCCACACGACTGTGGCATGGAGAAGGGCGCGCGTGCCACGTTCAGCCACAAAGCCCGAGACCGGTTGAACGACGACCTGATGGCTGGTATTGGTTGAGTATCTTGCGATCGGTCCGGAAAACAGTGCTGTGATTGAAAGCAGCATGACCAGGCACGCTTGTAACAGGATCTTCATATGCTGGCGTTGCAGGATTCTCCTTTTCAAAAGCCACATCACGTCGATGGCTTCTCCAAACGTGTTGATGCTCAAGAGGGTGGAGATTGGAATGCTCTGCTTGGACGCACCGACGACGCTTGATCTCCAGCAAAAGCACGAACAGGAAAAGATGGCCAGAGCACACAGCCCTGCCACGATCACATTCAAGGCTGCCTGGACATCTTGCAGTCGCCATTCCCGGGAGAGGTTGATTCAGGCCGTCGCTGGCATGGTGAATGTATGTGCCCTTATGGACAAATGGATATTGAGTTCCGAACGGGCCAAGATGTACGCTTTGCTGATGAGATCAGTCGGGGTATGTCGAGAGCTGGACTCATATAGATCTCGCGAGGAGAGGACACAGCCCAGGTGGAAATACGTGGTGCACCATGGCCCCTCTGGTGTTGGTCGTCGTATGAGGCGAATGCCAGCATCACATGCGGCTCAGAATGCCTCTCAACACTGAGATCGCAATGGTCGAGACGTAGTCCGTATTCTGCATCCGTCCATTTCTGGACATTTGACTTGCGCAAGAACAGGCGAAGCTTGCCGGATTCACAATTGTCCAAGCCGCGCCGACGCTCAGCTCTATCAACGCTGGGGGCTGAGTCTGACCTTTCCAGTCGAGCGCAGAGAAATGCTTCGTATCGGAGAGCTCGGCGCGGACGTGGCGTTGACCTTGGGCACCTTCGACTGCACCGGTGTCTGATTCTCCTCTCCTCGACTCATCGCCCAGGTCAAAGGTAGGCATTGCCTTCCATCCAGGGAGACTGCACCGACCGAAGGCAAGTGACCTCGTTCTTCGTCCTGCGTTCTGCGTTTCTGCATTCCGCATTCTGCGTCCGGTGCATGAGAATAATCATCGGTTGGGCGGCTGTCTTAACAGAACGGCGTAGGTCAACGAGGCTCAAAGCCAGAGCGATCGGCGATCGGCTGCATGACAGCAAGAACGTGGCTGTCTTGGGCGGATTAGTAGTGAGCGTGAAGCCAGACCAGCACGCGTGACTTAAGCGATGAGAGAGAAACCATGCCCAGGGCAGAACAGCGCAGCTTGGCGTCCAGTGGCAAAGCCCGCAGGACTGAAGAATTGCCGGCGTCCACTGGAGATGGTCATTCACAAGACTCTGCAGTACGAACACAGCAAGGAGACTTATTGGTAGATAAATTCTGGCGCCGTGACGGACCAGGCGGAGTCTGTACTTGATACCAATGGAGATGACACTGGGAGCCCGTGTACGAGTAGTCCGAGGCAAAGCTTGCAAGTGTGGTGTGATGGCCATAGGGAGAAAGATTCCAGTCAGTCCTGATATTGTCTCCTCCGTATTCCGTGTACACTGTTCTGTAGACGTATTCATCACTGTGGTCCCTATCCCTTCACGTCCGGATTCGTCTGTCTGTCTGTCTGTCTGCGTGTTTGTCCTGTAGTCGAGACCAGGAAGCCCAATATACCACCACCACCCCCGTCAGAGTACATCCTCTGCATGTCCGTGCTCAGCCCCGTATTAAGAAACCATGTACGCCGTGGAAAGATTGAATCGACAATGCTGCAGACAACCACCCACTTACCAAGCGATACCTGAATGTACCTTCAGAACCGCTATACGGCTCTCTCTCCTCGGTCTGTCGCTCTAGGGGACCTCGAGGTACGAAACCTCCACGTCCGTCTGCTTCACGATATCGTCTTTGCCCCTGGGCCTCTCTCTGCCCGTCTTGGCCATGTCATCCAGCATGACGACTTCGTCGCTGTTCGACTCGCTGATGGGGTATGATTTGGAGCCGCCGGTGACGACCGTATTGGAATACCCATGCGTGGGAGAGAGGGGAGTCGGGAAAGACGAATTATTTCCTCCTTTGACAGAGGTACCGTTGCTGGAGAGCGGGAACGTCCCAGAGCGGGTCCTGTAGTTGACTGTAGGGCGACCGTAGGACGATCCACGGAATATTCGGGGGAAGAATCTCATAATGGTTGCTTTGAGCGGAGGGATGCACGTGCAGATGATCGAGGTGTTCACTTCGATGCCGAGCCACAGGTTGTTCTGGGCCTGATAGTCTGTGGATGCCGGAGAATCAGCCATGCGAGCTCAACTTTGTCATTTCCCCCTGCAGAGGAAGGGAGGTGCGGATTGATCTAGTGCAGATCCATTGGCAGGACGGAGTGGGCGCTTTGTGCGCACTTACATGTGCTGTCTTTTGCCGTAGCTGCGGGTGCCAGGGTCGCGATCCGCACCGCGCACGTCGCAATGATGCTGGAGATACGTCAGCCAGGGAAGGGACAGGACACGCCGGAACAGCGAGTAAATGCTCACAAGAACCCTAGGCTGAAAAGGACCGCCAACCCGATTTTCTGCGCCTTGGGTAGCTTGAGCGATCGGATTTGAGCGATGGGAAGAACGATGATCATCACGTCGGTGGCTATGTTGATGGATGAGCTGGCATACCAGATTCCTGGTGTCCAGATACATCTGCCCGGCACGGTCGGGATCCAGGCCTTTTCGATAGGGTGGCATGCGAAGATGGTTGGAAGTATCGTCCCGATGGCCGTGCCGACGCAGATGAACATGACAGCATACGCGGCCATGCGGAAGTTGCGGGACGAAAAGATCCGGAGGTACAGAAAGAGCATGGAGAGTTTGGCGAAGAGAGCCGCGGCCTTGTACAGCACCTGGCAAGCCAGGAAGTACTGCTCGCCCATCAGTATGTCATGTATGGAGGAGAAAGGTGGAAGGCTCACTTTCCAAGCTTGCAGAAAGTGCTCCTGGTCAACGTCGACTCTGTGGAGTCCGAACCCATTCTTTGTTTCTGCAGCCATCGTCCGTCAGGCTCAACGGCCTCCGAAAACACATGCGAAAGCTGAGATGTGGCGCATACCTCCGTAGAACAGACCCGTCATGGTAATTGCAATCAGCTGTACAATGTCCGGTTAGGGGATGAGACACTCTTTCGGATGCGAGTCACTCACCAGAGCTGTCAGCACACACCAGTCATCAAGACCAAGCATGTTGTTGATCACAATGCGTGTCCAGAACCTTGCTACAACCATAACTACTGCAACCGCGACCAGGGCGATATTGACGGTGACCACGGTATCACCGCGCGGGTTAGGGAGGCCATAATCGATCGCATCCCGCTTGAAGAGTGCTGTTTCGGTCATTTTGTCCTCGAATACTGCGAATACAAGAGAGCACGCAGGCTGGGAAGCATCAAGAGGTTGGGAAGATCCATTGCAAGGGCGGGCGCTCGTCGACTTGGACGATATATGGTGGTATGATGCTCGAATACGAGGTGTTCCACGAAGGCAATGGTCAGGAAATCAAGCCTCGCTGGATGAGCCGTGTCTAGGCGGACCTAGACCATGGTGCGAAACGCAGATGATTGTGTCGCACCCCTGAACGCTTGCGAGCGACAGTAGCGTAACGGCTTAGGCGAACGAGAACCCTTCTTCGGCCGTCGACTGACTCGAGTCCATGCCTGAGCTTGGGGTACATCAAGATTCTGTGCAGTCGCCAGGAATCTTTTCAGAATTCCCCGCCAGCCACAAGGCTCTCCAAGGTCGCCGGTCGGTTTTGGCTTCGGGTTTGGCTTTCAGGTAGCGAGGGACGGAACTTTCCTGCTGCTCCCGACCCAAGTGCTGCAAGCTGAGCGCTAGAAGTGCCACGGGTGCACTGGCTGCGAGGAAGAGCCCATCTTCTCCAGCTTGCTCGTCATCGCCTAGCTTGACCAAGGAATGATGAAGCCATGATACTGTGTCAGCAGGTACGCCCTTGGTGGGTGGCGTTTCATATCCGTCATATCCACGGCCATGATGCAGGTCCCAACCACTTGTTCTGGCTCAGTCGGAAAGCTTTCTTTAGCTTGTGTCTAGGGTAAAGGAGGGGAGAGCCGACACGTAATGCGTACTGGTCTTTCCAAGCCGTACTTGTTTAGGTAGATCCGTCAACGTGGGCTAGAGCCACTGCCTTGGGACTCGGGCGTCTGCATATGTCAGAATATCTGCCAAGGGTAGCATGATATGTCTTCCTCAGTAAGTTCAGAGTCAGCCAAGGAATAATGAGTACTCGTATGCACCAACCTCTCGTCCTCGATTCTGCCACCAGGTGCTGTGAATTAATTACTGGAGGTCTCCCCTGACGAAACCGGACCTCGACTTGGTGGGTGTTTTTGTCACCCAGCGGGCATTCGCCGGCAGAGGGCGCAAATGCTTGATCGCGAGTCGATAATTTCCTGGTCGACTTGAGGAATACGAGGCCCTAAGTGAGAGGAGACGCATCTAATGTCGGAGCGAGCATCCCGATGTTGGTCGCGTCTCCCTGCGGTTTTGGTGATTGGTGGCGCGTCATTCAGAGTTTTGCTAAGAGGTGGCCGAACTCAATGCCATGTTCATACTGGACTAAAGACTGCGCGGTGCACGGTGCACAGTCATTCTGGAGTATTGAAGCGAGCATGATTGATGTCAAAGAAGTCGCCTGTGCCTCCACGTGCACGGCGGGGACTCTGTCAGCCAGCACGTCAACTAGTGCTCCGTACCATCAGGACCATCAGGACCATACCATAAACCGACGTCACTCATCTCTGTCCTCAGGAGACAGAGACGTCGCAGCGTGCCTGTTCGCTTATCAAGAAGCGAGGCACATTCGACTCGATAACTCCTCGGCCGTTAGTCAGTATCGTGACACTTCTAGAACGGTCAACTAGCCACATACTATCGACAACGACGCGTACAGGTATTCCTGGCCGAATAAATGTCACTAGTCCCCCAATTCTTAAACCTCCACTGAATGGTGTGGCTGCCACGAGGCGGACGCCACAAGGTTGGCGTAGCTGCGCTGAATTGCAGAGCACCTCAAGCGATTCCGAGGACACGGCCGTTATTTGTCACGTCTACTGCGGCTGATACATGCAAGGACGCGAAACACCGATAAAAAAGAAGCATATCTGCTCGGTACCCGAGTTCAGCAGTGTCTCAAATTGCCGTCTAGGCCGGAGGTCAGCCCATCCAGTATGTTGATAGGTATGCCACTTGTTGGGTAAACATAAGGGAGGCACGACTCAACGATGGCCTCAGTCATACAGGCATAAAACTCAGAGAGAAACCCTACCACACCTCTCCTTCCGCCCGGAGGCAGCATGCCCGTCAACAGGCTCAGAAACCCTGAAGGTGCTGCCCCACCCGGAGGATATACATATCGAGGTCTCACTGTCCGGAACACCTTGCTCGCTTGAATGCTATCGCCCATGCTCACACTGTAGATGCTGTCGTTGGATTCGGGCTTCCGCGTCAGTGACAATGGCTCATACAAGGCTAAGGCCGACTCCAGCTGTCCTTCCCAGATCCCGCATTTCATCGCTCCGGTCATTTCCATCCATTCGGCATACGTCAGCTAAAACTACTCGTCATCCAATCCAGAAAAGCATCCTCATTGCGTCATGGTGACATCCTGATCTCGGTCGACAGCAGGCTCCGTGTGCTCTGCTTCAAGGCGAATCGCCGCTGGTGCAGAGTCGGCTGCGGTATTTGGTGTCCTTGACACTCGTTCTATCAGTTCTGGTGGTAGCAAAGGGAGGTCGATTTGTCTGTCCGAGTCGCCTCGGCGGAGTTCAGGCATCAACTGATGGGCAGCATCAGCTTCAGCGAGGGCCCGCAGCATCGCTTCCCGGTGTGCTTCTTCCGCCATCCGAGCCCTTTCCCGGCTGCGCCTCTCCCGACTATGACGCCTTCCACCTTCTTCCTGACTCAGAGGCGTCGATGCATAGCTTCTCGGTGGGGCCAAAAGATTACTCAACCCTGACCGGCTGTTAACTCGAGAGATGTGAGGGCTGTTGGACCTTGAGGGATGGCGGCTTCCAGATCTGCTGCCTGGAATGGTCGACATTATTGCTTCGTGATTGGCGTCGAAGGCGCTGTAGTCCGGCTCAGGTCGTAGAAATGACTGCCGCACATCACCAGGGTTTCTCAAGGATGAGCCAGGATAGTGTCTTCTGGGAGCCTCTGGCGCAAAGACGTGAGAATTCGCCCACCCGGGGAATCTGCGGGGATCATCAAGCCCAAAATAGCCTGCTCGCGGATCGTGGGAATAATGGCCTAGCTCCACCGGCCTGGAACTGCTCTCTCGGTAACCATGCATGGGAACCAGAGGTGGCGCGTATAGACCCGAAGATGATTCCAAGGTATGTCTTCTGGATGGTGTTCGAGAGGTGCTTCTCGCGCGCTCGCCATATTCTGCCGCAACATCAAACGCGCTCGTGTAACCAGGACTCCGAGACCGGCGCTCATATGTTTCTGCTGGATACATGTTTGAATTGATGAGGTTGAGGTGGGGTGCGAGAGATGCTCGACTTTCCGGCGTAAGCGGTGCTCCAGGTGTCCAAGGACCCATATTTTGGACCTGGTCAAATGGCAGCAGTGGCATTTCGACGTGGAAACTCGAGAGCTCGTGTAGACTTCGTGGTCTCGGTCGTGGTCGAGGCGTACTGGCGAAAGACAGGCCATGACGGTTGGAATTCAGTACAGGGTCCATCAAATGGTCGTTACCGTCAATTGTGCCGTCGTCAGAGACGGTATCTGCGCCTGGACTGTCAACTCCATCAAGCAGACTGTCGTCGAGAGCTTCACGACCTTCACGCTGCGCCTCGTCCACAGCAAGACGCATCAGGTAGTCCCGAAGTCGCTGGACGCCATCTCCAGAAAAGACACAGAAGACATCTCGCTGAGGATGTGTGAACTCGGCCGGCGCATCTCGACAGAAGCGGGTCAGATCCTCTCGGAGGAATGCTTGAACTCCAGTCAGTGACAGGTGGGTCAGCCGTGGACAGTTGTGAAGCAATGCCGTGATGCCCTGTTCAGTCGTCAGTGGGGAAGATAACAACAAAGATCTTCCGCTCGTACCTTGAGTGTCAGATTTACACAATAACTGAGGTGAACTCTCTCGAGGGACACAAATTGTGAAGGACCGCCAGGTTTGCCGGTCGGACTGAACAGGAGAGGTCCATGAGCCAGCGCCATGATACTAACGTCCGTCAAGTTCTGACACTTGACCAAACCAATTCTGCGAAGCTTTGGAAGCTGTGCCAGGTGACGAACGCTGGCATCTGTGAGGCGAGAGCAACATGCCAAGTCGATATATCTAATTCGATTGCAGGCCTTCACCAGCTGGATCACCGCGTTGTCCGTCAAGTTGATGCAGTGGCCAAGGTGAATGTAGTGCAAGTTCTTCCCCAGCTTGCAAATGGACGCAACGGCGCGGTCAGTAATATGTCTGCATTTCGCCAACACCAAATTCCTTAACCGCGGCGCAGCGGGGATAATCCTCCCAATAGCATCGTCTCGGACTTGTTCACAGGCAGTGAGATCGAGAATTCTCAAAGCCTCAAAAGATAGTCGAGGCGGCAGGTTGGTGAATGCCGAATCATTGATGTCAATACAATGGGCCAGACGGAGTTCTCGGAGATGGGACAGATTGGACAGCAGCGCCGTGACCGATTCTGAGGAGATGGAATGGCAGCCCGCCAGGTCAATCTCCAGGATTGAGCGGCAGTTCCTAGCAACAGCGGTGATGGAGAGGTCCGTTGCCCTCACCACGCCATTCAGCTTCAGTCTCTTGAGCTGTCTGCAATTCTCGGCAATATCGAGTAGAGACTCATCTGTGATATTGGAGCAGTTGGTGATGTTGAGGCCCTGCAGTTTGGCGCAGTTTTGAGCCACAACATGCAATGTTTGATCGGTCAAGGCGTCCAAATCCGTGACATCCAGTGCCTGGAGTTTCTTGCAGCCGTCCACCAATCCTGCCACGCCAAAATCCGTCAGATTCGAGCAGTTTGTAAGCGTCAGGCGTTCAATGCCCTTGCAGTTCATGAAGGGTTGTACTGTCCCGTCATTGATCTTGTCGGAAATTGCAGATAAATTCAGTCTCTTGACCATCTCATGGTAGGGAAAATAGCTCTTGTCGCCCTTTCCCAGCGCGGCCACGACATTGAGTAAGTTCGGCCATTTGTTGCAGAGCGGTCGGTGCCACAGAATGCCGACGGTATAGAGAGCCCAGTGATAACACACCAGCATCGAGTTCCGGAGGTCAGAAGTGCTGGTGAGTTTCGCAAGGATCGCAATGAGGATTTCGGGAGGTAACTTGGATATCGGAGAGAGGCGGTGGACTTGCTCCAGGTCGATGTCCTCGTCACAGTCTCTGATAGCCGTAACGGCACCGAGGGAAGACTGTGAATCGTTGGCGTGTGCCATGAAGTAATCCGTGTCCTCGTCATCGCCAGGGCACGGAGAACTGTCTGAACTATCAGACTCGACCGTGATCGTGCTCAGGTTTCGCGTATGAATAGGAGAGAGGCGGCGCCGTGGTTCGTCAGCCATGATGACAGGATCAGGCTGGGCGGCCGGAATGGTAGAAATGTAGGTTGTGTTTGACGGTGTGTCTAGGATGTCGATGAGAAGGTTGATTCTGCTTGCTGTAATTGTAGGACCGGCATGGGCGACTGCCTCAGGAATGCCGTCGAACCCAAGCGGCGTGCATCAAGAGGGTCGATGTGCGGAAGGGACGAGGGTCGGATGGAGAGCCTGTTGTTTTCGGGCTCAAGGTGCGGCGCAGCCCGCTTGCGGCGGTGAAAGATCACGATGCTCCCGGTACGAGGACGAGAACGCACATTGCCGCCAACACACAAGATTGTTGATAATACGGTATTCCTGCACTGACCGTCTAAGAGGCTGAAAGACGTGGGTGGTGAAGGAGGAATGGGGGCGGGAAGGCCTGGTGAAGAGGCTGTGAATGGTGGTTGAAGGTGGCAGATGGTCACGGGCGAGCGAGTGAGTGAGTGGTGAGTGAGATCCAGGGGGATGCGAAGTCACTGGTTCAGCCTGCGAGTGGCCACTTGGTTAGTGCCTCCCAACCGTTGTTGCTCCTAGCCGCCGGAATCTTCACGTCAAAGTGCCTTCAGCTGCGACTGATCAATAGTCGCCCAAGATAAATATCGAGCAATAGTATGGGTGCAGATCGCAGCTTTGCTAGATATTGTATTGACAAGCTGGTGGGGACCTCATCAGCTAGACCCAGCCACGAGGAAGGTATCTCGACTCTTTCGGCGTCAGGCTTGCCGCAGTGCAGCGGGTGCCAGCGGTTAGGCGCCACCCACGGCGCCCTTGAGTGGCCGTCGCGGTGGTCGGTGCTTGGTCCTCCAGCATCTTCCAGGTTTACGATGCAGCCGTGTCCATGGCACCATTGCGTCAGGATGTGGCTAAGGGCATAGCCAGAGGAGTGTACCCCGTACAGAGGACGGCCTGCAGTTTCTCTGAACTCACTCATTCCTCGGCATCCCGCCTGGAAGCTCATTTGTGTGAAAACTGATTCTGCTCTCTTCTTGCACTCGGGTCCAAAGCTGGAGGCCTCGGGTTATTTTTGAATCCCCCGCTTCTGTCAGATTATCTGAAATTATCTTATCCAATGGTCTCGCATCGACTACGGTTCAGAATTGACCTTCGATTCAGCACGCAGATGTAGCAGTCTTGCAGATCTCCGCACGAACATCCCTCGGAACTCACACTCCCAGCATTGCATGGTCTAAAATGCTAACGCTTTCACAGTCTGCTAGCTCCTGCCCTTTCGAGGCTTCTCGTCCTGCTGCTCGCTGTCGGCCTCAGATGGTACTGTGGTCACGACTCCCGTCTTGATCGTCAAGCAATTTCTGAGTCGCCAAGCTGGTACCCTTTCCCCTCTTTCTTCCTTTCTTCCAATTTGAACTGTACATTCAAGAGATGGCACAATGAAGTCTAAGTCAACGCGGCGCCGTGTATAACCACTAGTCCCTGTGGCATGACGTGCTCATGCAAGAGAGGCGGCGCCAGAAGCTCCGGGACGCCGATAAGCTGCGTGGCGCCGCATCCAACTTGGCACCTTGGGCATTCGAGCCGCATATCGGTTACAGCCTGTGTGCAGCTCACATTTCCACTTCTTAAACAGTCTGTCCGGGAGCCCACCATCTGTCAATGCCCAGCTCACAGACAGCACTTCCATGGTCTTGGCTATGCGTTCTGCCGAAATGGAGCTTCGACAGCCTCTCAAGTCGGCAACGTATCGCATACTGACACATCTTACTGCATTTTGAGGCGAGTGTTGCACATCGTTGATGGCCCAGATAACTCTGGCGCAGAGGTCTGCAGACGGTGCTCTAAATACAGGGTACGGCGTCTGTTAGCAACAATCAATTCGCAAAGAAAAACAACCCGTCCCTCCGCAAGAAGGGTGATTTGGCATAGAATCCAGTCCTTCGAAATATGGCTGCTAACCGGGCGGGCACATTAAGCGTCCAAGATTTCGAGGTCGAAGTGGGAAGACGTGCACACTGGTTTCAGTGATATGGCACTGCCAGAAACAATACAGATTAAATGCGACTGGGTATGATATCGACAAGAAATCTGCTAGCAACGCCGAGTATAGACTCTTTGACCGTACAGGAAGGTTCGATTTATAGGCCCTCAACCGTTCCAGTCCTGTCCATTGCCCAGGATTCCAATTCACTTACTCTCCTCCTCTTTCTGCACCCTTGGCCCACGCCCGGAGCACATTCTTTCTTATCTTGCCGGTGCTGGTCTTGGGCAATTCCGGGACAATCTCGACCTCTCGACAAACCATGAACCTGCTGATCCCCGGGTGGTCACGCATCCACTGGATGACTTCCTCGCCCGTGACCTTGGCATTGGGTTTGACCGTGATGAACGCCTTGGGCCTCTCGCCCCAGTGGCTGTCACTGACTGCAGCGACGCCGCACTCAAGAATCTCGGGGTGGGTAACTATGATGGATTCTAGGGCGACCGAAGAGATATTTTCACCACCTGGTTTCAACATGTCAGGGAGATCAGAACATTTTGAGAGGCAGAGGCAGGGGCAACAAGTAGCGCTACGACAGACTTACCAGAGATAATGATATCCTTGGCACGATCGAGAATCTGAACGGCTCCATCCTCGTGCCAAACAGCCAGGTCGCCAGAATGCAGGACACCGCCGAGGAACAATTTCCTGGTCGCGGCTTCGTCCTTGTAATACCCCCTCGCGCAGATGTTGCCGTTGAAGACGATCTCGCCAATCTCCTTGCCGTTCTTTTCGACGTCGATGATGGTGCCATCGGGGACGTCCGTTTTGATCACTCGGACCGGCAACGACGTCACAAAGCCGTGGCCTTGACGGGCCATTTTGGCGTACTTGTCCTTGACGTTGGGGTATCGATGCCACTCCGGCAGGATATACCCCTTCGTGATGGGCCCGTACGTCTCGGTCAGTCCGTAGACGTGCACCGGGTGCAGATTCAAATTGGTCATCTGCTCGAACAGATGTGCCGTCGGTGGACTGGCCGCGACCGTGACCCGCACGGGGTTTGGAAGTTTCTCCGCGTTCGAGTCGGCGCACAGCAGCGTGTTGACCGTGGGAGCCGCACAGTAGTGGGTGATTCCTTCGTCCTTCAGCAGCCGCCAGATCTCGGGATAGTCGATCTTTCGCAGGCAGTAATGCGTGCCCCGCGCGGCGGTCACGGCCCAGGGAAACGTCCAGCCCATGGCGTGGAACATGGGCAGCGTCCACAGATACTTGCACCGCTCGCCGTCGTGGTACGCCAGGCCCGATTCGATGACGTTGCCCAGCGCCCCGAGATAGCAGCCTCGATGCGTGTACTCGACGCCCTTGGGCCGGGCGGTCGTGCCAGACGTGTAGGCCAGAGCGTTCACGGCGAGTTCGTCGGCGGCCTGCGCTTCGAGGCCATCCCAGCCCTTGGACCCCAGCGACCGATCGTACTGCAAGCCCTCGAGGACAGCCTGGTCAAACGGGCCGCACAAGGGCCCCTCGACGGCGTCCGTGTCCGTGTCGATGATGATCGGCACATTGGCGTGCGTTTTCCTGTAATCGTCCAGCAGAGCAACATACTCGGCGTCCACCACGATGGCGTCCGCATCCGCATGGTCAAAGATGTACGAGATGTCATCCTTTTTCAACCGGTAGTTGATCGCAATGTTGATGGCCCCTGCGCCTCCGATGCCAAACACCGCCTCCAGAAAGGCCGGTGTGTTTGTGCATAGGATGCCTACCCGCTTGTATCCCTTTTTCTTCACGAAATAGGCAAACCCGCGCGCACGGTCGGCAAACTCTCGGTACGTCCGTCGGATGATCTTGTTGTTCGCTGTGCGGTGGTAGATGGCCGGCGCGTCCGGTTCGATCGCAGCGGCACGGGGCAGGAAGAACGCCGGCGACAGGGTATGCACGTTGTACCATGACAGGGTGCCGACGGTGTGGTTGTCGACACTGAGATTGTCGATGGGCGCGCCGCTGCCGTTTGTGGCCGACGTCGAACCGGACCTAGAGCTGGAGGGAAAGAGATGGGCGGCCAAGCTGGCCAGCCGCGATTTCGCGGACGACATGGCTTGGTGGGAGCGTGTACTGTACGAGGACAGCGGGCGATGCTGTAGAACAATGGGGCTACGACATGGTGGGGAGCTGGAGACGGCCGTCTATGATGCTGAAAAGGCAGCTCAAGCCAGTGCTGGGGACGAAGCAGGAGACAGATAACTGTGTGTGTTATGTGGTCGGGTCTGTTGTGAATCGTCGACCTCGATTCGACCTCAGGCCACTCACTCCGAGCCCGAGGCATCTGAACCTCCACGAGTCCGGGGTAATGGATGGATGGCATCACTGGCCGAGAGCTGGTCCACACGGGTGCAAGCGGGGGCGTAGCTGGCGATACAGGCAACGACAGGCAGGTGTGTGATTTGTGGATCTGGTCGGATCCGAGTGCCTTGCCTCGTTTCACTGGCGGAACGACCGACAGACAAGGAGCGCGAGGCTGGGCGGCGTGTGGGAAGAATCCCGGATCCGGCGTCCATTCTCCGGCGGTTTCTCGGGGGCAGCGGAGACACAGGAGGTACGGAGTATCCTCCCACCTTGTTGCCTTGTTACTCAATAACGCGACTCAATCCACAGAAGAGGAGAGGATAGAAAAGGAGAGCGGTGGATCAGTGTACTGTAGTGTACCAAGCCTAAGTAGGCGTACCCAGGTACGACTACGCTTCGCCGAAACGAACACCTTCCAACACCCTCCAACACTCTCAGCTCAAGCATACCCCAATGACCAGAACGTCTCGATATTCTTGCCCGTGTCCTCGTCGGCATAAGCCGGCGGCTCCCTCAATGTCACACTCTGCCCGTGGATTTCCGCAATCTGACCCGTCAACGAAGGATTCGACACCAGCTGCTGCACCCCGCGCGTCAGAGTCGACATGGGCGTGACGATCATGGGCTTGAACAGATCCTTGCTGGGGGCGATGTTCGTTTCTGCCTGTTGTTAGCATCAGGCACGCATCACGCATATGGCCACACCCGATACCCATGCAAACTCCACCTAGGTGAGCGGGCGAGTGTGTATGTTGGAATACGTACCGAGAACAGCAGGCGCCAAAGCATTGATCTGGATGGCTTCCCTCTCGAGTTGCCGCGCCAGTGACCGCACCAGCCCGACGACCCCGAACTTCGAGGCCGCGTACAGGGGAGCCACGGCAAAGGGGTAGAGCCCGGCGTTTGACGCCGTGCAGATGATGGAGCCCCTCGACGGGACGGTCGCTCCGTTGACGGCATCGTTCTTCCTGATGTAATGAATCGCCAGTTTGACGGCTATACGGAAACGTGTGTGTTAGTCAGTCACAGTACAGTAAAGTATCGAGCAGTAGGTGTTTCGCGCAAGGACATGCACTGTTATGCATATCGGCACCACGCAACGGAACGCAACGCAAAGGTCGTCGTTACAACTCACTATATATCGTCCCCGTGAGGTTGACATCCAAGGTATGCAAGGCCGGCTTGGAGGGCGTGTCCTCGTCCACGATGAGTCTCGGTTCCTTGGAAATGCCGGCATTGGCCATCACGACGTCAATGCGGCCCTGCTGCGTGTGGACCTGCTGGAACACGGATGCCAATTCGTCCCAGTTCGAGATGTCGGCCTTGTAGAACGAGAGGCCCCCGTCGGGATATTCTGCCGAGAGGGCCTTGACGATGTCGCCGCCCTGCGGGTTCACATCCAGCACGGAGATATGGGCTCCTTGCTCGGCGAACAAGCGGGTGATGCCCAGGCCTATCCCTGAGGCACCGCCTGTGGTTGCGCAGGCGGCGTCAGCGGGAGTTTCTCTCGACAGGAAGGGACTGACTACTCACCGGTAACGACGATACTTTTTCTGTCGCTCGGCATCGTGAATGTGTGTGTGGGAGAGATACTGGACGTTAGATATCAATCGTGTCTTGATGGCTGAATAGTCGTCCCGTCTGAGCAGGAATCCGTGACACCCGTACCGTATGTTCCCGCTCCAATATTTGTGTTGACAGTCGATTTCGGATCAGATCGAACGGGGCAGATGTCGTGTCTGTATATATCGCTGAATGCCTGGCTGTCTGACTGACTGCCTGGGCTGCGCTTTCTGATCGTGAACTCTTAGTACCTGACCCGTATGCAATTCATTCAGTCATCATTCAGTCATTCAAATAATCCATCCAACTACCCATGCCTTCATTGATATCTTTCCTTTCCTTCGCCAAATCGATCGGACCGGGATTCATCCACCACATAATTCATCACAACCTACTCCTCCCGTACTCGCCGCACCTCCACGGAATTGCCCCACGAACCCTGGACCACCACAACGACCCAGATGGCCAATCTCCATGTGGGGCACCCTCAGCCTTGCCCCCGAGACATCCCCCCCTACCCCGTACCGCGCCGTCGATCCAATCAGCCCTGTGGGCACAGGGCGTGCATCAATTGCCGACGCACAAACCCAAGGAAACCCAGGTCCGGTGTCCTGAGTGTCTCCGGTGTCTAGCCCCTGCCTGCGATCCCCTCACCAAAGCCCCGAATGGAGTTCCGTTTGTTTCGCTTGAGGCACGATGTCTCGGCGCGTGCGGAACCAACGTCGCGTGGGAACATGGGCATGGATGGAGTAATTAATTAGGGTGTATGGAGTAGAGTCGGAAAAGTCGAAATAGTATATCTATGGTACCTACCTACCTACGAACGGAGTATCGCACCTACCGTACCGACCTACGATACCTACCCTATAACACTGCGTTCCGAACCCCGAGCTCATTCCACGGATACTACAGAGTATACTCGACAAGTACTTCATTTGGTGTGATCTTGATCTGATTCAACCGCGAGGATCCTGTTACTCGCATACCCGTTGCAGGGATACAGTATACAGATACGGTCTGCAAGTATACAGTCGAGACAGTGTACGAAAGTCACAATCGTAGAACCGATCCCCGTACCAAGTCCTGCACGGGTGTCTTCCTATACCCTACGGTGCCGTGCTCTGCCGTGCCGCCGGTGTCCTCCTCACACTGGGACCAAGGCTGAAGCCCCGACAATCGCGCATCCTCTATCCTCCCTAAGGACAACCAGCCAAAAATGGCAGAAATCCAAATCGACCAACCCACGCTCGACTCCGTCCGAGGCAAAGTCGTGGTCATAGCCGGTATGTCGACGGTACCATATCAGACCAAGCACCCCTTCCTTCCCCTCCCACGAGAGTACAGAACCCTGTTGACAATGTCTTTCCTTCGCGATCATCAGGCGGCGCCCAAGGCATCGGCGCAGCGACAGTGTCGCAACTGTACACCTCCGGGGCGCACGTCTTCTTCGGCGACTGGGACGAGAAGAAGGGTTCGAACCTGGCTGACGAATTGCGCGCGTCGGCATCAACCTCGGCCGGCAGCGTGACGTATCTAAAGGTCAATGTGCGGGAGTATCAGTCTCTGCTCTCGTTATTCGACGCCGCGTACAATCAGCACGGACACGTCGACATGGCGATTTGCTGTGCTGCTGTGACAGAGCGGCCTGGGTACTGGGAGCCGGAACTGCTAAACTTGGAGAGCGTGAGGGAGGTATGTGTCGCGTCGGGATTGCAGCATTGCAGAGTGTCATATCGTTCCGCATTGTTTTATACCCACCCCATTTCACACCGTGCGTTAGCATGTGAGTGGGGATGGCTAGCGGACGATGATAGCGCGCCGTGGTGTTCTTGGTCCATTTGGTCTTGACTGTGTGGGTGCTCGCTAACATGGTCTCCCACCTCCAGACACCGACCGGCATCGCCGACGTCATCGACATCAACCTGAACGGCACGCTGTATTTCGCGCGCCTGGCCGTCGCGTACCTCAAGGAGAAACATACCTTCGACAGAGCGTCCACATCGGCCGAATCGATCAATTCTTCGAAATGCATCACGCTGGTGTCCTCGGTCGCCGGGTTCAAAGAGTCGCCCGGCTTATTCGCATACTCGGCCGCCAAGCACGGCGTAGTGGGACTCATGAGAGCGCTGCGTCCTTTCGCTGCGCCCTTGTACGGGTTGCGGGTCAACGCAATCTGTATGTGAATCTGGTTGTTGGGCACTTTTGTTTTCCTCCTCCAATCACCATACCACGCCAGCTGAGGCCAGATGATTCAAAGACATCAAAGTCCTGACACGAGTGCATCAATAGGTCCCTGGGCAACAGACACGCAACTCCTGTCGGGCGTCCGCGCCGAGTGGGTCAAGAACGACATGCCAATGAACCAGCCATCCGATGTGGCAAAGTATATCATCCAAGTCACAGCCAGTCCGACGGCGCACGGGAAAGCTCTGTTCGTAGCAGGTGGTAATGCCGTGGATATCGAAGAGGGCATCAATCGCACGGAGCCGCAGTGGTTGGGTGAAAAGAATTCAAGAGAGTTGAACGCCGGGCAGGTGATTCTGGGTCTGGTAAGTTTTCTGCAGACCCGCGAACGCAGCCTTGCACTCTGACCATGAAACTAACGCTCGGGTGTGGGTGGTAGGGAATGGATTGGGGACATAATGGACCGAAAGGCGGCGAGACCAAGACAAATGGAACGGCCACCTGAGCCGGGGGGATATGATAGTGGGAACGTAACCCAATAGACGACAGGTGCAGCAATGGTATTCGGTTAGGATGATGCGAGACAGCTCATGCCTCCGACCACTCGGTTTGCCGATCGCTTCACCGCTGCACAGTCACCGAGTTTGAAACGGTGGGATCTGAAGAATGACCACGAGCCTGGTATATCTTCGACTGATGTTCGCTTCGTTTCCGGGCTGTACATCGCGGTCTTAGAAAGAAAACGCCGACCCCTGACACTTCGAACGGAGACATTCCTCGTGACTTAGTTCGACCAGCCACTTGGTCTCATCAGAGCTGAAGTCGCGTGTCGAGGGCTCTGATGATATCCTCTGTTCCTTCTTCTTAGAACCCGTCCCGGTGTAGCTAATGAGGACGAGATTACCGACCCGCGCCGCATCGTCGATCTTCTTGTGATTTCTTCGATCCGCCTATAGTTCTGGTAACTTCTGCTTCTCATTCATGGATTCATGGATTCATGGATTCGCTAGGGACTCAGTGGTGAATGGTTTGAGAGCTTCGAATCCGGGAAGATCGCTTTTAGCCGCTGTCTGGGCATCGTCATATTCCTCGTCCATGTCATCCAATGCAAGCAGTTGTAGCTCGGGTCAGAACCATCACCTTCAAAATGGTGTTTGTCTAGGCATTCGCATTCATTTCTTCTCTTCATCAGTCGGTGGAGCTTCGGCGACCGCCACAGGCTGCGGCCCGCTGGTTGCTTCGGCCAGATTCTGCTTCCTAACATCCCATCCACCACCCCAGCCTATCCAGCCTTCCTCATACGGGCCCCGTAGAATGCAGATCACGAAGGTCAAGCCCACCAGTGCAACGCTGAGGCTTCCACTAGCGATCCAGCCACCGTGCTCATAGAGTTTGGCTCCTGCCGACGTGCCGGTCAACTGCCCCGTGAACGTACACAACATGAATGCTGTATTCACTCTGTTCCGGCCGTTGGGCTCAATCGCGTGTATTGCAGCCCTATTGGCCACCTGCGTAATTTGAAGACCCATGTCCAAGGTGAACGCTTGTATGATTGGGCCTACCACCGTGTGCTTGCCGCTATATGTCCCAATGATGATTCCGATGAGGTTTGCACCGCAGCCCATCATGCAGGAGAATAGAGGTGCAAAAGGCTGAATGATATACTTTGCGTAGACGGGCCCCATCACAATGCCGGCGATGCCAATCAATGCGAACAGTCCGATAACCACAGGAGAATAGTTGTAGGGAGGATCCGCCAAGAGGAACGTCAATGTAGTCCAGTAAGACGTGAAGGCAGCCGATATGCAGTAGCTAATTAATCCAGCTTGGACAAGCACCGCGTGTTTCTTGTACAGAAGGATTATGCCGCCAATCATTTTGAAGTAATTCAATCCCTGCGGATTTGAGGACGGGTAGTCGGGCATGAATAGCCAGAGTGCAACCAAGATGAAGTATTGCAAGCTCAGTGCAATCCAGTAGACGTTCCGCCACGAAGTGAACTGCGTGACGACGCCGGACAGAAGGCGTGCGATGACAATTCCAAGAAGGTTTCCGGAAGTGGTGATGCTCAACGCCAGGGCACGCTGATGTGGTGGCGCTAACTCCGAGACGAGAGGAAGCATGACCTGGGGGATGACCGTGGTAATGGCGCAAATGTATGATATTGCGCAGAAAGCTGCGAAAGATGGCGTTATGCAAAGCCCAATCCTGGTCGAAGGTGGTCAGCTTGAGAGCAGAAATCGGTTGCGATGGAACGGGGTCTGCCCTGCGCCGTGGAGTAGTCAGCGAGATCACTTACCACATTGTCGCCGTAAAGGCGATTAACCCAAGGGTCAGCGGCCTTCTCTTCAACAGATCGCCAAGGGGACACACGAACAGCAGGCCAGTAGCATAGCCAGCCTGCATTAAGGTCGGGATCCGGGATACCGTCACATAAGGCACATTAAAGTCTCGAGCCAGAATGTTCAGAATTGGATGGTTGTAATATAGGTTGCCGACAGTGAAAGCGCCAGCGAACGCAAAGAGGATGTTGTGCCATACCGAGAAGGTCGGTGGCTTCTCTGGATCCCAACGACACCACGGCGGTGTCCATGTCACGAAGTCGATGATTTTCTGCAGGGTACTTCTGGGCGCCACAGCTTGAGATTTAACATCGTCATCGGCAACATCAAGAGCCTCGACTCCTTTATCGGCAGCAGAAGCAGACAGCACCTGTTCTCGGTCAGGCAGACTCTGCTGCACCATTCCTGATAGAACGCGTTTGTATCCCGTCGCCGGTAGACGAGCGAGTCAAACGCTGGAAAATTGCGGCTTAGTTAAGTAATGAGAAGCAGAGGAGGTCGGCGACTTCTCACTTTCGGCCCGGGGATAATGACCGCTGATTAGCTTTTCGGCGATATCGGCACCACGCGAAGGACACAAGAATAGAAGCTCTGTGGTCCGCAGGAGAGCATGGGGACCAAACTATGGAGGATTTGCAAGCAGAAGGATCCGGAATTCTTTGCTGGCCTTGTGTTCGCTCAGACGCACTCTCGTGGGACTCTAGCGAGCATTGCTGCTTCACCTGTCGGAGAAATGGAAAGCCTGGTCCCGTCCCACATTGTGAGAGAACTAGCCCGGCGGTGTGCCGTGATTCCCGATGTCGCCCAAGCAGATAAGACGTGCGACATGATGCACATGATTTCGCGCTGGAAGTATTCCAGGAGGATGCAAGGCTGTTTGGGCAATGATGGGGTCCGAAGCAGAGCTCTCGAGTGGAAGGCATGTGCCAAATGTCAGATTCAAGTGAAATGCAAGTCAAATGCAAGTCAGGCGCAATTCAAAGTGTCAAGCGAGATGACGCCCATACACGTGACCTTGGGTGGAGATCACGTGCAGCACGTGCAGCAAGATTGCAGCTTCCCTGGCGTTTGGAATCGATGAGTCACCGACTGCTCAGGCCTCTGCAGATATAAACGACCTCATATCTTATATGACACAGGTTGCCCGGTCGATGCGAGTGACAGTAATTGGCAGAAATGGATGGAGATATATCTCAGAATACAGTTAACCCAGATGGCCCTAAGGTCCTTGTCCAGACGGGCTACGACAGGATCGCCACGACATACCTGGAGTGGACGTCGAGCAAACCATCGGCGCGTCTCGAATACCTTGGGAAGCTGCTTCTGCAGTTACAGAATGCGTCAAGGGCGACAGCTCCAGAATTGGGTTGCGGCGCTGGCATCCCGTGCACGAAACTCTTGGCAGAGCGCTGCGGCCACGTTATCGCGAATGACATCTCAGGAAGTCAGATTGCATTAGCCCAAAGCAATGTGCCGGGAGCTCACGTACATTTCATCAGGGATGATATGACCAACCTGGCGCTGGAAGCCTCGTCGTTGCAAGCGGTCGTGGCATTCTACTCCATCATCCATCTCCCGCGCGAAGAACAACGGACAATGATGGCCCAGATTTGGACGTGGCTATCACCCGGTGGTTACCTTGTGTGCAATCTCGGAGTCAGGGACGATCCCGGCACGACACGACAGTGGCTAGGGTCTGCTAAGATGTACTGGAGCAGCTTCGACGCTGAAACGAATCTGCAATCGCTGCGCAGCAGTGGCTTTACTATCATCGACAGCCAAATTTTACCCGACAATGAGGATGGCCGGATCGTCCCTTTTCTATGGGTTCTCGCTCGCAAGGGCCTCAACGAGTGAGGGCGACGCGGGGGTTGCTGGTGACCAAGAGGCACCTGCGACGCTGCTGTACGAGCAGTCACATTGCGTGTGTGCACAGTATCAAGAGCAGGGAGAGCTAAGTCCTGTCACACCTGTGTACACGGTACTGTGTAAAACAGCCGAAGGCTGCCCTAAAAGCGGGACATCTTCGGCTGTTACAAAGCGATTTTAGTGCGACGTTCAAGCCTTGGCGCCTGCGAGGCGGTTATCACCCACTTCCCCATCTGTACTTTTGTGCTTCTTCTAAACTCTTTCATCGTGCCCTTACCTCGTAATAATGAGAGTTTTTGGCTAGAGATTTCTGGGTTCTGGCAATTGGCCTTCCTGGCTCCGCGCTTCCATCCTGCTGTTTAGTGATGGCCCACCTCGGCAATCCAATTCTGCTGCTGCGGTACTGTGCTACATATGAATGATTCCGGCCACTCTCAGCTTCTTCCTCTCTATTTCGCCTTCAGTGGGCCGGTTCCGAGACTATGAGGCCAAAGCTCGATTGGGGCCCTGCCGAGTCAATCATCGCGCATCCTGCCGTTGTCACCAGCCCTTGAAATGCCTCCTCCAGGCCATTCACTTGTCAGCTGAGCAAGTTGATTAATCTGTTGCACTGTGAATCTCGGTACCGTCACGCGACAGGTGCTTCACTCGGAGGCGAAAGGGTCTAGCCGACTACACACCTGTTGAGGGCCGTTTCCGATGCTGTCAGGGACTGATATAAGGCGACTGGGACGAGGGAACGTCCGAAGCTGCCTTCATCTCACTCCCGCAAGCAGTCCATGGCCAGAATCAGTTGCCAGGCAATGGTATCGCCCTTATTGCCTACGCTCTTAGGAACTGGCTCTCTCGTGAGATTTGGCTTGGGACTCGTCCTCAAGCAAAGTCCTGTGTCATTTGTGCTCCTCACTGCTCTTCTACAGTCGGTTCTACTGCTTCTCTGGGCAGTCTATGTGGCACCACAACCCAGTCCTCTCCGCAAACTGCCTTTGGCATCGCAAGGCCCGTGGTGGAGCACATTCCTGCTTGAGCCTGCAACAGACGACCTCGAGCGATTCATGAACGAGACTGCCAACAATGGCCTCATTCGATACTTCGGCGTGTTTCACGGCGAAAGACTGCTGATCACCAAGTCTCAAGGAACAAAGGAGATGATGCTTTTGCGAGCCTACAACTACGACAAATTGCCTCTTGTCACGAAGCTCATAGGACAAGTCACCGGCCAAGGCTTACTAGTTACTGCTCAGGACGAGCACAAGGTACGTCAACGCCCTACCATGCACTGGGAGACGTCCACTTACTCGTACTATTTAGCGCCAACGGAAATCACTACTGCCCGCATTCAAGTACAAATACATCAAGGATCTCTTTCCACGGTTCTGGTTCTACACCACTGAGTTTGTTGCCGCACTGGAGAAAGAGATCGACCGGGTTGGCGAAGGATCAACAGCTGTAGTCGACGTGGAGGGCTGGATGATGCGTGCCACGCTTGATGTGGTCGCTGGGACAGGTTTTGGTGTTGAAGTTAACGCCATCGCCAAACCAGATAGCGACCTCGCCGAGGCTGTTGCCACTGTCGAATTCCACGAGTCCGAAGGCAACAACCTATCGGCTTTTGGGCTTCCTCTTGCCGTATTTGGCTATATGCGCGACTGCCACTAGCGAGACGCTACGAGCTTGACCGGATCGTCAAAGCCCTGAACAATGCCACTGGGCCACTGATTCGATCAAGGAGAAAGGCCCTGGCTGGCAAGCAGATACTAGACCCTGATGCTGATGACGATAAATCCCGATTCGAGTCTCAGACGGCCACGGAGACAGACGTGGTCTCAACCCTGCTGAGGTTCAAGGAACCTTTGACGGATAAGGAGCTTATGGCTCAATCTGCAACAATCCTGGCGGCCGGTCAAGATACTACTTCGGTTGCAACCACTTGGGCGCTTTATCTTCTTGCGCACCATCCACATGTCCAGTCCACCTTGCGAAGTGAGGTCCACAAGCATTTACCGTCACCCGATATGCAAGATGAGACTGTCGATGCACCACTTATCGAATCGCTTCCATATCTCGCCGCAGTATGTAACGAGACGCTCCGGCTCTTTCCCCAAGCTCCTGTCTTGCGAAGACATGTCGTGAAGTCAGGCACGGTCGTGTTGGGTGAGCCCATCCCTGTGGGAACGGTGGTGATGACGTCCATCTGGGGCACACACCGCATGAAGAGCGTCTGGGGCCCGGATGCTGGAGAATTCAAGCCTGAGTGCTTCTTACAATATGACGGAGACGGTAAGATGAATTTCGATCCCCATGCTGGGTTTAAAGGCGAGGAGGCAACCTATCGCTATCTACCCTTTGGTGCAGGTCCCAGAAGATGCATCGGCGAAAGATACGCGCGATGAGAATTCGCAGCGCTGGTATCTGGGTTGATAGGTCGCTTCGAGTGGTCGGTCCTCGACCCGGCTAAGATGATGCAGGAGGATATCAAGATGAACTTTGGCATTGTCTCCAAACCGGAAGCCGGCCTGCGGCTTCGGACACGCAGGGTCGACGGATGGTGAGCAGTTATTCTCCGACGCGAGCTTACAGTGTACCGTATAGGAAAAACCTTCATCCTTGTCCGTCCTCTTCGGTCATTGAGCTTCCTCATTTGACCTAGCCTTATGCATTGCGTATCGACGGGTGATAACGCCTCCACAGCCTCGCAGATCAGCGCGTACACGTTTCACCACCATGCCTGCTCCACCAAATCGAAATCCGTCGCAGTAAGAAGTTTCGTCGCTTCGATGCATGTGGCCGGCGGACTTCCACGACTCTGCAACCTGGCCGTGTCAATCAATTCTTGTCATGGCTTGCTTACGACAAGATGATGAGCGTTGCAAGAAACTATTCCCGGACGAGATAAGGTCCCCAACGACTTTATCGCATCCTCGACAAGGGTCCATGGTATCTATCGACGTCAACCATGTTATCAGAACCGGGGCTGGTATTCATGGTCGTTTGTCCTCGCAGGCGAGCGACCGGCATCACAGTCGGTGGGAATCAGAGCATGTTGCAAATCGCAGTGTTTAACGTCGGGCTTATGACCGAAGGTGAGTCAATCCTTAAAGGATAAGTATGTGAAGATGCCCGAAGATAGCTTGATGGTCTATCTTCCTCTCGCTCACCTTACGCCTTCCGTCCTCCTCGTCCGCGTCAATTGCCCTCGTCATGTCGGATTCTGTCTCAGCCGTGCTCCCGCAGGGGGTTGGCTATGGAGTCGTCGTGGGGATCGGCTTCTTTTTCACAGTTGCAATGATCGGCATCTCTATGCTTCAGGTACTTGCGCCTAGTCCTTCTAAGCCCCATGCCTGGACACTGACTTGGATTCTTGAACAAATACACCAATTTTAGCACGAAGACCAGTGAAGAGTTCAACACCGCGAGCAGAAATGTCAAACCTGGCCTTATCGCAGCTGGGATCGTCTCAGCCTGGACGTGGGCAGCGACGCTGCTTCAAAGCAGTACTGTGGCGTATACTTATGGAGTTGCCGGCCCTTTCTGGGTATGATCTAGGGAAACCCATCCAGGAAGATGGCCGATGCTGACGCTCACTCAAAAGTACGCCGCAGGGGCTACCGTCCAGATCTTGATGTTCTCTATTCTCGCCTGCAAAACCAAGATGAACGCTCCTCGATGCCACACTTACCTCGAAATCATCAATGTCCGCTATGGCCGGGTGGCACATATCATCTTCATCTTCTTTGCCCTCGTCACCAATATCCTAGTCGGCTCTCAGCTGCTGCTGGGCGGGTCCGCTGTTGTGACCAGTTTAACTGGCATGAATGTCTACGCTGCGATCTTTGTGAGTTCTTCCTATCCACGAAGGCCTATGTTGCGCCAACAAGTCTCTGCCTCTGTCTCTCGGTCTTGCCCCTCCTACGCCTGACTTCACTGGTACAGAAACTGATAGCTCTGCAGCTCATTCCCCTTGGTGTCGTCGCATATGTAAGTCATCTATGTCCCTCCACCAAGACTTGTTGTTAACGCCTTAAAGGTCCTGATGGGCGGCTTGCGCGCGACATTTCTCTGCGACTATTCGCATACATTAATTCTGATGGTCATTATTCTCTACTTTATGTTTGAAGTTTATGTTAGCGACGACATCATCGGCTCACCCGCGCGCATGTTCGAGCTTCTGAAGAAGGCGGCTAGCCAGAGACCCATCGACGGCAATCAGGACGGGTCCTACCTGACACTGAAATCTAACAACGCGCTCATTTTCGGCGTCATTCAGCTGTGCTCGGGCAGCGGTACCGTCTTCCTGGACCAAGCATACTGGCAACGAGCCATCGCGTCGCGGCCTACCACGGCCGTCCGGGCGTACATCCTCGGCGGCCTTGCCTGGTTTGCCATCCCCTTCGGATTTGCCACGACTCTAGGTCTCGCTTCGGCCGCACTGGTAGACAATCCCGCCTACCCTACCTACCCTGACGTCCCTTCTTCCAGTCAGATCTCCGCTGGTCTAGCTTCGGCCTTTGCTGCCAGCACTCTGCTGGGCAAGGGTGGCGCGGTTGCTTTACTCATCACCCTGTTCATGGCGGTCACGTCGTGCGCCTCTGCAGAATTGATTGCCGTGTCCTCGATCCTCACATTCGACGTGTACAAGACGTACATCAAGCCCAACGCCACGCCGCAGAACTTGATCTTCATGGCCCACGTCAACGTCGCGGTCTTCGGACTGACCATGGCCATCTTCGCCATCATCTGGAACGTCATCGGCATCGACCTAGGCTGGTTATTCCTGGTCATGGGGCTCCTCATCGGCGGCGCCGTCATGCCGACCGCCTTCGCAATCACTTGGAAAAAGCAAAGTCGAGCAGGGGCCATCGCAGGGTCATTGAGTGGCCTCGTCGCCGGTCTTACCGCTTGGCTCGTCGAAGCAAAGGTCCACTATGGGGAGCTCACTCTCGAGACGACGGGATCCAACTTCGCCACACTAGCGGGCAACCTCGCCGCCATCATGACGGGCCTGATTGTCACAGTGGTTGTGTCTTTGATCAAGCCAGACAACTACGACTGGAGCGGAACGCGGGCCATCAACATCGAGCACGCTTTGCACGTCGAAGGCACAACCCCGTCACCGCAGGTCGACTCGTCAAGCGCCTCCAACGTCACTCAGATGGGCACAGGGGACAAAGATGCTGTCAAATCGACAAGTGAGGCGCCTTCCCCAGCGCCAGTCTCGCCCGTCCTTTCCTCTTCGCCGAACGAGAAGCGCGTGTCCGCGGCCGACCCCATCGCCCTAGATGAAGAACGCCAGCTCTCCATCGACGCCAGGTACGAAGACAACCCCTCGAGTCTTCGCTCTGCCTTTAAGTTAGCCTGCATCGCCTCCTTCGTATTACCTTTCATCATGGACTTCCTCATCCCCATCCCCATGTTCCTGAGTCATTACATCTTCAGCAAGGAGTTCTTCACCGCCTGGGTGGTGATCAGTTTCATCTGGGTATTTGCCAGCAGTCTGATCAGTGTCCTCCTGCCGATCTGGGAGACGAGAGCATTCTTTGGCGTGCTCTTTAGGGCAGTCACAGGGGATATCAGGGGACGAAGGGGCGCTGCTTGAGACTTCTCAGAACTGCTGCCTACATGCAGGATTCGGCGGCAGTTGTGGGATGTTTCCTCAAGCCAAATGTCGAGTCGTCGAGTTTTCGAGGTTCAGACCCTCTACATCAGAGACGAGAGACCATAGAACATAGACCATACACAGCCTTGATCTCGCAAGGTCGTGCCAACGACTTCTCAGCTGAGGGAAAGCTGGCCTTAAGTCAATGCTGCAATGAAAAGTAAAACAACTAACAGTGGGTGGCATTACAAACGCCTGGGCCAGTCAAATATCTGGCTGAGCCAAAAACCAGATTGAAACAGAGACTGTATGCCTACCTAGGTAGATGTAGTGTCCAGTGTCCAGACAAGTGCCCGTGCATATGTGTGATATCTTCATGGCTGGCTGCACGTCGTCGTCATTGCACTCACGGAGCGACTCCCGTCTGAATCTTCTCCTTTTACCTCTGCTTTCGATGTTCGTCCTCCTCCGCTCTTGACAATGCTGTTCAATTCGCCTGAGAGGAAGATAACTGAGCAGATACATGTCCGAAGAAATACGCAATAGAGGTACGGGCGAATGGAGTGTAGGAATTCTCCAGCGCCTCGCTCACTCTACTGTGGGCATGGTCACGCATGGCGCATGAGAGGCACCTGCGTCGTTTAAAGCCCACCTAGTTCTGAACTATTTAGAATGACAACTCGAGCTAGACTGAGTGTCAAAAGTGGAATATACTCTGTGGGAGAAGTCCAAGGTCACGAACGTTGTAAGCACGGGGGCATTTGGATTTCCTTGCAATCATTCCAGGTTGGTATGGGAAGGAGTAGACTCATAGTCACGCATATTGCTATATACCATGGTCCGTAAAGAAAAGGAGTCGCGGATGATACTGTATGTGATGAGAGGGTCAAAGCTGTGATTGTAACGTTGACCGAAGGCTGAAGACCGAGTGAAGAGTGAGGGAGTCGTGGGTGAGCAGTGAGTGAGTGGCTGATACGAGTATACGCAATGGCCTTCAACTTAATTGCTCTAACCGCATCCAGTCTAGGGCTCTTTGACTTCCGTGCGGAACTGAACCTGGAGCCATTTCCCGATTTTCTCGAGCATTGAAGATAACATGCACATGGACGCGAACGCAGGCTCAACGCAGTGCAGCTACAAGTAATTACTAGCCCGTTATCTTCATAACCTTGCCGCAAGAAGCACCAGGTCGGATCTCTGTCTGACTCTGTTCTGATCTCCCACCACAAGTACGAGTACGCTCACATACACACCCACACGATCGACATGCCTCCCCGACTCCGACTGCGTTCGCTAGCACAGCTCGCGGAGCTCCAGCTCGACCGCACGAGTTCAACCCTTCCCTACACCTGCGGACGATGTAGTCGGTCCTACGCCACAGCAGCAGCAGCAGCAACAACAATAGCAACGACACCGGCCCCCACAGACGCGCAGATACAATCCGGATTCCCACCACTGTCACGCTACCCGCCGTCTCAACCCCCTTCGCACCGCAATCCCGCGTACCGCAAGTCGCAGCTCCTCCGCTCCTACGTCTCCCTCTTGCAGACCACCCCCCTGATCATCTTCTTCCAGCACAGCAATCTCAAAGCCACGGAGTGGGTGTCCATCCGCCGCGAACTCGCGTCCGCGCTGCGCAAACTCGACGCCCAGCTCGCCGCTCAGGGAAAACCCCCGGAAGACCTGATAGGCGAGTACGTCAAACTCCAAGTCATCAAGACGAATATGTTTGAACCGGCCCTACGTATAGCCGAGTACTTCAAGCCGGGGTTGCCGGGCGCACAGGGACAAACACATCAAGAGGCCGGTGCTGGTGCAGGTGCAGGTGCAGGCGTAGTCTCGCCCGTCAGCGTGCCGAGCGAGAAGGAAGATCCAAGCCTGACGCACGCTCTGTCCGTCGCGGCATACCACGCCTCACAGGCCCATCGGAACGAACACGTCCTCACGCCGCTCCTCACGGGGAGCGTTGCGATCTTGACCTTCCCGGCCGTGTCGCCCCTGTACGTCAAGACGGCGTTCTCGATCCTGGCGCCCCAGCCGGGCGGTGTGTTCGCGGCGCCGACCCGTCGCGCGAACCCCCTGTATCATGAGCCCGCCGTGCAGGATGGCGTGAAGAAGTTGATGCTCCTGGGCGCAAGGATCGACGGGCAGGTATTCGATATGGAGGGGGCCAGGTGGGTAGGCGGTATTGACGGGGGAATTGACGGATTGAGAGCCCAGCTGGTCGGCATGCTCCAGGGCTTTGGGGCCGGGGTGGTGCAAGTGCTGGAGAGCGGGTCGCGGGCTGTGTGGTGGACGATGGAGGGCCGCCGGAAGATGTTGGAGGACGAGGAGGCAGGTCCCAAAGAGTAGCGTCGAATTTGAGGCGCTAAGTGAGTGGGAGGGGAGGGAAGAAGTGAGTCCGTCAGGCCTGAAATGGTTTAAGAGCGGCGCTGCCTACATGGTTCGGTTCGTTTGGGTTGGGTGTCTTGGTGAACATGGCAGCCCCGAAAGGCATGTATCTCGGGACAATCCAAAGAAAGTATCTATCCCCGAGCGCGAGAAGTGAGAAGCAAGATGCCTGGCACGGTATGTCGAGTCGAGGCGAGTTAACACCACCGAATCGTGCTCTCATGGGAACGGACAACCGAGAGATCAGGCACAACGTGGCGATCGAGACTGCCGACGAAGTACTCCGTATCTCCTACTGAAAGCGAGAGGGAATCATTCAAGGCTCGTGGAGCAGCAGCAGCGGCGGCGGCAGTGAAGCGTCTCAGAGACGAAGAAAGCCGTGGGAAACCAGGTCATCCTACCGATTTTAGCAGCTGTTACGAGTGAGTGCGATCAAGGCACATGTACTATACTAGACTTGCGCGGAATAGATCTACGGGGCTTGGATCCTATGTGAAGGTGTAGTGTACAATTTAGTGTCACAACAAGAGCCGTGCTTTTTCATCCACTGTTTGATGGTATCTTGAGTCTTATACACAGGAAATGGAACAGGTTGCGACGCTCTCGGGACGGCTAGGGCATTTGATGCGATTGACATGGGATCTCGAGCCCAACATCGTGATCCGTCACATGTCATCCGCCACTTGGCGCCATACACAGGAGTCATGCAAAACTCCAAAGTAGTTGAGATCTGTACCCTGTGCGCCGTCGCCGTACATGAACACCTCCGGATTTTACCACGGCCTAGAAAGTCCTCATACCAAAGAGATCCGAGTTTACCCTGCTCAGACCAACAGTTGCCGAGTATAGTACATCAACAGTCATACATTTCCGCGGAGAGAAGCGCAAAGGGTGTGTGATGGGCGGGGCGTGGGCATTGGCTTTCCTTCAGCCGTAGTCGCCAGGTTCTTTCGTTTAGGCCGCGTGGTGTGACCCGGATGTTGGCGGTGTGATTCGGCCAGTTTTACTTTGTCTGCCTTTTAACTGATGGAGGATCATCGCCGTAGACGGTTTTGTATTCTTCAAGGTAGCGGGTCTTGTCCGCAGCAGCCTGATCCTCGTACGGCTGTTCAATCAGTTAGTTTTGGCTTCATCTTCAGCCAAACGCGACACAGCATGGGACAAACGTACCTTCTTCTCCGCGGCGGAGAGGCTCTTCCACTCTTGACCGGCCAGTTTGCCGCGCTCGGCAACGGACATGCCATTCAAGTCACCCGAGTCATTCCTCTCTTTGAAGAAGAATGAGTAGGCGTTCCGGGGCTGGTGGACAGTGCGGTCATCATGGATGGGCTTGATGTGCTTCTTCTTTCCTGCAGCCTTTGCTTTCCTGTTCAACAGGCGCCGGGCATTGTTTGCATTTCTAATTTCCAGTGCAGAGTGGGACTGTACCCATCGCTTGTAGGCCTCCTCGTTCTTGGATTTGTTCTGGTTCGCTTCATGGTTGTACCGCTAGATAGCAGACTGTCAGCCCTTGGAACGATGGAGAGTTGCAGGCGAGGCCTTACCTCTCGCTCTTCCAGTGCTAAATTCTTGTACTTGTTCGATGCTGCTGCGGCACTGTTTGTCACATTGCCTTTGCTACCCTTAGTTTCCTGCACCAGGATGATCTGGTAGGGATTTGAAGGGAGTTGCTTCGGCTCTTCCAACAGCGCAGCTGCTTTCAGGTCTGCGTGGTCTGTGCGAGCTTTCTTGAGTAGAGCTGATTTGCTGGGCTTCTTCTTTGCTGCCTTAGGCTTGGTCTTTTGGGCTGCTTTCTTCTTGGATTTCTTTGCAGCCGGCTTCTCTCCTGCATTAGCTCCCTTGGTCGATTTGGGCGTGCGCTTTGTGGGAGTGCGACCGGTATGCTGTTTCGGTCGGCCTGCGGGTTTGGCTGAAGCTGTCGCGTACGTTCTGGCTAGCTTCAACGATGCTCGGAGGTTCGAGAGCTTATATGCATGGCTTGATTGATCGTTGCCAGTGGCATAATTGCCGTCGACGCGTAGGAGCGGGTTGGATGAAACAGGTCGTGTGAGCAATCGCGCAGACCTGGCCAGCAGCTGTTTGGCCAGCGACCGCGAAAAGGGCATAGCGACCGTCATGGCGCCCTCGAAGATGAGTGGAGAGTCGAAGGAAGGACCTCCCAATGCAAGGAGGCGTGCACTGAGAGGGTGAATGATATCAATGCTACGAGTCCTTGATTCATGTCCAACTTGTGGGTGGCTGGGGTGTCACTTCCCCGTTCGAGACGCGTGCCTGCCCTATTGGAGCTCGCTGTGGCTGAAGTGGCTATCGTGGCTGGCTTACGTAAAATGCCAAGAAGTGCGGGACACTGAGCCATTGACTGACTTCCAGTTTTGCACAGCAGCCTTGTCCTTCTCAGACTTTGTCATCTACTCATACCAGCGGCATTGTACAGGACATTTTCGCCTCACCTTAAACCTCGCTCAACCGATCGAGTCACCTATCGCGCTCGCCGGATCCTACTTGCGGTACAAGCAGTAAAGCTCACTTATCTGCAGCCACAGAATGGCTAGGCACGGGGACACTCGCTCACCATCACCTGCAGGCAGTTCCTATTCCTCAAGAACCAGGGATCGATTTGAGAAAAGCCGGCGAGAAGATGACAGAGATCGAGACCGAGATCGCGACCGTACTCAACGGAGGAGACACTCCAGGTCGCGGAGTCCCGAGGTATGTTATCCTTCTTCAGCTACCTTCTTAACCACACAGGCTTACCGATTGCCCGAACAGCGACGGCACCGTGATCGCGACAGAGAAAGAGACCGCGATCGAGATCGCGATTCCTACCGCCGCCGAGATCGATCCGTAGACCGTCGGCCTCCCAGTCGTAAGGATGATGACTATTATGCCTCTTCTCGAAGAGATAGGGATAGAGACAGATCGAGGGACCGTCGACGCTCGCGAGACAGGGACCATCGCCGCCGAAGTCGAGATCGGGACGGTCGTTCAAGACGGGACGATTCTCGTCCCAGAGACGGACGGCTAAGAAATGAATCCACCGAGTCCAGAAAACGCAAACGGGACGATGATCGCGATGGCACGTCAAGGAGAGATTCCGGTAACGGGTCCAGGGAGGTGAGTTTCCGCCACGCCAATGTGATCTTGCAGAACTTATCAACGTGTGGCAGGTATCCAAACCATCCACTCCTACCGCGCAGACGGCGGAAGAACAGAAAGCGGCCCGTCTAGCCAAGCTAGAAGCGTGGAAGAAAAAACAAGCCGAAGAACAAGCCAAGAAGCAGAGGGAACTTGAGGCTGCCGGTGGCGCAAGAAGTATATTGCAAGAGATTGACAGAAAAGCAGGCATCTTGCCAATAGCCACCTCTCCACAATCCCCTGTCTCTGCTGCTGCAGCTCCCGAATCCACGCCGCCGGCTCCCGCACCTTACGCCGGCAAGTTTGACCCCAAGGCTATCGTGAAGAAGGCTCAACATGCCACGACAACCAATAAAGTGCTTGGAGGCGATATTGCTGCACCTGCCTTGACTAATGGAGCTCTCAAGGCCTCGCAGTCTTCTCCCAAATCACCCACAAACGGCGTGCCTACTACGAAGGCGCTCAAAGCCAAAGGCAACCTCGGCAAGTTCGGGCTCGGCAGCAAGGCGGTTGTGGACAGCGACGCACCCAAGAAGGGCCTCGACTTTGCAGATGACGAAGACACCAAGAAGAAACTCGAAAGGCTCCCAAATCTGGCGCTGGAAGAAGGTGGCGCTGCCGATAATGGCGAGATGGACGAAGTCGACGATGAGGGGGACAATGACGTCGACATGCAAGGCGAAGACGGGGACGAAGATGTTGAGGCAATGGCTGCAGCACGCGCCGCGGCAGAGCAACGGAGCAAGGCAGAAAGGGGTGAAGATACCGCCATGTCCGATGCACCTACAGCGGTCGCAGTCAATGGCGACGCGGAAGAGGAAGAGGTGGATCCTTTGGAGGCTTTCATGCAAGGTCTACAACCGGTCGAAGCCAAGAAATCCTTCAACCAGAAATCAAAGTCCAAACTGCGACAGCAGGAGCCCGAGGCATTGTTCGGAGACGATGAAGTGGACATGACTGCGGTTGATGACGAGAACCCAGACAATATTCTTTCTCTTGCTAGTGCCAATGCAAAGAAGAAGAAAAAGGATATACCCATGGTCAATCACGAAAAGGTCCAGTATCAACCATTCAGACGCAACTTCTACTCCGAGCCTGTGGAGATGGCAGACTGGACAGAGGAAGATGTGGCGACCTTACGAATGGAGCTGGACAATATCAAGGTCCGAGGTGTCGACGTCCCGAAACCCGTCCAAAAATGGGCACAGTGCGGCCTCGGTGTCCAGGTACTTGATGTCATCCAGAAACTTGGCTACGAAGCTCCGACCAGCATTCAAGCTCAAGCAATTCCCGCGATCATGTCTGGTCGCGATGTCATTGGCGTCGCAAAGACTGGCTCTGGCAAGACCATTGCCTTCCTCCTACCCATGTTCCGACACATCAAGGATCAGCGTCCGCTGGAAGCCCTCGACGGACCGATCGGATTGATTCTGAGCCCAACCCGTGAGCTTGCTACGCAAATCCACAAAGAGTGCAAACCGTTCATCAAGGCCCTCGGTCTGAGAGCTGTGTGTGCGTACGGTGGTGCGCCGATCAAAGATCAGATTGCTGATTTAAAGCGTGGAGCAGAGGTCGTCGTCTGTACTCCCGGCCGAATGATTGACCTGCTTGCGGCCAACAGTGGCCGGGTGACAAACCTGAAGCGTGTCACATATGTGGTCCTGGATGAAGCTGACCGCATGTTTGACATGGGATTTGAGCCTCAAGTGATGAAAATCCTCTCCAACATCCGTCCAGACCGCCAGACTGTCCTGTTCTCGGCAACCTTCCCTCGCCAAATGGAAGCGCTGGCAAGAAAGACATTGACTAAACCCGTGGAAATCGTGGTTGGTGGCCGCAGTGTTGTTGCGCCAGAAATCACTCAGATTGTCGAGGTTCGTGAGGAAAACACCAAGTTTGTTCGGCTGCTTGAACTTCTCGGCAAGCTCTATGAAGATGACAAGAACGAGGATGATCGAGTTCTTGTCTTTGTCGATCGGCAAGAGTCCGCCGATGGTCTTCTTCGAGACCTCATGAAAAAAGGATATCCTTGTATGTCCATCCATGGAGGAAAAGACCAGATCGACAGAGATTCCACAATTGACGATTTCAAGGCCGGCGTTGTGCCGATCCTCATCGCCACCTCAGTCGCTGCTCGTGGTCTCGACGTAAAGCAGCTCAAACTTGTGGTCAATTATGATGCACCGAACCACCTGGAAGACTATGTGCACCGTGCTGGACGGACTGGCAGAGCTGGTAATACAGGAACTGCGGTCACTTTCCTCACCGAGGAACAAGACAGATATGCGGTCGACATTGCTAAGGCTCTTAGGCAAAGTGGGCAGCCTGTGCCTGAGGCTGTGCAGAAACTCGTCGATGGCTTCATGGAGAAGGTCAAAGCTGGCAAGGAGAAAGCCGGTGCATCCGGTTTTGGTGGCAAGGGTCTCGAGCGACTTGATCAGGAACGTGATGCTGCCAAAGCCCGTGAACGCAAAACCTTCAAGACAGGCGATGAAGGTGAGGAGCAAGAGGAGAAGGAGGAGGCCAAGGACATCAAGGTTGGCGACGACATCTTCGCCAAAGCCGCCTCAGGCGTCAAAGCTCATGATGCACGTCCCAGCACACCTGGTGTACCTAAAGGCATCGATCTTGACGGTAAAATCGTCGTCCACAAGACCGAGCGACCGGAGCCCGCTGCCGGTGCCAAAGCGAGCACGGATCCCCAGAACCGGCTGGACAAGGTCGCCGCAGCGGTCAACGCGATCAACCAGAAGCTGTCCAAGGCGGGAGTCATGCGGTCTGGCGTGCCTATCGACAACAAGGGTCCTGACGCCGGCGCATTTCATGCTACTCTGGAGATCAACGACTTTCCTCGTAAGTTGTCCCCTTACTGTGCGATCCCTGTGTGCGGGACATTGCTAACGCTTTCCTTGCAGAAAAAGCACGTTGGGCCGTTACCAATCGGACGAACGTGGCCAAAATCCTCGAGTCCACAGGTACATCAATCACGACGAAGGGCTCCTTCTATCCTGCGGGCAAGGAGCCTGGTCCGAACGAAAATCCGAAGTTGTACATCCTTGTTGAAGGTGATACGGAGGTTGTTGTCCATGATGCGATGAGAGAGCTGATGCGCCTGTTGAAGGAAGGCACGATGAGTGCGTCCGAGACGGTCGAAAGGCCAAGCGGGAGATACTCGGTCCTGTGAAGAAGGATCGACAGTTGATAGAGTGCTTGTGCGTATGCTCACGCATAGAGGGGTAGACTCTGTACCCGCTGCGCTGCCAATGTAATATCCCGTTGGACCCACCAAGATCCGGTCTCACTGTCCTCTTCCTGGTTGCTTCCGCCTTCTTTCCTGTCCCCCGTGCTTTTGATTATTAGAGTGTGATCGTTGTGTTGCACGTCTGACATGGTAAGGAGGGCGAGCCAGGCTCCGTCCTCTGTGTTGCATGGTCCGTCAGACACGACCCTCACCCTCATCACCCGTACAGCCTCCCTCATGCACGACGGTATGCTCCGGCACCACCCCCCCAGAGATCGGAATCTGTAACGCCACCGTCTCCCCATCCCCGGGATAATACGTCAAATGCCCCGGCGACCGCATATCCGTGTCCCCCGCAATAAGAACCTGCTGCGGCGACCCCGGGGCTATGGTGATCACATCCCACTGACGCTCGTAGGTAGTCGGGGCGCCCACCATCGGTGCCGGGCCCTGGGCGTGGAATTGCATGTCCACACTCGGCATCGGCCTGTTCGTCCGAGGCGCAAACACTTGAGCCAAGCCCGATAAGAGGACGAAGAACATCAGGTGAGGCGGCCTGTGCCAGCCCTCGGCGCTGCGCGGCGGGAGGACCACATATGTCGCGTTGTCGACGTTGCCTAGGGACAACGCTCTGCCGACGGTCGGGTAGGTGGTGAATGTGTTGGCGAGGGACCAGCATTCGAGGCGTGCGTTGTACGGCGGGGAAGGGTGGTTCGTAAGGGCTGTAATGTAGAGTGGCGTGGCGTTCGAGTACGTGCGGGAGAAAGACGGCTGGACAGGCTCGCTCAAAGGTGTTACAGTGGACAGTGGCGCGCACGGCGGAGGCATTGTCCGGGTTGAGCGTGGAGGAAGGTGATGTCTGATACTGATGGACTGAGTCTGCTGAGTACAGGTGCCTCAGCGTCTTTCCTCGCTGGCGCTGTCAAGTCGACATTGCAGTGTTTAATCTTACAGTAGCTTCACTAAACACAGTCGTGTGCCTGGGCTTTCTCCGCCATGATGCTACTGTTCGGATGTCTTGGCGATATGCAGGTAACTGATCGACTCTCCTCGGCGCGGCGCTTCTGTAACCACTTTCTATTGCATTCACCTAGCACTTACCTGGTATTCACCTTGTACTCACCTAGCACTTACCTAGCAGTTATCTAGCACTTGCCTAGTACTCGCCTAGCACTTACACAGTACCTACACAGTACTTGCACTTACCATTTAGCCTGAACTGCTTCACCGCGTCCAGCCCCGACAAGGTTCACGATTCCAGTATTGTGTTAAACGGTTCGATTCTGACGCTTGCCCTTCTGTGAAAGAAGAACAAATCCCCTCTTTCGGGACTCTAAAATCCCGAGCTTCCCACTCCAGAACACGCTCAGAGAGATCTATCATGCCTTTTGCGAGTCCAGTCCTTGCGAGTGCCGGCATGACTTCACACCATCCACGCCAAGACGGCGGCACCTTCATCCCAAATCAGCGTGAACGGCGAGCCATCCTGAGCATTTACCCTTCCTATCGCCCGTCCTCCTTGACTAACCTGCTCTTTCCACTATCTCATGCTGTTTGACAACTCGACTGCTACTAAAGTCGCCCGACATACTTGAAGCATCCCGGGTCCAGATCGCCACCGAAGTGTACCTTGATCGCCAACAATAACGATGATACTTCGGCCTTTATCGTTAATACCAGCTACAATGCCATCACAGAACGCGTCATACCACCTCTCCAAAAGGAAACACCACCTATGACCTGCCGTGGACTATATGCAAACCGGATGGTCACATCACATCATCCCGCCATGAAAGCGAGATGGCCAGGTCTCTCAATTGTTATCAAATCGAAAGAAGGCATATCAAAGCGTGCAGTATCAGTCAACGATCCCAATAGCTTGGCCTCGACGGTATAAGGCTCTAGTAGAGTCACCGAGCCACTCATACAAGAAAACGAAACGGCGCCCAAATCTCTCGACCATGAGAGCGGCATTTGCAAGTCTTTCTTTCGAGCTTGGCTTGTGGCCGGCTTCAGCATAGTTCAGGTTGGGGACCTATCCAGATGTCAATCAGAGCGGCCACTTACATGCATTGGAGAGCAATAACTTGGCGACACGGTTGCCAGACTACGCGGAAACCACATGCCCGTCAGCGTTTGTATCCGCCAATCGAGCATGCAGAGGGTTCATGCACGAAGCTGAATGTGGAGGAAGTCTATTCGCCCTCGCCCTTCCAATGTAGCGAAGGGATGAGTTGTCACCGTTCATGAGACATGGCCATGGGTTGCCTCCAGCCACATTGCAACCAAGCATTCTTGCTGCCCAATATCCAGCGTTGGTTGTTTGTGGGTAGAGAACCATGGCAGACCCCAGGCGGCATGGCCCAGTCTTCAGCTAGCATCACCCACATTCGGAAGAGCAGCACCCAAAGTTGACATGACCCAGTTCCGCAACGTCCTGAGCCTTCTCTCGATGCCTCTACTGTTCCTCAGTCATTCAACCAACGAGTCGAGATCATGGAGCACTTCCATATTCCACCAAAGGCTGCCCATATTCGATTCCGGTACGTGGCCAACAAGCCATATGATCGAGGCCCTTTCCACACATATCCGGACCGAACGGGATGGAAGAAGGAGGAACTCCTATCAAAGGCTTTCAGCGTCTCGACAAGAACGACGTCGAAGCATTCTTCCAGACTTGGCTATACTTCGGCACCTTGGTTTCTGTTTTCAATATTGGGGGAGTTGCAATCAAAGAGAATGACTTTCTAGAAGCGCACGGGGTTGAAACTTACTTGACAACCAACCGCCTCAATGCAAATATCGCCACCTGGCAAAGTCAATGGGCCGGCCGGAGCGCCCCAACCCAGCGGAAGAGTGCGTGAGCTAGAACACAGTCCGTTCTCGACGAAGTCAAACGATATGTCGATGCGTTCGGAGCGATCCCTTGTCCGACATCCGAGTATGGGTCATCTCATCACAACAGGCCCAAAAGCCCACCTCCAGTCTCAGGAGAGACGTTGACCGCCATTGTTGCACTCATCTACACTCTGAGCGAAGCGGCCGTGAAGATTTATAGCATGGGTGGAATCGCTTCGACAAATACGTCAATTACACGACAGACATTCTGACAGATCGCCTGCAAGCAAACGGCTGGTGTCCGCTGGACATCCGGAGAATGCTTACACAGCTAGGGATGGATGGCCACTACTATTTTGCGCTGCTCCAAAGCCCACACTCGAAGAGCCACCACCGAAATTGTTCGGAAACCCACTGTGTGGCCGCTAACACTGTGGACGAAGCCGCTTATCGTCCCAGGCATGTCTCAAATTGCAACCGGTGTGAGGGCACCAGTGCTGCAAAGAGGCAGGCAGGCAGACACGTCTAACCCATCCCCCATATACACTCCTACTGGATGTCATTCCGGATACGGGTTCCTTACACCCAGCACAGTGGTTGCCTGGTCCAGTCGCTATGGTGCCTGCCTTTGTCGATCCGTTGCCATCACTCTGGCATGCACGTCAAAATGATGCATTGTCCATATCGCACCCCAGCGAAACACGTCGATGACATCGTCTCCACCTCCGTTCTGGCTGTTCATTGCCTAGACTCCCTTGCTGATCAACACCACTGGAAAATGAGTCCACAGGTTGCGGGCAGCTCAGGGCGCAGCTCAGGGCGCAGAGGGGGAGTGAACGTGTGGCGGGGCAGTCCCGTCCCTGCCCCTGTTCCTTCCTTGTTCTGTCCTCGCCCTCACATGGCAGGACCAGCAGGGCTGCGGGTTAGTTCATGGCTGAGAGCCGAGCTCTCGAGAGATAGACTCAACAAGAGATTGATGACATACAGTGATGCCCTACCACAGAACTCGGGGCTGGTCAGGAGGATAATTCGGTCGAGTCCTAGTAGTATCAGGCTCATATCTCGTTCGGGCTGATCAAGTACAGTCCGCTCACTTCATTGCTATCAAGGGCAGTCCAAACCACTCGGAGCGTGATAGGTCTCTCGCATACCACGTCTCGTTCTAGAAGCACCAGCACGATCAACCAGATAGATAGTCTGCGAATACGGCGGTCCTTATGGTAGAAGGCGGGCAGGCAAGCAAGCAAGCAAGCAAGCAAGCAAGCGCAAGTCCTCGCGAACTTCGAACCCCGAGCGGCCACGTGGAAGCCGCGTACAGTACGGAGTACATTCGAACGTGTGTGCATGCATGCCAATGCTATACGATCGTCGGAAAATCCCCTTCGTACAGTTCACTAAGCAGCGTTCGGTGAATGAAACCGACCAGCTCAAATAGTCGCACAAACAGTGTTCGCCGTTCGCGCGCGCGCACAACCTGGGACGACTCACTCTGTTCAGCAGAGGAACTCGACTTTGATCTGCATACTGTATAAGCATGTAGGCCTGCGCGTGCAGCAGGCATGCACGCACGAACGTACGAACGCGTGAAGGGGGGTGATATCCGCAGCCGTGTGACTGTACATACATACTGCGTACATACCGTGCATCACCATATGGTATGTGATTATGTAGCTGAGACCACTTTTCCCGAATGCGTCTTCTTTGCTCTGCCCTTCTCGTCCGAGACTCGGGGGGCTGGACCTTGCGTAGTGTAGTACTATCCTCGGGCAATGACTTGCTGCTCACTCACCACATCGAGTCAAGTTACGCCTGCGCGGAAAAGTTAGGCACGGCCTGGCGACGACGGACGAACATCGACGGAGAAACCCCTCGGGACGGGGAAGGAAAGGAAGACACGGAAACAAGGCTCTCCGTCGTGCTCGTTTGCCTGCATGCCCTTGTGCGTGCCTGCCTGGCTGGAGTTACCTACCGGGAATGGGCGTCACAGTTGCGTTTGTGGGGGGGGGAAGAGAACCTGAGTACAATGGCGATGGCGATGGCGAGACTCAACGCGGCGTGTATAACTGCCTGGATGGATGATGTATCGGGACTTCGGGACTCGGGGACGTCGGAGCCGCGAGTACGCGAGTACAGCATGGATGTACATAGTATACATGGTCTGCTGTCTGCCTGCCCGTGGTCTGCGTGGCCTGCGTGGTCTGCTTGGCCTACACAGTCTGCGCCACTTGCCCGGCCTGGGCGGTGTTATTGTTGTCGGATAGTTCTGCAGGTACGGCACCCGTGAGGCTGTGCTATGTTGTGTTGTGCTGTGCTTGGCGCGCATCCTGGGCCTGTTTCTGATCCTAATCCTTTGATGGTCTTGATCTTGATCCTTCCCAAGGTTCTGGTCGCAGTCCTGCCTAGTCAAGGTCTTGATCCTGATCCTTCTCAGGGTTCTGGCCATGGCCCTGGTCCTGGTATCCTAGTATCCTGGTATCCCAGTATCCCAGTATCCCAGTATCCCAGGAGATATTCGCACCCTGGCATCGTGAAAGGTGCTACACGTACATCCCTTCCTGTGCATGTCTCAGGGGTCGGATAGCGTGCTCGACATGCATAATACATGCATGCGAGGCAACAGAGCAAACCGAACAGGGAACACCGTTCAACCATCGTATGTCTCATGTCTGTGATGTAGTATGTCCTCGATACAGGGGGTAAAGGGTCAGGTGATGGATTACTCAATCAACCCAGAGGCGTAATGCAGCTGGATAGGGAAGTGCGCGGCATGTGCACGACGCCTAGCCAGCTACCCTGCCTGCCCGCCAGCATGACTGGTATCCATGTGCAGGGCCAAGCCAAGCTGCGACTGAGCGAGGTATAGTACTGTAAGTTCATCATAAGTGAGTGAATCTGTTCTCGGAATTCCCGTGAGGCTTGTGTCCGAGAGGATCACGTCCGCTCGTGGTATTTGGAACGGCATCTGTATGGCACGCCACCCTGTTTGACCGATCGACACTCCCTGGCATCGCACCACCATGACACGAGGCCATATGATTGAGCATGACTAAAGCGGAAGTGCGTAGGTCGTGTCAGATCGCCGGCGCAGCACCAACGCCGCAGCTGCAGCCACAGCCGCAGCCACGCCGTCAACCCCAACGCCTCTTACGAGTTGAGATCCTGGGTACATTAACCGTGCGGCACTCTGTGCACGATGCTACGCAGGATGTCTTTTCAAGTTACAGTAAGCGGTGCCGGAGCCGTTACCGAAAGTCAGTCAGGACTTGGATTTGGAAACGAGTTGGTCGTTCTTACGCAGACGTACTCCGTACTCGTACCGGGATGTTGTTACCGTGTTCTTCGTATCCCGTGGACCGCTACGTGATGTGACGGCGTCGTCGATCGAATGATTACAAATCGGTACATTGGCTGCATGACTCGTAGCGTCACCCTAGTGAGTAGCGTATGTATGGGAAGAGAAGCCAGTGCCATCGTCGGGAGCGATGTGCGAGAAAGGAAAGTCCTGTATACTGTGCCGGGATCTAGTTCTCCCATGCCTACCTTCTGTAAGTATTCCTACTCGAATGCCGATGCCTGATTCTTCTTCCCTTCCCGAGCCGCCAGCGCGGCCAAGCCCAACCTACTGTAACTAACGCCGGAGCACTTGACCTCCGCACAGTCACAATGCATATAATGTACGAGTACGAGGACACACCCAAGATACAGTACTCCGGACTGTACTCGTACAGTAGGTTTGGTGGCTGCCGAGCCGTGTGCCTCGTATGCAGAAGCCACGCCTCATGACGGGCGGAGAGCGGCGGAAGGATCACTAAACGTCGGAAAACAACTCCAGCTGTGAGTATGGAAGTGTGGGAGGGCAGGACGTCGTGAGTTGGCTGGTTTACGCACCGAGACGAACTCGTATGTGCTCAGTATATACTTGCAATCGGTACTGCGGCTGCGATCAAGCGATCATCGATCAATCAATCAATCAATCAATCGCTCGAGTATGAGTCGAGTAGCTTTTTGACGTTCTGTGCCAGCCCGGAAAGAAAAATGAAAGGTGTTACTCTCCCACTTCAATTCACCTCACCTCGCTTTCAGTTTCACCTCACTTCCCTTCGCTTTCACTTCACTTTCACTATACCTTTACTTTCGCTTCGGGCAAATCCCGTCCACTTCGCTGTCCTCCGTTGTGTGCAGCCGCAGTCGAGCTCGAGCTGGACAGAGCACAATGTAACCGAGGAAAATTTCTCTCGGGATTTCTCCACCTCGCGTGTGCCAGCCTGCGAGCTGTGTACTGTGCACGTTCTGTATGTAGGTAGGCATTCAACAAAAAGTGTACGGAGTACGGAGTACCGCGTACGCGATACTCGTTCTCTGAACAGCATTGGCTCTAGAGTTCCGTTTGACAAATTCAAGCGGGAGTTAGCTAGCGATTTACCTAGGAACATAATTAGGTATGCACGGTGAATCCGCACAGAATACTCCATACTCTGTACTCCGTACAGTCGCAGTAATGTAGTATCTACCCTATACGGTTACGGTGTTCGGAGTACTCCGTACACTGAGCAAATTTCGTGCGCTTTTACTGTAAGTTCGATATAGGCTTTGACCAGGCCCCGCGACGTCACAGCCGGGCCAGAGCTGGAAAGACGCAGCCGATTGTCCTCTGCGGGAGGTAACAGGTAAGTCATTAAGGTCTAAACTACCCGGGATATGCTCTGCTCGTGCCTCAGGTAACTACTACAGGCCACGGCGAGTAATTCGTACCGAATGATCTGCTATGCCACCTAGTGTAGCTAACTTTAGACGATGTGTGTACCAAGGCTTGAACATGCCCCTTCAGGAAACACTTGGCACGAGCCCTGTTGCCGCTCAGGTGTCGTGCGTTCGGCTTTTCAGCTGCTCGTCCACCGTGGCTCGTAGAGTCGAACCAACGCTGAACGGAACACACAGCACCGCACAATGATTACTGACAGGTGTGATTTGAGATCGATCGAGTACCACCAGTAAACTCGGAGTCCAAATCGATCAATCTGGCTTG